GCTGCATTTTTCTTTGTCAGACTTTCTCCATAGTGTTTTAACTCAGTCCCCTTGTAACTTGTTTTTGTCTCACTGTCGCTCCCTCTCTGCTTCTTCTTCTCCTGCTGTTGATGGGTGTACGAGGGTTCTTGATTAGAACACACACTGCCGAGCTCCCCCTCCATCGCATCATTGCATTTGATTAGCTTCAGCCCCATACCTCCCTTATCACTACCAGCACAACAGGAAGCACAGCACACACACACACACATACAGGTACACATGCATACATATCACAAACTCACTTGCAGACTTATCTGAACTCCATGGTTGCCTCCAAACGTGCACTGGCATATATGACTCTCCCCACACTTGCGCACGCATCTGGTGTGCGTCTGGTTTCGTGGCAGCGGGGTATCAAGTAAAGCCAGCACGGCACTGACAGCTCCGTGTCCCTAATGAAGCATTAATAAACTACAGCACAAAACAGTGGATCAGAGAAGTGGAGCTCCCCACCTGCCTGGAAAGTCTGCTGACTGCCAGAGGGAGAGATGAGGAGGGAGAGGATCACTGTAATCCCCATTCTCCAAAACCCCTCTGCTCCACTTTTCTGGAAGACATCGCAGACAGACAGACATACAAACACCTGCTAAACTACTCCGAACTGCCCTAGTGGTAGTTCTCACTACACTACGTGTCTGCGTAACTGCACTTTTCCACGATAACATGCAAACACACAAGCGCACGGGCTCAGAAGGTGAAAACAATACCACTTAAGCTATAGCTTAGCTTTAGCTCTGTAAGAGACTTCACATATTATAGTTAAGCTGCTACAAAGTGCCACCCAACATGTCAGCAGCTTCTACACTTAACTACAGCCAGGAGTGCAAAAGGATTTGCTTCACAGTTGTTGTTATTCTCAACATTATGCATTAATGCAGTTTGATAGAAAGTTAATTTCCATGCATGCAGAACAATAAAAAGGAAAAAAAAAAGCTTCCAGTTCTCAGAAATGTACACTTCTCAACATGCTCAATTTCAGCTCAGAACGAGTAGAGAAAAATGGCAAATTTGCATTTTTTTTTCTCTTGTACCCTTTTTGCCCACCTTGCATTGATTTTATGTTCCTGCAGCACTGCATAGTTTTCAGTTTGAGAAACACACACCTTAAATGTGGGCAGTGCTAATCAATTATTTGCAAGCACCCGGCTAACTTCTGCATATCCAGCACAGCGCAGCACGTCACAATTAGACAAATTGTTATCCCAATTTGAAATCCACTTGCCGTTAAAAGAGCAAGTTGCAGAGTTGATCAAGTGTTGATTTGTGACGGTGTGTATTCAGAATTTCCCACAGCACATGAATTCGCAATTAGGCACATAGGTAGTTCAGTTACAATGCATCCCACAATGCCAGACAATGCCAGTCCTGTGGTTTAAATGAAGCAAACCTGCTGAGTGCAGAATTTTGAAGGAGGCCTGTCCACACAAATGCTGCATGCTTGTGATTAGAAGAAAGGGGGGGAGCAATTGTTCTGTGAAAGGAGCCAATCAAATCCAGGTCTAGCTGTGATGGACTGACAGGAACGAGTCCATTTTTAGAAAACGCAGTGTCTCAAGTTTAAATAAACCAGAGTTTTGTCTCCTTTAAAAGTCTTTTAAACATTTAAATCTATAAAGCATTATTCTATTAATTGGGCCCCAGGATGTTTGCTTTTCTTTTGGGGTGTCCTCTTGTTCCCTAATCATATGCCATCTCTCACTGTGTTTGTGCTGGAATGCCAGTGCTTTAGTGTCACTTGTCTCTGTGTATCCTTATGGGTTTTTCCCCCTCATTATCCTAGCAGCCCAGACCATGCTGAGATTCACTCTAGCGAGGGAGAGTGATCTAATTGGCAGCAAGGATCATTCTAATTTACTGACTTTTTACCTTTCCTCTTTCTCCTCTTTGCTTTTTTGTTGCCACTTTTCACCTGAGAAATGATTAGAAAATATAAGTAAAAACTCCATGTAGTTTGCTATGGCGAGCATGCTTTTTTCTGTCTTTCTTTTTTTTTTTATTTGAGCTTGTTACACCGATCACATTCGCCCAGGCAATTTGCCTGCTTGTCTGAGTCTGAGAAGGAAAGCTTATCTGCACTAACGCCCCATCGAGGCTGTGCGTCGTATCCAAATCGGCCCCTGTTAGCATTCAAATCAAGCGCCCCCACCTCTCCTTCCTGTTCTACCTAGCTCTCGTGCCCCTTACTATCGCCTCCACCCCTTCTTGCCTGTCAACACGCCAGATTTGCTTGGAGGAAGGGGAGGTTGGGGAGGGAGAGAAAGCCCAGGCTATTATTTAATGAGATCAAGAAGTGCTACGAGGATGCTGTTTACTCTAAGGAAAGGGGGAATCACTGGGTTTCTTTCTCGTCTTTCTCCTACTCTTCTTTAGATGTGACTGCAACCCCTTAACAACCACTATTTTATAGAAGAAGTGAGCATTCTGACAAGGTACGACTTCTTGTCAGAAAACAACTCCCATTCCCAACAGCAGGTCTATCAAAACAACACGCTAAATGGACTAGCACTTATATAGTATGTTTCTAGTCTCACTGACCAAACTACAAGAGCCACATTCACCCATTCATCCATCATACACCAGTGCTACTGTGGGGTTCAGCATCTTATCCAAGGACGCTTCGGGATCGTGTAACAGCTCTTATGAATAGTGAATGACCGACTGTACATCCTGAGCCACAGCTACCTGAAGAAACTTGATTGTACAAGCCCTGGACAAATTGCAGTGTGATTGCTGCGGTCTTCTTTTTGCGGTTTGTGGGATTCTGCTGTGGCTTGTACCTTTTATCAGATGTACAGGAGGGGCTCAAAGTTGAACCTCTGCTCTTGTGACTTTGGGGTAGGTGTGAGCAAAAGAGAAGGGAGAAGGAAACATCCAAGGGCTTATTTCCCACAGCCCACAGCAGTATGAGTGCACCAATTCATGGTTCGTCATGCTTTATCATTATTAGATGACATAAGCTGATGGATCAAATGGGAGTTAAGTCATTCATTATCCTTGGTTATTTGGGTTTTTGTTCTAGCTTATTCAGCTTGCCTTATATGTGTAAAAATGGGGAACAGGATGCTAATGATGAAAGTTGAATAACAGCTGATGCTTTTATCCTGATGCTCAGACTTCAGACTCCACATCTCTTTCCAAAACACTGGAGAAGTTGGATATCAAACTTCCAGATAGGGCTTTACTACCTCAGCATCAGCTCCTCTGAATCGAGTAGAACGTGCCAAAGCCAGACAAACTACTCTCTGATTGCTGGATCATTCTTTGAGCTCACTTACAGCATGTATATTTTCTCAGAGGAGCCCGAGATTGCACCTTCAACCCTACGATTATTAAGCAGGCGAACTCATAGCATATGCTGGGTAGCACAGTAGTTTGTGCATGTGCACTGAAAGTAGCTCGCGTATAATTGCTGCAACTGTGATTTAACATGACCTTTTACCTGCTCCGGCAGATACAACAAGGTTTTTATAGCGGCTCCGTTCCCACAAGTCATCAGCGTTTCATTGTTCATGTGATTAGATACACAGCGGAGGCCAAGCATCACAATTGCTATCTGTTTCGCATGAGCAGCCATTAAGTCATCATCGCCTCACAATGACCTATGATTTCCAGTAATGATTTATGATTTCAGTGAGTCATTTTCTACGAGTCTCTTTTAGTTAGAGATGCAATTACTTGATCGTACTTTATCTTGAAGTTACTTGTAAATTAGAGTCGGTTTCAAAGTTCCTGCTGCGATACAGCTCAAATATAAAATGGGGAGGGGGAAAAAGTGTTCATTAAAGCGCCTAACGCACCAAACCTCAAAAGAACTTGACAGGAAAGAGCAAAAAAAAGAGAAAAAGAAAAGAAAGGAGGGTGGTGGGGATGTGTCATAAAGACGAGGAAGGCGAGGGAGGGGGGGTACGCTTTGATCAGGAGCACTCCTCATAGCTCTCCTGTCTTCTTACACATCCATAATATATCTCTGCACACATTCCAGTCTCTTATTAACAAGGCAGTGCCATTTCATCCCGGAGGCAGGTATTGAATTTTCAAAAAAGGTAGAAAAGAAAGAAGGCAAATTTGAAACACGCTCTGCTCTTGTCTGAGGAGTAAAGAAAAAAACGCACACAAAAAAACAAAGCGAGACGCACAGAGTTTGCGATTCAATATATACACTCCCGCTTTAAATTAAATTCATCGATGTTGCTTGTAACAAAAGCGGGGATAATATCAGACATTGGTAAATATTTATTCTAAAAGTGGCGGGCTTAGGAAATGAGAGGGCTGCCGATGCCGTGCTTCTCTCTCATGGGAAAGCATGTTTGTCTGTGACAGTCATAAATATGTATCATGCTGTGAGAAGACAGCGATTGTAATCTCACAGCTGCCTTTTGTTGAGCATATGAGGCCCGAGAAAAGCCCCCGTTGATGGCGCACAAAGGCAAAATTAAAAGTTGCACCTTCTCCTCGGATTGGGGTACGTCGCTCAGCGGCAAGTGGCGTGCTGCTTAATTAGGATGGAAACAAATTCCTCACGAGGGAGGAATACCCCTCTTCCCTGCTCTCACTTGGTCTAATTTATGGAAAGGTAAATATTCAAGGGTCGCTTTTCAGCCGTGCCGATTAAAGCATGCTTGAGCGTAGCGACACAGAATGTGTTGTGAATGCAAAGCTTCTAATCCAATTCACACTACTCTGTGAAATGAAACTTGTTTGTACTAGTAGATAGCTGTGGCAGTGCATCTTTACCCAGGGGTGTCAAGTAGTTCTTCAAACCTCAGAATAACTAGGCAGCGCTTGTAAAAGTGCACCGAAAGCCACTTGAATAAGGTGGCCTGTCATTTGTGATGCACTCCAGTGTACTGTAGCGGCGAGCACTGTGACGTATTAGCGCTTGACAGACGTGCTCTTCAGTGCAAGAGCCCCTTTTGCTTTTGACTAAAGCTTGTTTTTATGTCTGCCCCTTCCTGCAGCTCTGAAGGATCCCTGTACCGAGGTGGCCTGCAGCTACGGCAGCACCTGTGTCCAGTCTTCAGATGGCTTGTCTGCAAAGTGCATGTGCCCCCTCGGCTGCGAGGGCAAGCCCAAGCAAGTAGTGTGTGGTAGTGATGGAAAGGACTACGTGAATGAGTGCGAGCTCCATCAGCATGCCTGCAAGAACAAGAAGAACATTCGTGTGCAGTACCAAGGACACTGTGGTAAGCTCTCGTTGTGTTTTCTGTGTTTCTGTTTTTTGTAACACTGATTTTGAGCACAGGTAATATTGAAGAGTTCCCATCACAGTTTATTTTCTTTCCCAACCCAACTCCGCCCTATTTTGCTGTAGCAGGGAGATGTCCCAGAGTCACACTATCAAATATAAATTGTTGCAAAATATGGAAATACAAAAAAAAACCCTGATAGTATCAAAAATTACATTTCCAATGGTGAAAATGTCATTTTTGTTGAGATTTTTTGTTTTAAATTGTCAGAAAACCTTTTCTTCCCTTTCCACTGTTTCCTACCTCTTCCTCTTGTGTTCCTCTATCACATACCCTGCTTATTTAAGGCACACCTCCACTCTAATTCTCTAATTCATTCAGGTTGCTTTTCCCCACACAGGTTCTCCTACGGTGCAGATTGATGTTTTCTTTAAATAGGTTTTAAGAGCAGTTTTTTGTGTTGTTTTTGGCTCATCCTTGTTCTCATCAGGCAATTGTTGTTTACTCTCAAGGCGCTCGACTATTTAGCTCTTTTTATTCTGTGGCGAGGAAGACGGAGGGAAAGACTACAGATAGTAACTCTGTCTTTTAGCAGCAGGAGCCTCCAGGAGACAGAGCGGGTGGTAGGCAACGAGAGATGGATGTGTTTGTCCACAGGCAGAAGGTTGGTCGTATAAATCCAACGTGAGTCGGCCAAAGTGACCCGGGTTGCACCGTCTCCCCTGGGGACGGCGTCAGCTCAGGGGACTGGTTGGCCCTGATGGTGCTTTAAATCTTCCTGCAGCCATTTCAACTGAGCATTGGCTATTTAAACTTGCTAGCCCGCGCCAGGCAAATGCTGTTGATTTATCTGCACTGCTAGTTTTTACAGAAAACAACCTATTCTTTTTGTAATCACCCCACTTGCTCAGCTAGAGGAAAAGCATGGACTCTAGAAGCTGTTCTTCTCGCTTAATGGGTAGTAATGGTCTTTCTCTCAGATAATGGTCTGGCTGGCGGGTCAGGCACTGCGTCATGCAGAGACGCTGCGTGCATTACGATAAAACCCCTGTTTGCTCAGTTGCAAGTCTCTGCAAGCCTTTGTATTGTGCACACAGAAAACAATCCGAGGCCTGGCCTATGGTCACTCCGCCTCCCACCCCCACGCAGCCAAAGCGCTCCGTCCCTTTTTCTGTCCCAGCATTGTCACTCTTTGTATTGCTGCCAGAGGTCTCTGGAAACCATTCTCCCTTATTCTCTGTTTCTCATTCTCTTTCTACTCCTTTCCCGATGATAGGGTGTTTCATCCTTGGTGTGTTTTGAATGACTCGCCGGCAGCTTGGCAGTGATTTAATATGTCACGGTGCTACATAAATCCTTTGTCTTCCCACATGCTGAAAGCGTGGCGAGCAGGATAAAGCCTGGGCTCCTGTTTCAAGGAGTAACACCCCCATCACACACATCCACAAACCAATTCCATTATGATCACGGACTGATAGGGCCAAGCGTGCCAGACCAACACTCCCCTGGAAGGAAGGAGGTGCGAGAGAGCAAATCAAACCGATCGTCTCTTCATCTGTTTCCTTGTCTCCCCTTCACATCCAAGGTCCTACTCTGAGCTGCTCTCAGCTGCCGGGCCACTGATAATATCTGTGAAGCAGATATTCCTCTTCTCTTCTCTTCTCAGCTGACATATCATAGCTATAAGACTGTTCGCCGCTAATTAAAAGATGACTTACCAACACTTTATCTAACAGGACTTAAAAAGTTTTCTTTGAAAGGAGTTGCCAGTTTGAACACAATTAATCCAGACTGTGCTGCTTTTTTCTTTTGCCAGTCAAGCGTTGTTCACTTTTTTCCGCAGAACCAAAAATGATCAAAGATGTTTTAGATTATGTTCCCTCGGAGTCTAATTACAGTTTTTCACAAATTCTAAGACACATTTCCTGAAACCTTATGGCCTTTTCTCCAAGCTTTAAACACAAGAACCAATTTTCAAACTACTTTCATAAAACCTTTGACTCTTCTAAGAAAAAACACACACACACAAAAATGCATGAAAAGCTCAAAACTACACAATATTTTTAGATAATTTGCTGTCAAAAATAATAACACTACTGAGCATTACAGTACAACAGAAATGAGGAAACACAGTCTCAGCTTTCTGGTAATTTCTTGAAGTATCATCAGAAATAGTTCTCCAAACTTCTTGAAGGACATTCAAAGCTCTTCTTTGGATCTTGGTTTGTTTTGTTCTTTGTTTGGCATCATTGTCGTGCTGAAAAATTAAGTTTTTCCAAATCAGATGCTTTCCACGTACATGGTGAATCAAACTCTCACAGTACTTTCCTGTGTTCATAGTTCCATCATTTGTTGTTAAGATCCTCGACGACACTGGATGAAATGTGGCACCAAACCATGACAGAGCCGCCACCATATTTTACAGATACATGTAGAAATTCATTGTTGCACCTTTATCCTGACCTATCTACATATTGACAATGATTTAAACCAAAATTTTTTAGTTTGTTAGTTTGGGTTCACCACTCTGTAGGAGCTTTGGTCCCTGTTTCTGTTGCTTTAGAATTGAGACCATTGAGACTATTTCTGATGAGGCTTCATTGAACAGTGGATGGATCAACTGTTCAATGAAGATCTAGACCGGGGGTAGGCAACTCCAGGCCTCGAGTGCCGGTGTCCTGCAGACTTTAGATCTGTCCTTGATCCACCAGATGATTCAAATTGCTAAATTACCTCCTCAACATGTCTTGAAGTTCTCCGGAGGCCTTGTAACGAACTAATCATTTGATTCAGGTGTGTTGATCCAGGGTGATATCTAAAGCCTGCAGGACACTGGCACTCGAGGCCTGGAGTTGCCTACCCCTGATCCAGACCTTTAGATGGATCAACTAAAGGTCTAGATGCTTTCAGTGCCTCTGTCAGGCCTTTGTTGAAATATTTTTTACGTCTGCTAATTGTTCTTTTGGCCTCCACTTGTCCAGTTTCCTCAATTTCCTAAGGATACATTACACACCATACCAAGGTAATGCCAAGTTTTAGCTAATAAGTCTTTGGTAGTCACCTTTTGGTGCAAAAATACAGCTTTTTTGTGTCAAACCATGTTATCTTTTTTGTAGATTCATTTAGAGTAAAAGAAATGAGAACTAATTATGTGTTTTTGTGACAAATTGACAAACCTTTCAGTCACCCAACACATTCCTATGTTACGCGGAAACAGGAGGAAACATGAAACCCGTTTGGATTCAATCTACACATATACATTTATTTTACTTTCTCATCATGAATCGCTTTGGAAAACACTATCTAACACGATTGTGGTTAAGGTTAGGGATAAGGTTATGGTTAGGGTTAGGGCTCGAATACACGTCTGGAACGTGCGTTACCACCGGGACCGTCATTCTATTGGATTTCACCCACAACCGGGCGCATGTCATAGGGACACGGAAGGTTACCTTTCGCGTTCCCATTGGACGCCTTGGGACGTGACAAATCGTCTGTATGTTACGTGTCGAGAATGAGAATGTTCTGGTAGACAACACAGGTTAATCCCTGGAGTTAGAAAATGAAACAAAAATGAGTGAAAAAGCAGCCAATGTTCAAAGAAAAAACTCTGGAAGATCTCCAGAAAGCCTGGAGAAGCACTGCTCAAGACCACCGTAAAGAAATTACAAGAGGGTGGTGGTTCAGCTCAGCGAGTTGATCAGGTGACCCGCATGCTACAAGACTAAAGCAGAAGCCTGGGTATTAATCTAACCTGTCTTCTCCTTGTCTTTCTCTTCCAGCTTCTTCTCTTCACTCTGTTATTGCTAAAAAGCCAAACGTGCATTTTTTTTTAAATGACAAAAAAAAGGTCTGGCCCCTTGGAAGCAAAATTGAACAAAAGACTTTTGAACTGGACCGTAATTGTAAGAAGTAAGACTCATAAAAGCAATATTAGCTCTGTGTGTGAAAAATACCAAAGGCGGTAGTTTCTCGAGTAAGTCGTAGCTGGCGATGTATAAATCTCCTACTAGAGGTTTCTTCTATTTGTTTTCATATTGCAGAAACATGGTCTATCACAGCTGCTCAGCAAAGATCATTGAAAATGACTGCTCTAAATTGTGCTCGTTCTTGTAGTCCTCCTCCTCCGCCTCTCAGCTTGTTGCCTTCCATTGTTAGTATCAACCTTCCACTTACCTTTGCTACCTAACATATACAAGTTTCATTACATAATTAGCAGCAACTATTCACATATTTGAGTCACCGTGTTTAAAAAAAAGAAAAACTACATTTCTGCTGTAGCTGTGTTTAATCTCTGCCTCCAGTGGTTAGTATTATGCATCACAGGTGCATCACTGTGGTGAAGTGTGAGAATTTCAGATTCAGAGAAAAGATTAAACGAGATCTGCAAATTGTGTCTAACTAGGTGAAAACTGTTCTGTCATTTATTCGATAAATGGAAGTTTGATAGCATGAATCGGAGAATGGGATTCTGTGCTTTAGCAAAAGTGACAAACTGTAATTCCTTCCCTGTCGTATTGTACTGTATGATATGCTGTACTGCAGTACACATTCTTCACTCTTTCTCCACAGATCCGTGCAAAAACGTTTTGAACTGCCGCGTGGAGCCTCTCACCCGCCAGCCACTGAAATTTGTGCCACTCGAGTTGTGCCCCCTAAGCGATGAGCCTCTGTGTGCCAGTGATGGCCGGACGTACCCCAGTGAGTGCGCTATGAGGGCGACGGGCATCCAGAAAGGCGTCACGCTCAGAAAGATCCATGCAGGACAGTGCACAACGCTGGGTAAGGCCGAAGCTTGTTGTCTTTAAAGTGTGCAACCCTTTCAATACAGATCCCAGAACATCTTGGAAATACATTTAGTGATGCAAGGGATAAAATTACTCAAATGCCATGACTTATATAAAGGATTCTTTTATGCTGCGTGAAACAGAGATTTAGTAGACCTTGCCCTTCTCTCCCCGTTAATAATCTAAAAAAAATGCAACATAATAAGATGAGATGAATTCAAATATTGTAATTTATCTGCGTGCAGGTATAACAGGGAGTAGCCATTTGTCTGTCTAGGTCAGAATTGTTGAACATAAGGCTCCGGGCTCTGAATCTGTCCCGCAAAGACTTCAATCTGGCTCACAGTTTCTGGTTTTGGAAAATGTGAAGGAGGGCATAGATTCTGGATTTTTTAATGAATTTTAATAGTTTTTACTTTAGCTTTTCTTGCTCACAGAGACCTCCCCCACGGCCAAAGGTTTTTATTCTTTCACTATGAGCTATAGAAAGTTCAGTTTCTACATTTCTTTCATTTCTACAGCAGCATTTATTTATCGTGTAGAAAAAGTAAGAGAAACTCTTAAAGTTGAAGTTTCATATATTAAGAAATCTCCTGCATTAAATGTGTAGTTAAATGAAAGGGCAGTTTCACTGGTCCGGCCCACTTAAGATCAAAACTGAGTGCATGTAGAATGAGTCAGACATCCTTGCTTTTGGTCTTTTGTTATTTGACTTATCCAAATTTCTGTTTCGTGGTATTTGTAAAATTCAACAATATAATATCTTTCTATATTGGTATGTGACTATGCAGAAGCTCACTTAAGTCTCATTTGTAGTTTGTTGTAGGCTGACCAATCGTATTTGAGCAGCCTTGACACGGTGTCTTAAAAAGAGCAGACTTGCTGAAGATCAGGGGTGGGCAACTCCAGGCCTCAAGGGCCGGTGTCCTGCAGGTTTTAGATATCACCCTGGGTCAACACACCAGAATCACATGATTAGTTCACTACCAGGCCTCTGGAGAACTTCAGGACATATTGAGGAGGTCATTTAGCCATTTAAATCAGCTGTGTTGGTTCAAGGACACATCTAAAACCTGCAGGACACCAGCTCTTGAGGCCTGGAGTTGCCCACCCCGCATCTACAGCAGGTTCTAGCAGTAGGAAAAGTGACATAAATTTAAATGTCTTGTGTATCTACTGATATTTCAAGACTTTACTTTACTTACTACACAACTGTCTGCTTGATTTCAGAATCTGCATGATGGGAAACTTTGTTTGCAAATGTATTACAAGGGCCAACTAATATTAATAGTGAAGTCTGTGTTTCAGTCTGGACAAACCACTCTATTGAAACCCCAGCAAGAAAAAGGACAACAAGGAAAGCAGCCAGTGAAAATGTTTGGCTTGTCGGGGTTATATATGCGTGGTATATATGGTATCAGTGAAACCTTGCTATCGTATTACCATATATTATGCAAGAATTGAAATACTTTCAGCCAATGTTTTAACACATACCGGTAGACTAGCATCAAAATCAAACTTTAAAGCTGTGTTCCAGAGAGATAAATTACTGCCGGGTCTCGGGGTCTGTATTATATCCATGCTAGCACTAGCCTCCTCCAGCCTGATAAGAGCCCCCAGGGCTGTTATCTGTGCTATTACAACATGAGGTTTAGGCCGTAGTCAACAAAGAGCTGTCAGCCTTTACTGTATGTCTGATAGCCATCGGAGGAAATCCAATTTTCCTGGTGTGTTGTTACTGAAGTCCCACGAAGCTCTACGGGTTTACAGCAGTAATGTGCGGAGACCCCCACCCATGTATTAAAACCCCCTGACAACACCAAGGACAGATCACCGCAGGACGTCTTTTGGTATGGTCAGCAACGGAGGCTGATACAGCCTGGTTCTTCTCTCTGCTCCGCTTGACAGGCCGATGTTAGCGTCAGGGCTTAAAATTGCCCAAATCCCAGCCTAAGTAGCGTTGTGTGTGCTGTATGAGAGTGTGTGTGCATGCAGACATGTTCATGCATGTGAGCAATGGGATGGACTTTTTTTTTTCTTCCTTTTTTCCTCCCTCTCTTTCTGCTGTGCCTTTTCAAATGAAAGAATAATTCAATTTGAAACAGAGATCCATGAAATCATATCCCTAAGCAAATTACAAATTGGTAACTAATGAAAATGGCCATTTCGACTTGTAACCATGACATTGCACATCCTTGTACCCCTTTCAGTCTGATACAGCGCCGATGTAATTAAGTGTGGCATGACAGGCTTTTAAAGAGAAGAGAAGAAGGAATTGAATTGGTGTACAAATTTGATCCACTGATCAGGAATGGAATAAATCCAAGTGCCTCCAGAACAGAGGCTTGCCTCAAATTGAATTTTCTCACTTCAGTGGCAAATTTGCCATTTCACATTACCAGTATTTCGCTTTTTCTTAATTTCCATAGTAGATTTCTGCTTAGTGAGTCAAAATGGTATGACTTTAATAGTTTAGACTTAAACATGACCCTAAAATGAAATTCATGATTATTCTTTTTGTTAAAGTTTTTGCAAAACTTTATTATTAAAGTTAGAGGGGAGCACAGGCATGCTGATCGAGTAAGGTTTTGGGGGGTATTTGCAGTCTTATTAGGTGTCCCTTCATAGTGCAGGCTACTAGATTTGCTTATTTTTTGCTAGCGGCAAACCAGAAAACTAAATGGAAATGGAAAAAACAGGCCGTTTTTTTCTTTTTAAATATCATTTTTTGGGGGGCATTTTAGCCTTTATTTGATAGTAGAGAGCTGAAGATAAACAGGAAAGTTGAGGGAGAGAGAAGGGATGTGCAGCAAAGGGCCGCAGGTCAGTCTTGAACTCGTGCTGCTGCGCTCTAGCCGTGTAACATATGGTCACCCACTCACCCACTGAGCTAAACTGGCTCCCAAACAAGCTTTTAAACTGCAGCGAAAGCTATAACTATTATAAAAAAATATGTCTAATAACTCCTCTGGTACTCACTCTCATTCATCCAGCCACTACTCTTGGCTTTAGCTATCATTTCTAGTCGATTACTCCCTGTAAAATGTAATGTGAACTTACTTTGTGGACAGTTTTGTGGCCTAATGTGCGTAGAACAGATAACCTGATGTGACAGATGGTTTGTTGCACAGAACCATCTGGGAAGCAATCCTTGTTTGTTATAGGGAAGAAAACAGCACAAAAAATACACAGCGGATGACGAGATGAACCTTCTGTATGTCAGTGTCTAGTTCAAGCGAACGTCAACCAGTCACATCAACAAACCGCAGCTAGAATCACAGTAACTTTGTAAGAACGTCTTCTTCTTGCTCATACAAAGCTGATTGGTTCAAACCACTGCAGTCACCTGGCAAGACTGGGTCTTTTGTGATTGTGTCTTTTAAGAATACAGCATCCAAGAAAGGTTATGTAACAAATTAAGCATCAAATAATCTGCTTGACAGGAACAAATGTGGTCCGACTTCTTTTTAAGCACTACTGCCTAAACACTGGTGTGTTGGCTGATCTGAGCATGTCATTTCCAGTCTATAGAATAAATGTATGTTCCAGCGTGTGTTGTTTGTCAGAGATTGACAGCTAACATGGGCCTTCTGCAGATATACTGGAAGTATTGGCAAATAGGGTGCTGCAATCATTTTTATATATGCTGTAGAAAAAGATGCTTGGTGTAAGGACAAAATGCAATCATCACAGACTTTGCCCAACCCACTTTGTGCAGCACATGTAGCATGCCGGCTAATATATGAATCTCTGATGTGTTTCTTTCATGAATTTCTGCAAAAGCCTCTGCTAACATCACCTATCTCCATAAACAACAGTAAACATTCATATAATTACTACATGGATGATTTATAGTCTGGTTTATGTCCTTATGGTTGTATCAGCAAGTTAACACAGCAGGAAGAACAACAGGTTGACACTTCTCTAGCTTCAATTTTTTGTTGTTGTTATGTTTGCTAAGTACCTCTTCAGTGCTTTCATCTGTGATGATCAGTCTGTCATGCTGTTACAAAATTGGCAGTTGGAAACTAAAAAGCCTAATCAGTCTCTGTACACATTAAAGGATAAAAATGAATAAATGAGTGAAAGCAGATGTTCACACATAGAGCAAAAAAGGGTCACTGAATGGTGGGTCTTGTAAGGGGGGAAGGGTTAAATCAGAAATCAGAATGGGTTTATTGCCAGATGTTGAGGTTTACAACATTAGGAAATTGCTGCGGTGCTTCAGTGCAGACAATAAGAATTAAAGTGCTATGTAGAAAGAAAGATATGTGCATGAGATATACATGAGATATATACATGAGAATAAGAATTATGAGTGCTACGTAGAAAGATATATACATGAGTGCAGGTGGTGATCAGTGCCAAACATGAAATGATGCAGTTACACAGCATAGGGTCATATGTTAGTGGCGGGGACAATCATGTGGTTATTGTTCATGTGTCCAACAGCAGAGGGGAAGAAACTGTTCTTGTGGCGAGAGGTTCTGGTGCGAATGGACCGGAGCCTCCTGCCTGAGGGGAGCAGGTCAAACAGACTGTGTCCAGGGTGAGAAGGGTCAGCTGAGATCCGGGCTGCACGCCGCAGTGTCCTGGAGGTGTACAGGTCCTGCAGAGATGGGAGTCTGCAGCCAATCACCTTCTCAGCAGAGCGCACAACACGCTGCAGTCTCTGTTTGTCCCTGATAGTGGCTCCAGCGTACCACACGGTGATGGAGGAGGTGAGGATGGACTCGATGATTGCAGTGTAGAATTGCATCATCGTCCGTGTTGGCAGGTTGAATTTCTTCAGCTGCCTCAGGAAGTACATCCTCTGCTGGGCTTTCTTGATGACGGAGGTGATGGTGGGCTCCCACTTCAGGTCCTGGGTGATGGTGGTACCCAGGAAGCGGAATGAGTCCACAGAGGTGATGGGGGTGTCAGTCAGGATGATGGGGGGGAGTGGGGCTGTGTGCTTCCTGAAGTCCACAATAATCTCCACTGTCTTCTGGGCATTCAGCACCAGGTTGTTGTGGCTGCACCAAGACACCAGACGTTCAACCTCTCTCCTGTAGGCAGACTCGTCCCCGTCCGAGATGAGCCCAATGACGGTGGTGTCATCTGCGAACTTGATTAGCTTGACAGACTGGTGGGTGGAGGTGCAGCAGTTGGTGTACAGGGAGAAGAGCAGAGGAGAAAGAACACAGCCCTGAGGGGAGCCGGTGCTGATGGTCCGGGAGTCCGAGACATTCTTCCCCAGCCTCACGTGCTGCTTCCTGTCCGTCAGGAAGTCAGTGATCCACCGGCAGATGGGATCAGGCACATTCATCTGGGAAAGCTTGTCTCGGAGATGGTCTGGAAGGATGGTATTGAAGGCAGAGCTGAAGTCCACAAACAGGATCCTGGCGTAGGTTCCTGGGGAGTCCAGATGCTGCAGGATGAAGTGTAGGGCCATGTTGATGGCGTCGTCTACAGACCTGTTGGCTCTATATGCAAACTGCAGGGGGTCCAGGAGGGGGGCCGTGAGGGTCTTGAGATGGGAGAGAACTAGGCGCTCAAATGACTTCATGACCACAGATGTCAGAGCCACGGGTCTGTAGTCATTTAGTCCAGTGATCCTAGGTTTCTTGGGGACAGGGATTATGGTAGAGGACTTGAAGCAGGCAGGCACATGACATGCCTGCAGTGAGGAGTTGAAGATGCCAGAAAACACTGGGGCCAGCTCGTTTGCACAGTGTCTGAGGGTGGCAGGAGACACGCCGTCTGGGCCGGGAGCTTTCCGAGCATTCAGACTCCTAAACTGCTTCCTCACATCTGCTTCATGAATATGAAGAGTTGTGGTCGGAGGAGGTGGTGTGAAATCCTCTTTTGTGTGGGGTGAGGGTGTTGCAGGTGAACAGTTTGAAGGTGGTGATGGCTCTATGGAGGGGGGGGAGGTGGGGGAATGAGTGTCCAAAGTGCCTCTATTGTTGGGGTCGTTGGAGGTGTGAAGGCTGCCTGATGGCTCGTCGAAACGGCAGTAAAAGTTGTTAAGGGTGTTGGCTAAGAGCAAGTCATCAGTGGAGTGGGGGGTTTTAGGCTTGTAGTTTGTAATATTCCTAAAACCTTTCCACACAAAGTAGGGTTATCCCCTGTACAATCCAAAGAAGCTGCATTGTTTTGTTTTTCTTGCAGACGAATGCAAGGACTGTCCCTTCTATGGTGTGTGTCTGGTGGAACAGCTGAGTGCCCGCTGCTCTTGTGATCCCATCGAGTGTGACGGCACCTACAAGCCTCTGTGTGGGAAGGATGGTAACACATACACCAATGACTGTATGCGACGCAAGGCGGAGTGCCTGAGCAAGACCCCCATCGCCACCAAGCACCTAGGACCCTGTGGTGAGTAGAGCTGGAGACTAGGAAAGGGTGGGTGGTGACCTGGTGGTTGGGATTCCTCCTTCTTTGGCTTTCGCACAAACCAGTGCTGAATCCCTGTCTTGGTGTGTCTTTCTCTGTGTATTTGTAATCCAATTTCAGTCTGTTTTTCCTGCTGAAGAGTCTAGGCTGATGGTACGTTCGTCTGTACTTAAAACTTTCCTGAAAAGTATCTGAAACGGTTGGGTGATGTCCTCTGAGTGGGGGAGGGGTGGGGTGTACATTCAGAAAGGATGGGTGTGCCAAAAAACAAAAACGGTGCCTTCAATTCGTCACCCATTCACCTCCCATCCATCTCCTCACCCCTGTCACGCTTCATCCCAGCATCTCAAACAGACAACCAAAATGAAACGCCACCTTCATGTTTCATTCATCCGCCCTCCGTCTTCTACTCCTTCACTGGTGCCAGTCTTCCACTTCAGTGGCTTTTGTCGTTTTTTCCTCCCTTGTCTTTGTCTTTTTGTCTTGTGTGCTCTTCTTGCATAAAAAAAGCTATTCTTTCTTGTTTCAGTGCGTCAGTCAGTCTGTCTGTCTATGTCCATTTGGCCGGCTTCCCGGTTGTCTGGCTGCAGGTGGCAAGTGGGGTCACCCAGTGGGCGACCTCATCAAGCGGATTCTCAGGGGTGAAGCCCTTCCCCTCGCTCCGTGCGGACCTAACAGGAGGGGTCTTGTACTGCTGTCTTTTTCCTCTCACTCTTTCTGTCTCTCTGTGTGTCTTTGTGGCATTAATGTCTTTTCCTTCTGTTTACCCTCCAGCAAAGATGTGATCCCTGAGGTTGGAGAAGTCTCCCTCTCTCCTCTTTGTGTTTTATTTTCAACCTAACCTGCCTAACCGATGCATACCTCTGATTAATCTCCTATTGCATGTTCAAAGTGCACGCCAGATCCCAACCTAACAGCTTCCCAAACAATCCCCCCCCCCCCCGCTCCATCAATCAGGATTGTGTCGTAAAAAGCTTGCAACGATGCACCAAACCACGTGTAAGCATGATTCCTGCAGTAGGGCTGGAGTTCAGCTGCATTTTAATGAAACATTTTATATCCTACAAGGTCTTGAAAATACGATCATTCAGGTATGTGAAGATTTAAAATTCATTTCTGGATTGAACAGAAACCCAGTGAAGGGCTGAAGTATATGGTAGCACTAGTAGTAGTTCTACTAGTAGTAGTAGTAATTATAGTTTAATCATATTTTACACAGCTTTTTTTAGAATGTGTTATTTAGCTAGAAAATTAAAATTTTGTGCAAATCTGCATTTATGTCTTCTAGAACTGATGTTGCTAAATCAGAAAAATGAAGCCACTCGATTTTACTTTGGTATAGACACTGTCTAGCGGAGCGCATGTTAATTACGCAGAGAACATCCTTAGTGAAAACATTAAAAGACTGAGGTCAGGTGGCTGTATGTGTAGGTAACACAAGAGGTTTCTCCTGTTGTACATCAGCTTCTTAACGGTCAACACCATCGCCACAACCCTGCCTATCCTTAACCATCCCCTTCACTTTAGTTTACTTGCTATAATTTCTCTGTTAAGCTTAAACCGTCTCACGGTGGCACAGATATTGTGAAAAATAAATGATTTTCAAAACATTAAACACTGTAATTGAACAAAATCCGATTTAATGCGGAGCTGCCCCATATCAACATTCTTGCTGGTGAAAGTCTGCCAGCTGAATGTATTGTGAATTGCTCTTTGTTAATAAAAGAAGAATGAAGAGATTTGTTAGCCTCTAAGCTTAGTGAGCCAACCTTAAGCTGCACACACTTCATTCAAGGTTCGGTGTGTAAAGCAGGTTGGCAGGATTTCAACCGATATCATAAGATGTTCAAGGCCCATTCTGTTCTCGGCACTGACACGCTCTGTCTAGCGTGTTTCCTCGTGTTAAAGGGCTGATTTAAAGGGTTGATTCACCCAAATTAAGATGACATCTGTTTTAAAGCTGTAGCGCAGAATGCACCAATATTTTTAATCATGTGTCATTTACGTATCCGAGTGTCTCTGTGATCATTTTTAGAGATGATTTGAAGACCTCGTCTTGAGTTAATCTTTTTCAGAGTCAGGGTTTTTTTTTTTTTTGCTCTTTCCCATCACAACGCTGATAGCCCAGCATGCGTGATAAAGCTGGAGTAATCTGCTCATGCTTTTCGGTGTGACATTACCTCAAACAAGAAATCCGCCCAACAGACGCGTTGTGTAATCACGTTCAGAGTTGCTGTCCGCATTTTTATTGTTGTTGCGACAGAGGCCGATAAAACGAGAGAAATCCGTCCATCTTCTAGGCACTGGGGCGAAGCTGAATACCAAAGTTATCTCCAGTCGTCAGCGTCAGGAGACACCAAAACTCATTTGCATTATTCGGCCGTCTGAGCTGTGAATAAATTAAATAGTGGAAATGGCAGCGCGAGCGCTTATATATTTTGCTCTGTTTCATTATTTCTGGCAAATGCTGCCTCAGTTCAGCCCCCTCCCCTCCCTCGTTTGTTTCGCTCTTTTTTTTTTTCTCCCTCCTCGCTCTTCATCCTTTCCTCCCTTCCACTGCGCATCGCAGCCGTCAGCGGATGGTACTATGTTTCTTTAATGCATTTTTATTGACATTTGCATATTTTTCAAAACACAGCGCCACAAACGCCACCGCCCCCCGATACGGTTTTAATTAAACATCAAAAGAGGCAAGCCTAGGTGCCCACTGAGACTGTTGGTTTAGTCAGACAGATGATATGCATGCAAGGAGTGTGTGTGTGTGTGTGTGTGTGTCGGTGTTTCCATGTGTTTAATCACATTAGAACTCTCACTCTTAATTTTTCTTTTTCTTTCTTTCTTAAATGAAACTATATTCAACCTTGTAGCGTGTAGATCTCTCACTGTAAACCAAAAAAGATTCACCTGACAGATGCACATAATTTAAGGATGTGAGCATCTTCCGAACTGACTTCCAAAGCACTGAGTTCTCTTAAGAATCAATCGATAGCCTATCAGAACGCACGTGCCAACACACTTGCAGCCATGACAGTACTGTCAAAGGTCAAATCAGAATGAGAGCTGTGTCAAACAGTCCCACGCACTCAGTTGCCCACCATGTCAAGATTATAGGCAAAGTTTCATGTATCTGATCAATTAAATGAGTGGTATTTAATAATTTTTGAGCTTTTTCATTTCATTCTCTTGTTTCACTGGTTGAGTGGTGGGTTAGGTGGAGTGATCGATCACTCTGCCAGCTGTCAAACGGATGAAATTCTCCAGTTTTGACACAGTCATAAATCTCTTCTCATGTGGGTGACAGCCCTTAATGTCACCCCTCCCCTGCCGGTACTCACCCCCACAATGGATTGTGCTGTAAAGAAACCCAACATGTCTATAACGTCCTGACGGCTGTCCTCCCTAGGGGGGAAAAACCCCCAAATTGATTGATATCCAAACCTTCAATTTAGAGATGAAGACACCACGTGACTTTTAGCTGATTTACTTAAGTCCAGACAGAGTCACAAATCTTCCAGAGGTCTGTAAACACGCGAATGACTTTTGCTGGAAATGAATCAGAGTAGACTGCTGGGAAGGAGGACGGACAGGTCAGCAGCCTTGGTTTCTAAGATGGAAACATAAGAGTCGTTTGGCACCAACAGAGGAAAAGATCTATCAACTTTTAAAGAGGTTCAATTATTTACTGGACTTTGTGTGACTTATTCATAGACCAGGTTGCTGTTCTACAGTACACACACACAGTTTTAATAGCAGGTTAAAACATAATTGCAACCCCGACGTGCAGTCGAACTTGCCTTCATCCGACGTTTGAATAAAATGCAAGAAAATGTCTGCAGTGGTTAATTTGAGATTGATTGTAAATCTCCCCAGATGGCCTCTGTTAAGTGTTTCACACTACACAAGAATATTTTTAGGCTAATGCAAAGAAATCCTGTTTTTCTTCCCCTCTGTCAGCACAGCAGGCTATCAGCAGAAACTAAGCAAGGAAGTGTGCATGTAGCGTGGTCTGTTGCAGAAATGTTCTTGTATTTTCAGCTATATTTAGAGGACCGAGCAATGATGGGAGACTCTTTGATGTTTGAGTCTATTGTATTCTGATTCTATAAAATTTCCCCATTGATAAAAGTGATGTGAAATAACAGAGCAACTTAAAGTGCTAGCTCCTGTATTTACGAAGTATATTTGCTATGCCTTTCTGCCAAAAAAGACACTGAGTCAATCTGAAGCTGAAAACCAAAAAAGCAACACGAGACAGCCCATTAATTGGAAGAAAGTATCTTTTCAACAACTTTTTTTCCCCACATAAATGATTGTGCTTGTTAAAATGCCTTTAAAAAAAGGAATCTATTTATTTGATATGAGGGAACCAGACTGTGTGTAAAATTAATTACTTTTGCAGTGAAAATGCATAATTAAATCTTTGCCTTCTCTCCTCTATCTTGGCCCAAAGTTGCGCTGTAGCTTACTTCCTGCCCAGCGGGCATGCTATTTTGGTGCATATTCAGTAGTAATCAATGGAAAAGACTACAGGAGTGCATAGCTGCTCACCACAGGTCCCTGGAGCCCGTTCATGTACTAGCCTCACGTCTGGTATTAACAGAATACGAAGTAGAGAGGGCCCTCTGAATTGGTGGTTATGTTGTTCATAAAACAAAAATACAAGCAGCAGTGTTGCTTTTTAGCACATAAAGGAGAATGATTCAGTAAAATCAGTAACACAAGGCAGCCTATTAGAAACACACGCACACATAAACAAGGAGTGAACAAATGAAGGAGCTGGTTTTGAGGACACAAAATCCGCGGCTCTTTTGTCATTTCGTGTGTACACAGCTGTGTGCGAGAGAGCGAGCGAGCGCAATCACAAGTGCAGAAAAGCTCACGCAAGTGCAAGTTGCTTGAAATGTGTTGCCTGTCGCCTCTGGAGGTTAACACAAAATCACTCAGTGGAAGACACATTGTCATTGACAAAGAGCTCTGCAAAGCAGGAAAGAAAAAAATCTGTCACCTTAGGTGTCAAGACTTTGTGCAGAATATTTTATCATTTGCATGTTTATTTGATGAGCATCTCCCCCCTGCGCGTTTGTGATTGGACTAACAAACAGTCGCGAAGCCTGAGTGTGTAAGTCAGCCTGAGATCACCAGTGCTGTTATTGCTAATCAAGTTAATTAGAGGAAGTGCCGCGGGAGCCTGATTGACGGCAGCTAGGGACCGCCGGTCCACTTACTGCGGCCCGCAGGCTGTCATTGAGCAGAAATTGCAGAGAAATGTGGGTCAACGGGGTGTCAGGAGTGACTTGAGGCGGGCTTGGTGTTCCGTTGGGGTGTGATCAGCCATGCAGTTCTTTCAATTTCAACAGTTTTCTTTTCATTTTTTAAAAAATGTCTTCCTAGGCCTTCCTCGTGCTGTAGCTCCTGATTTGATCGGAGATGCAGTAAGTGAAGCGAACTGGTGTGCCGTTTTTTCTTTACTTTTTTAAACTTCCTGCAACATACACACCCTAATTACTAGATCACCACCTTTTTTGGATTAGACCAACAATATTTGCGTATCATCTCATCTCTGACGGATATATCTCAAAAGATCAGGGGATGCCAGCTTGTGTCCCCTCCCCGTGTTATTTTTGCTCGTCTCTATTTTGAAGAGCAACACATTCTTAGTTGTACAAGCACAAAGAGGCTTCGACTCACCTCCTGCCTGTGATAAGTATTCAGTGGTAGACAGACACAGCCTGCGGGTATGCCTTTTGCTGTATGCTAATATAGCCTTTTCTCTGCACCTCCCTCTCCCTCGACTAATATGATACATAAATGTTTTTAATGTGAGGGAGGTAAAGGGAGTCGGATCAAAGCCCTGACAGTGGAGACACACAGAAGGCGGGATTTTGCTGCAGATTGGCTGCACCCTATTGGAATCCTGTGTTGTAATGGGTTGCAGTTGTAGGTGATTATTCCTGCCAGTTGGCCACTGCAAGCATCACCTGGATTACACTGATTCACTGCCCTGCATAATATAGGGAATGATTTGGAATTGCACACAGACCCGAGGGGGGAAAAGTCCAATTAACATATGTATGAGCTGAGCGGAGATGGGAGGAAACGCTCGCCAAAATAATCTCCCAGCATTTCAGCGACATGTTACGGTGGGGTTAACAGTGTGGGCCCGCTGACTGCAGCAGCCACAGTCACAGCTGAGTCTGACCGGAGCGCGCCGTGCCATCGCGCAACCTAACAAGGAGCCGTTAAGCTTTATAAGCAGCACTGTGGTGTCCTTGGCACTTTATCTGTCATATAACTCCACTAAGTGAGCAATAATAAGACTTCAGGCAGACAGGTAAGCAATCAGGGAATCAGAGGAACGTGTCCTCTCAATATTTGACGTGGTCTGCTAGTGACACTGCGGCCTAACCCGAAGTAATCCCCTCCTGAGTCCTGAAGTGGAGGCATGCTATTAAAATACCGCACTAATTAAAATGGATAAATTTACATGCCTCCTAGCAGGAGAGGATACAGACTGAGGCGACACCCGGAATGTAAAGTCCTGTCAGCCGGTGTGGTAGTACAGAAACAGAGCAGATTACACACTAGCAGAGCTGAATCCTTGATTGGAGAATAGAGAGAGGGAAAAGTATTCGTGCCTTTTTTCTTCTCCTTCCACTTTTCTCTATCCATGAGAGACAATTCACTGCACCTGCTCAGCCACTAAAACAATGCCTTGGCTACTGTGCTATGTGTTTGGCACCTCCCATCTAACTGTCAAGCTAATTTTCGTGCATAAAACAGAACACTTTAAAGCCAGAAACTATAGTGTATTCTGGACTTGCCTGAAAGAAGGACTGATACATGCATGAAGAGATGGATTTTTCTATTTGGGAGAAGACCAGAGAGCGAAAGAGAGCTGGAAAAGGCTTGTGAGCGACCAAGCTTAGGCCCGCCATTTCAAAGCTTCTCCCTGCATCCAAGGGAAAGTAAAAAGACAGCTTCAGTTCTTTTTTTAACTGTGTCACAAGATTCTTTTTACACTTGGGGAGATTGTCTTTTTTTTCACCCTCGTATATTGTCTCCAGTTAATAAATCAGGCAGAAATTTTGCCCCCCAGAGGTGGAGGATGATAAAAAAAATAGTTTTGGAGGGGAATTCTTTCATCTTTTTTATGAGTGTGAAACAAAGAGAATGGGAGACAAAGGCCTTATCGGAGGCTGCAGTTGTGTTTTAGGAGCCCGTCCTTGGGAAGTGGGCTGGTGAACTTTAATGCAGGCCAAGGTTGTACAGTTAAGCTCGGATCACAAGCGTACAACGGTTACACGCACTTGGAGACACACACACACAGACACAAGGCGTTGAAATGAGATCACAGGGAATCAATTGTTTTTGAAGCGGCACCGAATTAAGCGGCATTGAGCAGCTTTCATATTTATGTGGCACCTCCGAGCTCTTTTGAAAAGCCAGCTCGCCTTCCCAACGCAGAAATCAATAACGGTGTTTCACCCTTTAATCTGAAACACTCACCCTCGGAAATGAGAGCGCCCGCGCTCGAGATCGGGAAAGATTTGCTCAATTACAGTTGTGGGAAAACAGTAGGCGGTCGTGGACAAACTATGTTACATCTGCTCTCATTTTTATTTTAATATCTGCAGTTCAGCTCAGGAGTGATCATAATTCAGACAGATGAGCCAAATGATCTGTCTTATGTAGATAACACTGATCTTTATCCCACATACCCCCTTTCTTTCATCAGAGTGCAACAAGCTAATTGCCACCGTCTGCGTTATCAGTTGATAATTTCCCCCCTCGTGTTAGCGCTACGAGTTGAGGCTCAGCTGAACATCCCTGAGCTGATAAATGAATCATGGGGCTTCGCACATGCCAAGTCAGCCCCCCACCCACAACACCCCCGTGTTACTATCTAATCCCATAATGGTCTCAATAATGATGGAGCCATGGGTGGCGTCATTACAAAGGGCAGTTTCCATGACAGCACCTCTACTCATCTAACCAAAGCTCACAAGAAAGGTGGCGCAGAAGGAGGAAGCAAGTTTTGTTTCGCTTTGGTTGTGAAACGGCACCACTTTCCATTTCAACCACGGCTTCTCATCAGAAACTATTTGATGCCTCCGTCTGCGTTTTCCTCTAATCTGCAGACACACCACATTTAGCAGAGGGATCCGTTCCTCATGCGTGAAACTTTCTAAATGAAAACCACTACGGTGCCAGGCTATCATCTTTCGCTCGCTCTCGATACCGGAGTGTGCACCATCCCACCTAAGGCTTCAATCTTCCGACCGTCGGGCTGAGCCGGCAGCGCTCGCGCACGCATGCCGGCGCCCCCGACTCAGAGAGCACACGATGCCATATAATATTTTCCCTGGTACATAAAGCTTTAAAGAAGTGATGGGATGGGAGGCTGTGATCAAAGCGTTGTTCACGCCCATTTTTTTTCGTCAGGTTTTCACTCTGTTCTGATCAAGTCAGGTTTTATCGGCCCTGGCCTACACCCATCTGCCGCTACCAGAACCATGGGTACAAAATCCTGTCCTCGTTTTAATGAAGTCATGCTGGAGTTAGCGTGTGAGGAGAAAAGACTGAGGCAGACACCTCTCTCTGATGTTCACATTTCATATCTGCCTCTGCCCAGGAGCTTGCCTTTTTTGAATTATTAAGCAGAGGGCTCTTTCTTCTTTTCGCCTATTTCTTTCTCTTTTTAATTCTCTCACTCTCTCAAAAAGCAAACTCTATCCCTGGTGCTCTTCCTTTTCTTGCTCCTGCATGTCAGTTCAACCAGCTTTGGCTGAAGCAATGGCTCTCACTGAGATGCAAATGGCAGCCTTTGAAGGGGCACACTGGGAACGTCAATTAATCCAGGCGTTTACGCGCAGGAAAAAAAAAAAAGGCAGTGCAACCATTGTTCGTAGGCTGTTTCATCTCTATTGTGCTACAGGGACATGTTTTTATCCACTGTCCTCGTGCCTCTGGATTCCGTGGACTCTTCAAAGATTCAGGATACATCAGGATAGGTACAAAGGCAAGGAAATGACATAGGAAACTAAGGAAGTTGAGGTGACACAGGACTAGGGCTGCATTGCATATTCCATCATATCTCTGTTTCTCCCTAAACCCTTTCTAACACAAAAACCAGCGCTTCTATTTGTAGCGATATTCTAACTTACCTCACTATCACCTGTGCTCTTTTGCAACCCCAGACTTCTCTCCAACCTCAACTTTATATTCTCCCCGACCACTAAGGCTGTACTGTTTGCTACCATGCCTCTAACTGTGATCTCTGTCTCTTGGGTGGTCGGCCTTCAGATCTCAACATACCGAGCCCGTGCTTGCATGTAGCGTGCAGTCACGGGGCAGAGTGTGTGGTCAAGAACAACGAAGCGGTGTGCGAGTGTTCCGAAGCCTGCCCGCAAACGTCCGACCCCGTGTGCGGATCCGACGGCCAGACCTACGGCAGCCCCTGCGAGATGCGATTGATGGGTTGTGCGCTGCAGAAGGAAATCAGCATCCAACACAAAGGACCCTGCGGTGAGTACTCACTGTCACAAAACCCAAATATAAAAGTGCTTGCATCTCAGTAATGAATTTCAAATTAACGTCATGCTCGTACGGTCACATTGCCCCATGCAGTCAGCTATAGTGAGGAGACATGACTGTGAAATGCTGTGAATCATAGCTTACAGACATGGAAGGATCTCGGAATATGATTTAGCAAATTAATTAATAGCACCACAATGCGGAGAGGCAAAATTATAATCCACAGACGTTAACAATTAACACACATAACTTTATATTCATGTGTGACCCCACTGGGAGCCGTTTCAAATCCAGCAAAGGCAAATCAATACTTAACACACTGATGAATTTCATGATCCCTTGTCCGTTACTCTTTATCTGTTCCTCTGTGCTCATCATCAGCCCTTCTATAGCAACACCACAACTCCAATTTGCCTGTTTTGACCTTTAAGTGAAGATGCACTTTGCTTTTGATGAAACAGAGCGCGGTGCATATTTTTCTGTAATTGGCTACATGAGTCACTTGGCTTTGTCTTTCACTGCCGGAGTATCAGCTAGTCATTAGTATACCAGCGACAGTGGAGCTTCAAGTGGTAAAAATATCTCTATACCCACTATGCTGGCACACAGCCATATGGACAGGTTTTTGCAGCTTGGTAAAGCCACTCAGTGAGTACTCCGTGGCATAATGCCATTTTGCAACGCCAATTTTCCCATGGACTCTAATTGGTTATTGAGTATTCTTGCTTGTCTACAATCCAGTCATTCTCTTTTTACTCAAACTGGGCAGAAGTACAGTGGCTGTTAGCCCCATGGCCAGACTGTCTGTGTAACTCAATTTTAATGCAATAGATTTTTTTTCCTGCATATTTTGACGACAGCAAAAGTCTGTTGGCCTCTGCAGTACTGTATTTGTGGATGAGATGAGCAGTTTCAAACATGATGAGTGCAGCACAATCAGTTTGGTCTTCGTGATCTAAAGTGTGAAAAGATTTTATGGTTGTTACTTATTTATTTATTTTATTTTTTGCACAAAGGAACCAAAGTCTTTTAACAGAGCTTGTTTTTTTAGAGTTTTATACTTAGAATGACAGAGTTAGTTCCTGGAGAGTTGCTATGTGGACTCTCTGCCTGCCTGTGTACTACATCTGTCATCCTCCCCTCCCAGCTTTCTCTTAATTGAACTCCAGCGTGTAAGGATGTATGCCGCAGAGAAACAGATCTAAAGCAGTGTTCAGTTGGTGGGCAGGCACGTCAGTGCCACACCACAGGTAGACGGCTCGGAGTCCCTCCGCGGTAATGAATAGTCTTTATTTTAAAAAGCGAGAGGCAGGACGAGCTGGCGGGGCTGAGGGACTCTGTGTGTAATCCAGCACTATGGATGGTTCTTGGCTCCCAGAGGAACAGGCCTGCGTCAGCGCAATGGTGCCATAAAAATGCTGAGGCATTGGCTTGCCAAGCGCGAGCCAGCCGAGAAATGATGGCGATGATAATGTGGGTTATTTCTGGGCTGTTTGCACAGCTTTACTGGGCTTTTATTCAGCACCATAACAACTGACTGACTTAAGCTATTATCTCACCTAATTATCACCAGCTATTCCCTTCACTAATATACTATACAGGTTCACGAGGCAGAAAAGGAGCGAAACAATATGTGCTGCCTTCAGGTGGAGTAGGAAGAATAGGAATTAACTGTTAAAGATATATGAAGGTGTATGAAAGAAGGTGAATAAAATGAGAATGTCTGACCTTTGCACTGCAGAAGAGCAGCAGCACTGGTGATAATTAGGCTTACAAAATATACAGACTGTGCAAAAGTCTCGAGCCCCCCCTCATTTCTTTAGATTTTATTTCCAAGAAGCCAGACCTTCTTATATATGTGTTTTTTCTTTGTCAGTAATTCTCCAGAAGCTCTTTCGTCATTTTTATTTGGACATTGGCTGTTTTTTCACACATTTTCAGTCCATACCTTGTTCCTGACCATTTTCAGATAAGTGTTTTTTGCTTGTTAAGCCACTTTACACTGCTATGATTTACTCAATTTCATACCAAAAAGGCAATTACCTAAGAGTTATTATCTGACAGCTTTAACAACAAAAGAATAATTGGCAGGATTAAACAACTACAGTAGATCAATTGTAGCTAAAAGTCATGTCCTTAAGAAATAGGAAAACAATAAGGAGACATAGGAAACGATCCAAGATGCATCTGGACCTTCAGCTAATGCTCACCAAACCTTCATCAGAAATAGTCCCAGTGGAAGAGTGGCCATCAAGAAGCCATCTTTAGGTGAGGTAAACAGTGAGAAAAGGCTGAGATATGCCAAATTAAACAGGAGTTGGACTGAAAAGTGGCAACGGGTCTTATACATCAGGATATACATTACTGTACTGTACAGAGGAGGTCAGTAGAGAGGTGGGTGTCTACATTCATCTGTAAAACATGGTGTAACCTCTCTAAACGAAATGCCAGTGTAACTGCCAGTAAAAGCATACCTGGAAAGAAAAGAAAACCCACAGTGGAACACTATCAGTCATGTACTGGCCTCCCCAGAGCCTAGACCTCGACATTAATGAAGCAGTGTGGGATCATCATGATAGAGAATGGAACAAAAGGCAGCCAAGATCCAAAGAAGAGCTTTGAATGTCCTTCAGGAAGCCGGAAGAACTATTCCTACTTAAAGACATTACAGAAAGTCTACATAAGAGAGTTCAGGCTGAGTTGAATAATAAAGGTGGTCATACCAAATATTAACTTTCAGCCTTATTAGAACTGTAAAACCTCAAACTTTACTGTTGTCTTACTTTGTGTATTTCCATGTGTATTTGAATTTGTTTGAATAAATCGGTGCACCTGTTTCCCATTTTCCTAACAAAATATAAAGAGATGAGGGGCGGCAGTACTGTTGGTCTTTATATTATTTCATTTATATGATTTCCAGAACACTCACCAAGGAAAGGATGCATTTGTTTACTGTTGCCGTTTTGTTATTTCCATCCAAATGCTCTATAGTGTGTACGCTGTCATATTTATGGCTGCCAGGCTCAGAAGTAGGAGCTTAGGTGAGGCTGTGAGGGTAGCAATAGTGTAGCGGGTGAGAGAAGTGCCACAACAGGGAACTTAACTGTGTATGTGTGTGTGTGTGGGGAGCTTATTGCCTCTCATGGGCCCAGACATAATTTCATTTCTATCCCTCCGGCCTGGAAACATAGTGGTTATCTATATGGCTCAGGTGCAACCTGATAGCAATATGAGTGACATTTGTTATTATTCAGAGATTTTTCCTCCTCCTGCATTGGAGTGGCGGGCCACCTTGTAACAGGGGCTGGAAGAGGTACACTTGGTTAATAGACCCCCCAGCTGGATATCAGTCACCCCAGGAAAAAAGCCCATTCATGCTGACTACCCAAACAGATGAGAGCAGAGGTGCCTGAATCATTTGAGAAACAGAAATAACAACTTCCCCTTTTTTCTCCCACAGGTGTTGGAAATGATATTCTCAGTTGAGTAAGAAATATAGGTCACAGAGGCAGCCTGTGAGAAAAAAATGAGAGAATAAAAGAGGGCAGAGGGAAAAAGGGAGGAGAATGTGATAAATGTTCATAGGAAAGGAGATGGAGGTAAATAAGATGATGAGGCGCAAAGAAAGTGGGGGGCAGAGTTAATAGTGTACTGGCCAGGCATGCATCAACAGGGGAGTTGTTATCACCCAGGCATGTTCACAAGCCTTCAAAACACAAAGCAACATGCTTCTTTCTGTTTAATCCTGAGGTACTACTCCTCCCAGACCCCCTCAGCTGCAGTTCAGGTGTTCCCCAGTAAGGATATCTAAAAAATGCTGTAAAGCTGGAGGGTCTTTGTTGTTGTTTTTTCTGTTCAATGAGTCAGTTCTTTATGTTTTCAAGGACACTTTTCTACCAACCCACTCCTGTTCCTCCTTCTCACCTTCAGCTCCACAAACACTTTGTCCAAACACAGCAGCACAAACTGTTAAAGTGCAAAGTTGCTAACATCAGATCTCTGGGACTCCAAGGGGACCTTGACAAAATATTAGCAGGTCCTCATCCAAAGGAAGAAAGGTTTTCTTTGATAGTTAAAGACATGCGTGAGGATATTATGAAACCCTGATTCCAAAAAAGTTTGGATCCCATGTTATTAAAACGTTAATACAAACTGAATGCAATGATTTGCAAATCTCATAAACCAATGATTTATTCACAGTAGAACATAGAAAACAATGTTTAAAATGCTCCATTTTACTATTTCATGAGAAATATTTGCTCATTTTGAATTTGATGGCGGCTGCAGGTCTCAAGATGATTTGTATATGGGCAGCAAAGGGTTGGAAAAACTAAGTGGTACTAAAAAGAAACGGCTAGAGATACATTTTACAAAGGATTAGGTTAACTGGCAATATGTCTGTAACATGACTGGGTACAAAAAGAGCATCTTAGAGAGTTTCTCAAAAATAAAAGGTGGTTACAGGCTCACCAGTCCGGAAAAAATGACATATACAAACTTCAAAATAACATTTGTCAATGTAACATTGTATATCTCCAAGTCTAGGGCAGGGCTGTTGAACTCCAGGCCTCCAGTTCATTACCAGGCCTCTGGAGAACTTCAAGACATGTTGAGGGGGTAATTTAGCCATTTATATGTGTTGGATCAAGGACACATCTAAAACCTGCAGGACACTGGCCCTTGAGGCCTGGAGTTTGACACCTGTGGTCTAGGGTATATTAAATCTGATGTTTCTGATAATCCGGAGAACTCTTTGTGCAAGGGACAAGGAGGAAATTCAACATGTGAACCCCACAATCTTCAGGCCTTCAGGTGGCACTGTATCAAAAACAGACATGGAAATCACTGCCCAGGCTCAGGAACAGTTTGTGTGGGTACCACCGTAGCTCACTTGTTAGGCCATGCAACCATGTTCAGCTTGACCTGGACCTTGCTCCCTGCCATGCCAGTATTACCATTTTAGAGAGCACCTTCAGACAGTTTAGAAACATACTGTAGATTTCACATATGCCAAACTTGTATACCCCAGCCAGAGTCTAGATTAAGCACACCTTATTGCCAGACTCATGGCAGACTTGCTCTGAATGGCGAACATTCTAACTCCCGTGATCTGGGTGCCAGTGCTGCCTAAATGGTTGCCCAAATGTTATTAAGCATATCTAATGATCAGCCGATCTCCATACTCACAGCTGGCAGCTGTTTTTGGACCAGAGAATGGTGCCATCTTTGAGCCTTTATTGGCCTGAATCATTCTGCTGTAAAGGCAGAACTAATTTTAGCTGACTCTTAAGCTATTTAGTGAATATTTGTGTCAGGTTTTTTATCAGAACTCACACAAAAAGGCTTTAAAATATCTTACTTTGATCTTGGACAGTGTGTCATACTCTATATTTCTCTAGGTTCTTGCGCCTGAAAAGCATTTGCATGAGATGAAAGATCCCCTGTTGTAATATCTCCCATTCTTTATTGTCATGTCTGTGTTTCATAATGGCCAGCCAGACTTTTTACCTTAAATTTTGAACTTTTAATGGTTGCGAGGTTGCCTTCAGAAACCACTGAAACCCAGAAATGGTGATGACAGACTTGAAGACGACTGATTCAGAGATCAGACATGACAAAAAGTACACATCCTAACATTATCAGTAATGGCAACAATCTCCTCTCTTTTCCCGGCTTTGAACTGAGGCTCCCCTCCTCTTCTGTCTGTGATGCATGTTGTCTGGAGGATCAGGCAGTGCAGAGAGCCAGGTGCGAGGGGCAGGAGCTGATAAAGAAGCGAGGCTACTATCAGGACACAGGGCCTGATAAAGGACAACACTCACCACTTCCACTTCCTGATTTATAGCTGTCTCAGCCACAGAGGATCCACGACCACAGCAGTACACTTTTACTATGTTTTATGTTTATTTCTTTTTTGTCATAGAAAAGCTGTGCAGGGGAGATTCTTTTTTTTCCTCGAGAGCAATGAAAATAATTGTTAAGTACTCTTAGCCATTAAATACTGACAAAAGCAATAATGGTACCTCAATACTCCACTCTTATGTGACACCCCATTGTGAAAGTATGGTGTGGTAATCTTCTGCAAGATTGTGGAATCTGCAGGAATTTGCTCCCATCCTATAAAGAAAATGCATCAGTGAGGTCAGCCACCGACGCTGAGGTCTGGATTGCTGTGTGTGACCGAGATGATAGCAAGAGTATTGAACGGGTCTGTGCTGGTCAGGTCTTCAACAGCAAAATAGTGTAAAGGTCCTTCTGCAAAAAAAAATGTGACATGTTGGAAAAGGTCAGAGCAATCCAAAAACTGTTGCAACAAACTTGGAGCCTAAAATATGATTATAGAAAAATGTCATCGGGTGCCAAGGCACTCAGATGTCCCCAAACTCAAACTCAAGACAGAAGGCCACACTGTGAAAAATAGCCCCAGAGCAAAAGCACACATGAATTTAGCATAGACAGTTGCCCTGAATGTCCTGCTCGTGCAGTTTAATTTAAGCATATCTTCATAGAACTGATCATTCCACCTCCACAGAATGAAACGTTTGCTCCTACAGGCTCCCACAGGCCATGTACTGTACATAAAGTGCCACGTTTCTTGCCATATCCACTTCTAAGTGGATAGCTGTTAATCAAGAAAGCAGCGGATGCCCACATTAGATGGAGAGATGAAGGAAATGAATGGCTCTAAAAGAGTAATAAACAGATTAATAATGTGGAGGGTTCCAGCAGCCAGCCTTGCCTCTCTCAATTAGTGCTAAATCAGCAGTGGGTATTAGCCTGCCCCTAATTGAATGTGATAGTGAGCTGTGCTAATGCAATCCTCCCAGTGTAATTGGTGTCAGAGGAAAAGGTGTCTATACTACTAGCCTTTTCTGTGTATGAGGACTTGGATTTGCCTTCTCATTTTTCTTTCATGTCCCCATGAGGGCTCAGTCAGCACCCTGAGCCTGCCCTGCTGTTTCTTTTGAGGGAAACGTTGTCTCAGCCAATCAGTCAACAGATGAGCTAGATAAATCCTCATACTAAAATCAAGGATTTCAAAAGCTCTCTTTGCTTTTTTTCTGGTAGCATCTGGCGAGAGAATACAGATGTTCTCAGCTTGATTCTGACTGAAAAGCGGTGGAAAAACAGCATATTTTGGGCCATATATAATTAGCCTTACAATCTTAAGGGAAAGCGTGATTTGTCGCACTCAGTTGAGGCTAGTTCTTTTCAGCATCCGCTGCTGAGAAGGCTTCCCAAAAAATGGTGCTGGCTACTCCCATCCAGTACCTGGCTTTCACTACTTACAACAATTGCTATTCCGGCCAAGGAGTTCAATTCTTGTCTCATCAGAGCAGAGAATTGTTTCCTTCATGCTTTCAGAATGATTTAAGTGTAATTTGGCAAACTCTAGCATGGCCCTCTTGTGGATTTTACTCAGGACTAGCTTCAGTTTCTGACCACTCTCATAAAGTCCTGATTGACTGAGTGCGGTTGACCTTCTGGTAGCTTCATCTATTTTTGGTGACAATTTTCAAAGCTCATTGTGTTCAGCTATTTAGTTTCAGTTCCAGAAAGACTGGTTTTGGTTGGCTTGAAATTTCTTTAGTGATGGAACCCACTGTGCTCCTGGGAACTTCATGCACTTTAGCATCTTTTCTAAAATCCTCCTCCATGGATTTGTGCTGTGGTAGGGCTCTGTCTGGGAAGTTTTTTTATTTCATGGCATAGTTTTTACCTCTGACATGCAGTAAACTTTAAATGGCATGTGTGCGGCTTTCTGTATTCTTTAATATCATGTGAATGTACCTCATGTACACTAATAAAGCTTTATACAAATTCCTTGTTTTCCCAGGAAAAATGGGAAAACAGGTTATTTCCTGTAGCTCTGAATAGTAAATAATGTTTGCCTTGATTCTCATGCTTAGTTCTTAGCATAATTTTGCATGAGAAAAATGCAACAAATGAGACATTTTTTATTATGAGACATATAGAATACAAATGTTCTTTTTTTATCCATTTAAAAAACAGAGTTATTTTTCCACTTTTGTTCATTTCCATTGTTACCGTGTCCATCTAAACACTCACCAAGAAGAAAGAGTTTTGATTTTAGTGGAATTTCTTTTAAAATATTCTTTTCATGTGTCTCTCTACCCAAACTGTTTTAGTGTTCCTTTAGACGTTGGTGCCTTGTCTATTTATATAACAATGCAATGTGTCAGGAGTAACATAACTCTCCAGCCACTTTATTAGGCAAACCTGTTCAACTGCTTGTTAACACAAATATCTAATTAGCCAATCACACGGGAGCAACTCCAATTAGGCGTGTAGACGTGTTCAAGACATCTTGCTGAAGTTCAAACGGACTTTGAAGGTGGCGTGTTTTTTAGTGGCAGACGGGCTACTGTGGGCATTTCAGAAATTGATTTTTCCACACAGTCATCTCTAGGGACAAAACATCATTTGAATGAAGGTTTTCTGGTCAGAAATGCCTCGTCAAGACCGAGGCTACAATGTGCTCACCTCTACTGGGCAATGGAAAATTGGAAAAACATTAGCTGGTCTGATCAGGCTTAGTTTCTGGTGTAACATTCAGCAGTTTGGGTCACAATTTAGCGTAAACGACATAAAATCACAGCTCCACCCTGCCTTGTATTAATGGTTCAGGTTGCTGATGGTGGTGTAATACTTCTGTTGCACACTTTGAGCCCTTTAATAGCAACTGAGCATGATTTAAACACCGCAGCCTACCTGAGTATTGTTGCAGACCTTGTCCAACCATTTGGGACCATAGTGTACCCAACTTCTGATGGCTGCTTCCAGCAGGATAACCCACCATGTCACAAAGATCGAATCACCTCAAACTGGTTCCTTGAACACAAGTTCACTGTACTTAGATGGATTGGCCATCCTTTGATCGTGGTGGGATTGGAGATTTTCATCACGGATGTGTAGCTGACAAAGCTGCAGTCTATGTGCGATGCCATCATGTCTGTATGGACCAAAATCTCTGAGGAACGTTTCCAGCATCTTTTTGAATCTATGCCACAAAGACTTAGGGCTGAAGCATCCAGTTCTGTGGTGTGTAATTAAGTGGGATCTCAGTACTCTGATTTTCCATCCTCTAGTAAGATTGAATTTTCCAAATCTTCACTCCATATACTGAGCTTGTAAAGTAAAATATTTGTACTGTAAGTTTGAACTTTTTCCAGTATTGGCACAGTTTTGGTTTCTTTGCTTAGCACCTCACCAGTTTGGTCTCCAACATTTTCAAAATTAATGATAATGGGTGCGTCAAAGTAATTCAATTCAGCTGTATTTATACAGCGCCAAATCACAACACCAGTCACCTCAAGGTGCTTTATATTGTAAGGTAGACCCTACAGCAACGCATACAGAGAAAAACCCAACAATCATATGACCCCGTGTGATATCAAAGTAACATATAGATGAATGACAGGACCCAGTGTTTCCAAGCAGAACATTATATCCTAATGTGATAATCAGTGTTATTCACTTGACTTGTCAGTAGTTTTAATGTTGTGGCTGAAAGACCAAATGACAAACCAACACTACTTTAAGAATCTGTAGTAGCCAGAAACTCATTCCCTCGCAACTTTATATTCACTTAAGTGATGTTTCAAGCATCATCAGAAAGTAAGATGAGCTGAAAAGCACTGCACTGCACTGCATTTGCATAATGATAACATAAGAGAATCCATTTTAAGTCTACCATACATTAATACGAGCAGTGTAAAAGAAACTTAATATCCTCTAAATTCACCGTTTCTCTTAGAATCAGACCTCGGCGCCAAGGTTATGTAATCCCACAGGAAGCACACATGCACAGACACACTTAACCATTTGTTTGCCTGCTTGTCCCCATCTAGATGAGGCCTGTGCCAACTGCTCTTTTGGGGCAATCTGCGATGCCCAGAGCAAGCAGTGTGTGTGTCCGTCAGAGTGTGTCAAGTCCCACCAGCCTGTGTGCGGCAGCGATGGTACCACCTACAACAGCGAGTGTGAGCTGCATGTGCGGGCCTGCAAACAACAGATGGACCTCCGAGTGGTCGGCCAAGGAGAGTGCAGTAAGTAATGCGTACATTTATGGAGAATATGTCTGGTAGTTACAGTATGTCATCTTCAGTGTGTCATTATTAGTATAAATATGAAGGACACATCAGCGATCTTAGCACAAACTGGTGATTTGATATTAGGCTAGGGAAAAAGTGTGCAATGTTCATATGTAAAAGATTCATTTCTTTCCTCTGGCTCTGAGTTAAATATGGAAATGACATGTAAAAATAGTGCCCATCAGGAAGCTCATAAAACTGCAGGCACTTCAAATACAAGCAAACTTGTCAAACTGAATTCTCAGATGGGAAATTGCTCCAGCAGCATGTGCTGTATATGTTTTAAAGTGGAATATATTACGAGGGGAAGCAGCGTGCATGACAAATAGAAAAAGGAAAAGAGAAATCCTGTTTAAAAATATATTCCAGAGATGACTTTGAATGTCCATGTGGATCATATCCATCAAAATAACTCACCAGTCATGCTGTGGCCTGCCCCTCTGCTGTGTGTTTAATACAGAAACATGTGGCAACACTGTTTGTGCCATGGGTGCCCGGTGCGTCCAGAATAGGTGTGAGTGCCCGCCGTGCTCAGGCGAGCCCTACTCCCCAGTGTGTGGAAGTGATGGCACCACCTACGACAATGAGTGTGAACTTCGCAGACATTCCTGCACGCAGATGACGAGAATTGACGTGGCGAGGCTCGGCAGCTGCGACGAAGGTAGGAAATTGGACTTTGAAACGGTGTAATTATCTTTATCAAGCGACCTGCGGTGCCGTATTTGGTCGTTTGTGGATTCGTAGCTGCGACGTCTGCGTCGGCTTAACACTGCAAAAAACATGAGGCGACAGCCGCGGTGTGTTTCTGTAAACAAAACCTGTTAGAAATCCAGAAATGACTTCTGGGTGATTAAGCTCAGGTCAGCTGTACGTTTTCAACGCAGTGTTTTCATTGGCTGCTTGTCTGGCTGACTTTGTTCGCGAGCGTGCTGTGCAACGTATGAGCTGCAGCTGGTTTTTGTTTATTGATCTCACCGCTTCCCCCCCATTGCTCCTTGATGCCTCAATAAACTGAAACTAATTAATTGCAGACAGTTTTTCATTTGATATTTGGAACTTGTAGATGGGATCCCAAGCTAAATGCTCCATGCATTAGAGGTAGCTAAAAATGAGGTAAGGGCTGAGTATAGATGACTGAAGTATATTAGAGCCTGAGAATATTATGTCTGCTAAAAAGATGATCTGTGAATTGTAGGCTGGTGATTACTGCATGTACTTTTACCTGAATTCGCAGCACGAGCTGTAATAGCACGAATTATTATGCTCGGCTTTTATTAGGAGGGGGGCTAGGTTGTGTTTGTTTGTGTTGTGACAGCTAGGGTACACATTTTATCTAGCTCTTCTATTCAATTAGGCTTTTAAATGCGTGACCGATGGCACTTAATGTGAGTATCCCTCATTTCCATGCCTGTAGCTTTGTCATCGCTTCGCATTCTGAATAAATGAACTCTAATTCACCGTGCAGATCATATCTTGATCAGCGCTGACAGACTGAGGCGGGATATCACAGTCCCTCGCTCATCCCCTTCTTGGGGACAACTCTGGAGGGAGCAAAATGCCAGCCTCTGGTTTTAAATGCAGACAGTGGCAATGCTGCTGTTCCCTCGTGGCTAGTTGGCCATCACAGTGAACATAGTCATCTACTGACAAGGTGTGAAGGGGAGCAGATTACACCTGCCGGCAGGAGGGATGGCTGGAGAGAAGAAAGGAGGGGGTAGATGGAGGACAGGGCAAATAGAGATGAGGGGGAATCCACTTCCATTTTGATTGCTACAGCCAGGGGTCTTTTTTCTTTTTCCTCCCTAACCCCCCCACTACCATTGTCTGCCGTATTTGGCCCCAGGCCTGCGAGGCGAATCGCACCATCAAAGCTTCTTGTGGCCGATTTAACATCATTTCATTGACTGAGATAAGTGACTTTTTTTGTATGTGGAGCATGAAGAAATGTGAAACTGTATGCCCTCGATGCAGACGTGCAGACTTACTGTCACCACGCACACACGCAGCTACACACTCCTCATTGTCTGTTGGTTGTATCAGGCAAAAAGTACTCTCATCTGCATCCCAAGGGCATTGCTCTGCTTGCAGTGGCTGATGGCTTTGTTTTTATATTTTATTCTCTCTACCATACTGTCTCTCAGCATTCTCCTTTTTCCCATCGCTTGCTCATTTTGATTCAGAGAGAACTGTCAGGCTTACACAATAGAATCTTTTCTTTTTTTCCCCTTTCTTTTTTCTTTTTGCTCTCCACATCGCACCCTGCTGTCCCACCCACTCACATCTCTTTCCATTTTGCACTCCTCTCCATCAAAATTGTCCTTCTTGACAAAAGGGGCGCCAAGGCTTTCACAGACAGGGGTGGAGAAGGGCTCGGCGGAAATCAATAAATTTCACCCCAGGGGCAGCAGACGGTTCTGTCCCCCCCTTCTTTCGGCCCCTCAAATCTGACCCGGACCCTCCACAGGAAGCCGGTAAAACAGTCAAAACCAATTTGCAGAAAGTTGTTCTACTTCTCTCCTCCTGCCTGTCTTAAACAGGATTTGCTGCTGATGGATTCACCCTTGCCTACATGTACAGTATCAGTGGTAGATTTGGCAAAATTAAGAGCACATGCTGTGTTATACAGCACCCTTGTCACAAAATGTAATTCTGTTTTTTTTTCTGGCTCTATTGTAGACAGCGGCAGGGCTCTACATCACCAGTATGCGCAACTCCCCACTCCATACTTCAAATCTAAGATAAGCCCAGAGAGGAAGTGAATGTGTTGATTTATTTGCTTACGTAGACCTGACTTAAAAACCATCCTCATTAGTCTTGTTGGGAGGAGGGGAGCGCACGGCATAAAAATGGAAGTTGTTTTCTCCTGCCTTTTTATTTAGCAGTAATGAAAAATGACAGTGTTCCCACTGTTGGCCATACAGGGAAATTTATCACCTGTTTAATTTCACACTCGGGTAGGCCTGGCCTCAGCTCCTTTTCTCGACACTGACAAAGTGGTAACTGAGAGCAGTGCATCACCTACGGAGGCCCGAGCCCCCTTTTTTAATTGAATAGACATTTAATAAACAAGATTATGAGAGCAGGATCACACGGCGATGCTGGATCCTCACCCTCGTCGCTCCTCACACGGCACGGATGTGATCAAGCTCCAAAAGACAGGAAAGGGCATGAAAAAACAGGCAAGTGAGTGGCTGGGTGGCACGAGAGCTTCCCGGAGTGTGATCAGCGCATTTTTCCTTCACGGTCCATTCATCATGGGGGCTTCTAACCTTCCGTTGAGGCAACAAAACTTCTTTTCTCCTCCTGCCATCTAAAAACACCCCATCCTCCCACTGGCTGTGATGCTTCTCCGTCCTACAGGAACTTTATTTAGGCTAACGTGCTGTCACATCAGTCAAAGAAGGTGGTACTGATAGAGGGAGCAAAACCGTAGTCATTTTCAAAGAGGGAGAATTTCTTTAAAGTCATAGATGTTGACATTCAGTCAGGTCATGATATCAGAGGTATCATAGAAATATCAGATGTCTCCTGGATCATTGATGTTGACACAACAAATCTGGTTTGCTGAACATCTACAGCCCCCTCCCCTCCGTCATCTATAATTTACCCAGGTTCTCATGTTTTCTCCTCTTCCCTCTACTTTCAGTAGCACACAGTTCAAGACAATACCGTCTTCCTCTTCACTTCCTCTATTATTTCTACTGTCAAAGCCTCTCAGTCTTTTTCGGACATTATTCTTATGCAATTCATTTCCTTTCTTCTCTCCGCCGCTCAATTCTGGCTTCTTAATGGAGCTCCCCTGGCTAAATAGACTCAGGCTTCTGACAAGACTGAGTAAAAAGAAACGGATGGGCAGTACGGAGAGAATAGCTGATGCAGCCATCTTGGCTGGGGACATATTAATTGAAAGGTTCATAGGCAGCGTGGGTGACGGGCACATCAAAGAACAACAGCTAATTAGGACCCCCTCCCCTCGCCTTTCACTTTTATTTATTCCATTCTAGTGTCTTACGTCTTTTTATATATTTATCTTGTCTGTGTGAAGGGACCTGAGTGGAATATGAATCGGCTACTCCGGCATTTCCTTTTTACTGCGTCGTGCTGAGCTGGCAAACAGTAAACAGATACAGGAAGCCGACCACAGGCTGCTGAGCTCCCTTTCTGTTTCTGATCTCTTCTTCTCACTTTCAGATGCCATCTGACGCCGAGTACCTGCGATAATGTCACTGGCAGCTGAAAGCCATTACGCAGCGCATTAGCTGTGTCACAAAATGTTATGTTTAACTCGGACTGTGGTTCGAAATCAATAAGTTGCAACAATGGCAAATTCAAGTAAACGGATTAGGGTTGGGGCTTTAAAATGGAGACAGAGCGATGCTTTAATAAGCACTGATGGTTCCTAGTTTTTTGGGGGGGTTTTCTCGGGGAGGGGTGGGGGGGGGGGGCACTCTTCACAAAGCTCCAACTCCTCTGTTGAAGGCACAGATAGTAAAGCGACGTCTCCGCCGCCGTATCGACCACTCAGATCTCTCCCAGCACCACAGCTGATGACCCATATCGAAGAACAGCCGGGGCTTCATCGGCCCCTCCCCGCACCGTGCACTGTGACCTGCTCCATAATCTACTTTGGGAGACAGTTTATGCTAAGTGATACTTCCATTACACTATGACATTGATTTAACCATTAGAGGCAGTGCATCAATACACTGAGCCGAACGAGCCCTAAAAGTAGACGAGAAGGGAAAGAAAGACCTCGATTACCTAATGCGCTTTGAGTCTTCTGCCTGCGCTGGGAGCTTTTAGTTGAACTGTAGTCCTTTTTTGAATAACAAATTTGTTTTAAATGAACTTTCTGCCAGCCCCCAGGGTGCCTCGCTCTGTCTGACATTCTTTCCGTCTTTCATGCTGCATGCTTTCTTTCCCCCGCTTTCACACACGTTTACCTAATCTCCCTCTGGAGTTCCACTGTAGGTAAAATTTGCAACTTCAAAAGCCAGATCCTCCCATTTTTTTTTGCCTGCACTTTGCAATCCCCCCCTCCCTTCCCCAAATTTGTCTTCCTCAAATCAACCCACTTGTCAAATACCCCCCCCCCTTTCTGGTGCTTCTTTTTAAATCATTTTGTAGAGCTGTACATCCTGGCCCCTAATTGGGTTTTTATTTGTCCTTGCTCTGCCTCGTTCCCTATAAACATTAAGCCAGCCTTAGCTGTTCCTCCTACTGCGATACACAGACGTGCATTTTTAAAACAAGCAAAAAGCCATTTCAGGGTCGCAGTTAAAGAGTTGCCGGGACAACTTTCTTTAAAGTCTTGGGAGATAATTAGATTTTACAGAACACTTTGCAATTAGTTGCATTCTCATATCGGGAAGCAGACACCCATAAAGCAGGCCTCGCCACCAATTCTCTCCGCACACTTGGAGGCCGGAGTTAATAATTCCCTCCCCCTTTTTTTGTTTCTGATGTAATTGAAATGAAAGGATGCCTCACTGGTGGTGCAGAGATGTCTAATTTATTTAGTCAATCGGTGGCCCTCGCTAGACACCGTCATTATCTTGTACTACCAGCAGCGCCTTTGGTTGCCTCTCGCCATCATGAGGGGAAATGTAAATTATCTTAACTTTACGGCGCCCACAGTGTTTAAATGTAGTTTTAACTTCAAGACAAATAAAACTACGATGCCCGCTAGATGTATAGATTGTGATGTGTGTGCATATGTTTGTTAATGATATTGTGTGTCTTTTTTTATGCAGACTGCGGCTCGGGCGGGTCTGGATCGGGTCAGGAGAGCTGTGAACAGGACCGCTGTCTCGTATTTGGAGGCACGTGGTACGAAGACGCAGAAGACGAAAGCGACCGATGCCTTTGTGAATACAGCTGCACGAGTGTGCCTCACAGCCTGGTAAGACAGCCTTCAAAAATCATTTGCCATTAGCTGCTAATGTGGTTAAATCTTCCAGTCCCTTCAAAGCAAAATGCAAAAACATAAATCGCACACATCTGCTTTTGACATTTTCATCGGACAAACTCCAATCTCCTATAAAATGACATGGAAAATTATTCCTGAATTTTTGTCTGTTTAGCATAAAAAGAAATCTAGATGTCTTCTGAATTTGCCGAATAACCTCGCTTGTTACAAAATCCATCAGGGGCCACTTTCTTTCTTATTTTCTTGTAAATTTGACAAAATTGTAAAACCTGGGGGCGTGGATGAAGGCACGGGGGACTTTTTCAAGGTCAGCTTCAGATGGAAAATCTTTTCGCAGCATTTCTTATTCGGAGACAGCATGACTGTACAACCTCGGTAATTTGTAAGCCAACGCAAAACTCAAAAAGGATCCCAGAAACTGAGTAACTGGGCAGAAGAAAGTTTTGTGACATCCACAATTAAGCATCAGAAAGGCGAGGCATAAGGCTGGAGATGGTGTTTATGTTGCGTCCGTCAGTGGAACATATAGGTTGACATAGTCTGCATAACAGGGGAAAGAAACACTGTATTTATGGCTTACCTGACTGAACACCACGTGACACGAGGAGAAAGCTCCAGTGACGACAGAAACAGACCTGTCTAATAAGCCGGAGCAAAAAAAATATCCTCTTTTCCCACGAGGTCATCTTACCGTCATGAGCAGCAGCAGCTTGCTTTGTTGTCACGGATGTGGCTCAGGTGTCACCGCATGGTCTTAAGTGTGGTGAAACTGATGACACCTGATTAAACCACGTCCATTACAACTGAGTAAAAACGCCACCTGACAAAGGCCGTGAAGTATTATTGAAAGCAACCGAACTAACCACTTAATGGCTCTTTAGTTCAGCGTCTAGGTGAATGCGCTTTTACTTTAAATACAGGGCACGCCTCGGTAAAAACACGCGGCCTGGTAATAACTGAAGCGAGGTAGAGCAAAAAGAGCTGAGGGGTTAAGCTAGACGCTGCTTCAGACTCTGCTTTGTGTCTTTCTTTTTGCAGGTTTGTGGTTCCGATGGGAAAAACTACAGCAACGAGTGCGAGCTGAAGAAGGCCAGATGTGAGAAACGAGAGCACTTGTTGATTCAAAATCAGGGACCCTGTGCAGGTCGGTACATTACGCCACTCAGAGTCGATGTCATTGCAGTGCACAAGAGCACCCTCATCAAGTCTCATTGTCGCTGACATCCCATTTCTCCACTCATTCCATCCATCGATGGGGTTGTAATTGTCTCTAGTTTGAGTGTAATTCTGACAGCACTGCTTGTGTCTCTCTTCAGTGTGACCTGGTTAGCCATAAGCAAGTGAAATGATGGGAGGTCAGTGTTAAATTTGATGTGTGGGTTTGTGTAATTTGCTCAGGGAAGGTTGACTCAGCACACTTTGAGCTTTCCAGCTTTTCTGGGAAGTGGCTAGTCCACGTGGGCCGGCTCGTGAGCAGAGTTAAAAATCTTCCTCTCGGGCCCAAGTGTGAACTAACAGATAGTAATAAAGGCTCACTTTTCTGTCCAGATATTCAGAGAATTTAAAGCAATAAACCTGTGCTCCGGAGCTTGCTTCTTAGCCCTCAGGACACCACTTTCCCCTCTTCCTTTAATATAAACTCCCTCTCTTTGCATGTGATGAATGACATTTATCAGCCACAAACGCTGTGAGATCAGTGGCAGAGCAGCAAAGGTTAACCATCTTCCTCTCTGTGGCTATGTTAAATGAAGAGCTTTTTGCTAGCACAGGCCAGGGAGCAGAGCAAAAGGCACTTAAGGGATTTTGTGTGATCATTCCAGTCTGTTTGATTCCCCTTGGGTCTGAAAGAGAGGAGGATGGAGAGAGTTTGAAGAGAGTGAGAATGAAGGAGCTGCCAGTGTTTTCACACACATCTCTGCAGATTCTTCTCCTTCCTAAGCTGGCCTCCTTGGGCACTGACTGTCACGCTTCTCTACCATCCATGGATAATCAATCCTTTTTTGAAGAGTCCTCTATGGGTACAAGGCCTCTGGGTTCTCATCTCCTATTGGCTAATGGGGGGGGGGGGGGGGGGGGGGACTCAGATCTTGGGGAATTTCACTGCCCTCTGCATTAGCTATGTAAGGAGAAACTTCATTTGACCTCAGCTCCATAAACTTTATCAAAACATGCCAGCTCTCAGTAGCGGAGCATGAAAGCAACCTTGTATTTCAGAGGTTCTCAGTTTGAAAAGCTACCTACTTTGCATACAGTGTCAACACAGCCGTCTGCTGCATGCACATTTGTAAAGTTTGCCTCTTGTAGCATTTAAAATAGTATTTTTTTTTTTTTTTGCCGCCTGCAAACTCAAATCAGGGTCAGGGATTTCAATATAATCCACTGAAATTTTTATTGGTTTACTAGACACATGTGCAGATGTGCCCTTGCAGGAATATAAAAGACCAGCAACAATCAGCGAAGCGGAGAAGGCGCAGCAGTGGACCTTGAAAATGTGAGGGTAATATTGCATGTCACAGCGAGGTGCATTGTGCCGGACAATGGAGAAAAACCCTTGAAGGGTGGAAGAACATATGAAATTAAAAGTTCTCCTTGTCCTAATAGGCTCAGTACAGATAGCCGAATGGAGCACTGAAAAGTGGCAAGTTAAATGAACTGTGTCCAAAGCCCATCTCTGGAGTGGGAAAGCACTGGAAAAAGAGCGCGCCGAGTCATCACCATTAGGCTGAGGCTCATATCCACACCAGTAACAGTGTGATTTATGGCCCCTGTATCTCCAGCCTCCAAACTCCAAATGAGCAACACTAAAAGAGGCGATGGGGAGGGCAATAGAGAGACACACAGAAAACCAAGGGTTTTCCCGTTTCTATCTACAACTTTACTTTTCACTCCAAAGTATGAAAAAATGTGAACAATGATGCTTTTGCTCCGGCCATTAAACAAATCCTATTTTCCTCCCACTGACTGTTTTGTTGTTCTCTTCCAATTTCTGGAGAAGCGCCAGGTTTGAGGAACGCATTTGTTTTTATTTTGTTGAATGTGGCTCTGTATTCAGTGCTGTCACACTATTTTGGCGTCTTGTGCATCCTTAGACAAAGGAGCTCTCCACACAGTGTGCGCAGGCAGAAACTGCTTGGCAAATTCCTTCGCATTATGCAGCAGGCCTTTTTTTTTTTTTTTCTTCTGCTTCTTCTTCTTTTCTTTTTTTGAAGGTTGTAGGGCAGCGGTGCAATTTTGTAATATTAGACAAGAACAAATGAAGAGAACATGCCTTCTAGTAGGTGGTAAATGTCAGCTTCTGCACATTCACCAGAAATGCCATTGTTTGTTTTCACTGGAGGTAATAGCATCATTTTCCCCCTGATTTTGAGTCATTGTGGAGAAAGTAGCAAATAGAATTGTTATCTTGAAGCCGACTGCCAGGCTCTCCACCTCTGCCCCTCAAGCCAATCTCATTGTTGGCAAAAAAGTTACATGTTGTTCAGAGATTGTGTTGTTTAATTCCCCTCCTCCACCACCATCAACAAACCCTACAGTAATCACTCAAATGCTGGTGTTCCTCTTTCTCTCCCTGTTCCATCTTCCATCTCCCCTCCCTTTCCTTCCCTACCTCATCGGTGATTTCAGCCGTATCTCTGCCGGACCCGACGGTATCCGAGCACTGCAGCGTGTCAGTGTACGGCTGCTGCTCAGACAATGTGACGGCCGCCTTAGGAGTTGGACAGGCAGGATGTCCCGGTGAGTCCTATTCTGTGTCCCACTTTGACCCGTCAGTGTGTCACGAGTTTTTAAAAAAAAAAAGGAGGAAAAAAAAAAGTAGATAGTATCAGGCTGTTTGCAGCATATGGGCCTCGTTGTCCTTGACTGCAATTACAGTAGCAAAGTTGCAGAGCCGAAAACGTTTCATCTTAATCCAAGGAATAATTATGATAATTCTGCGCTGTATCAACAGAAAAATCTCTTCATCTGATGATCCTGACAAATGATAGCGTGCAGATGGAAGAGAAAAGGCTTGCATCGAGCTGTAAGCCAGGGGATACAGCATGGATGGAGAAAATGCAGACGGAGAAATAAGAATACGCAGAGATTTAGAAAAAAGGAAAATCACCTCAGCGCGCTTTATCCGCCTTTTTATTTGCGGAATAGGGTTTAGCTGACATTTGAGCCTAGCATAAATCTCTAATACAGAGTATCCATCACAGTAAGCATTATCCAACTCTTATAAGCTACAGGGATCTATAAACAGCAGCAGTGTAAGTTTGCTGTAGAAAAGTGAAATTCCTTGTTGCTCTTTTCCCCTCAGCTACCTGTCAGTGTAATATCTACGGCTCCTACAAGGGGACGTGCGATCCAACCACCGGGCAGTGCTCCTGTAAGCCGGGTGTCGGAGGGCAGAAGTGTGACCGCTGTGAGCCGGGCTTCTGGAATTTCCGCGGCATCGTGACAGAGAACATGAGCGGCTGCACTCGTGAGGAATTCCTTCTTTGTATCTGATCAGCTGTGCAAATGTGTTTTATTTCGATGACGTTCATTTTATGTATGTTACTTTTCAATCCTTACATTTCCTCTCCACAAATGGTCTGTGCACACACACACCGAAAAAAAAATCCATGCACATCAAAGTGTTAACACGCAGAGAGGTTTTATTTGGTTTTCAGAAATCCTGAAATAGTGAAATAGTTAGTCTAGATCAGAGATGTCAAAGTCGGTTTAGTTCGTGGGCCTCAGCTTTGATCTCCAGTGGGTCTTGTCAGTGGGTCTTGTCAGCAACTTGTCAGGATCTGGAACTTTCATCTCCAGCATCTCCGCAGACATCTCCAACTTTCATAGTTTGCAAAGTCCTGACTGACTTGTATGATTCACACCGCCTGCTCTAGATACACCATCAATATTTCTGTGTGCACTTTTCTTCTGATCTACTTTACTTTTATAGTTACTGAACAATTTTTTTTTCCAGAGTATAAACAATGTTAGTTATTCCCCCCAATGTTTTCTGGGAAGAAACCCAAAACCTCTGAGTCTGTAAAACTAAAGTCTTTGCCAAATAAATCCAAATCTGCATGGCTGGAATCCACTCTACATAAGTGAGAGTCATATTTCTCAAGATAAGAGCCATAGTTTGACAATACATTTCTCACTGAATTAATAGCAGTGCCTCCGAGCTACCCTTTTTAGAACAGAAGTTTATAAAATGAATATCCATAAAATATAGTCAGTCAAATTAGATTCTCTTCTAGTTAAGCTCCATATATTTATAGAGCTTAACTATTTGATGAGAGTTTTTGTGGAAAGATGTCTTACTTTGTCCTTTAGACCTGTCAAGGCTGTACTGAATGAACCATTCTCATTTGTATTCGAGTAAAGAACAGGGTCGGGACCCCTTGTTTGTCTTGGTGTAATGCAATATGGTGACTAGCTCGTATCCTGCCGCTGAGGTATCATAGGACATAGCTCCCCAAGTCACAGAGCATTTTCAGTCAACAGCAGGAAGCCTGCAGGTGCCTCACCCGTGGCCTGACCTTAACAAGGTTTACCCAAAGCAAGCAGACAGCACACCACACGCCAATACCACGTTCAGCAGGAGAGGAGTGGAAAACAACACACGTCATTGATTCCCGGAACATAATGGACTTGATGTCCTTCCCCGGCGTTGTTTTCCTGAGTTTCTCTTACGTACTCATTCCCCTCCTTCTTGTCCTCCTCCTGTGGCCCCTAGGGCTGGTTGAACTATTACCAACCCTTGATACTTAAGACAAAGATGTCTCTCAAGCACAACGCTACAGAGGCTAAGGTTGCTTCAAGCACAGTTTGTACAGACTATAAACCGAGCTATTCCTATCTCTCTTCCTGCCGTCGTCGCTAATTGACTGGCCTTTTTCCCCCCTCATCAATCTCTCTCATTTTTTTTCCACCTTTCCACGGCAGCATGCAACTGCGACGCTACGGGCTCAGTCCGGGATGATTGTGAGCAGATGTCGGGTCTGTGCTCTTGCAAGACGGGAGTGAAGGGCATGAAGTGCAACGTGTGTCCAGATGGGAGCAAGATGGGCATGAATGGCTGCGACAAAGGTAATAAGAAAGAGCATCAAGGCCAGTGTGTGGGGCATTCAGAAACCAAACACACACACATTTCTCTCCTTGGTTCCAGCTTCTCTCTATCATTCCAAAGTGGTTTTTGTCACTTATCTGATTTGTGGATCAGCCTGGAAGCAGCCATTTCTTTCTTCATCGGCTCTTTGCATCCATCAGCTTTACTGGCAAAGAAGGAAGTGGCTGCAAGAGAGCTGATCAATAGTGATTAGGAAAATACTCAAGTGTACAAATGGCATGTGGATGACACATTTCCCATTGATATTTTATTTTCTCTACACAGTTGTGATGATTCATTGTTCTTTGAATGTGTGGGTTTATACCTCTGTTTAAGGACTATTGATTACTTTTGATTAATAATAAAAACAGCCCTGGTGACTGTACAAGCCACAAAGCCGGTTGAAGGAAAGGTTAGTTCCTGCTGTGGGGGCCTGCAGCTCCATGATTAAGATGCACCATCAGATATCGACTGGAAGTCAAATGCTTAATGAAGCCAGCAGTCCCAGCACAGTGGTGGGGCTCTTCGCCACACACCCTGCCAGATAAAAAGGACGAGTACTAGGAGGGTGCAGCACATAAAAGCAGGAGCTAAAGGGTGGGGTGCTCTAAGCCTCTGTGATGAAACAATGCAAAGACCCCACACTCACATCCAGGTGGGTGGATGGTGGACTCCCTGCAGCAGATCCTGCTGCGACAGCTTCAAGGCTTCAAACAGTCTTTAGGGGAGAACTGAGGAGAGATCTTGAGTGCTCACCTTTGGGCCCCTCAGAAGATCAACTTTTTTTTGTGCAGCAGTTTTGGAAAATTGCTGTGCATGCCATGAATAATTGAAACTCAGAGAATTTGGGAATTCTATTATCACTGTTATACGGTTGGTGTAAAGATGCTGAATACAAGACAAGGATGAAGTCTTTCAGCTCACTCTTTCCACACTATAAAATCACCCCGAGTGCGACAAGTGGTGTTTTAACCTCCTAGGACCTGGCGTCCACATATGTAGACATCAAATTATGGGTTGTCTAGACCAAAATACTAAATTTTGCTCTTCAGGGCCCTGATATCCAATTATGAGGACATTATACTGACACTTTTCTATCCAAATTTAAAGCGAATGTCCTCATATGTGTCTCTCATTTTTCTCAGAAACAAAAATCAAGTAAAAAAAAAAAAATCTGGTAATTCTTTGTTTTTACATTCATCAGGTCCCAATCAGCCCAAATATCAAAGAGAAATAAAAAATGCATGCCATGAAAGAGTTCGGGTCTTAGGAGGTTAAAACTGTGGCACAATAGCACAAGTATAGTATGAATGTTGTCAGCAGTGCAGATGAATTGTTATTCGCTGTTTGGGGTTAAAGTTTTATAGCTAGACGGCTTATAACACAGTTTGTTGTTATACTTTGAAATCCCCTCAGGACCTGATCCCAGCATATATATCAGAACTGCTATCCCTGTACTCTAAACCAGCAGCTTATAGTCTGTTCCCACGTCACTGTTAACACTCAAGAGAGACAGAGTGACTGCTGTATGCAGTATCATCTTTTACATTGCTTTTAAAGACTTTTTCTTTACATGTTTTGGTTATTTCAGTTCTTAACTATTGTGTTCAACTGTATTTTATTCTTTACTGGGTGTTTAACTGGCCGAACTTTTGGTACCTACAGAAAGGTTGACATTTTGATACACAGGAAATTGTAATGTTTTCAAAGAGCCAAACACAGGAGACCAGGATCAAAAATTCAAAACCTTAAGCATCAGCAAAACCAGCTGACAGAAAGTAAAGGTTGGAGTCTTGAAAGCATATTAGATGGACAAACATGATTGGACCTATACTAGGAACAAAGAACCAGGAATGAAAGGGCAGTAATACACAAAAAAAACAAGGGAAGGCCAACATGAATAATGGAAATAACCAGCCCAATCTCACGCCCGAGGCGTAACATCCCGATGATTTGTCACGTTCCGCAGCGTTCCTGAGGAACGCGAAAGGTGACCTTCCGCGTTCTTATGTTACGCGCCGGGTTATGGGTGAAATCCAGCAGAATGGCGGTCCTGCGGTAATACACGTTCAAGCCATGTATTCCAGCCCTAACACTAACTAACCTGTACCAGCACTTTAGTGACGTTAAATAGTGTTTTCCAAAGCGTTTTAAGTAAATTGAACGAACACATGTAGATTGATTCCAAACAGTTCTCAAGTTTAATCGTTTCTCCGATCTCATCATTTACGAACGTGTTGGGTGCCCGGAAGTGTAGTATGTTGACGATTTGTCACCTAGTGTATTACTATATATATTACTCTTTGGGAGTGAGAACGTGTTGAAATAACACTCACAGGAAAGAACAAGGATTACAGAATAAAGGAGGAAATCACTACGAAACAACTAAACGTGGCAGAAATGTTGCCAGCTATAGTCTGATTTCACAGTCTCCATTGCTGTATATAAAGTACTCTATTTGAACAAAAGTGTTGGGCCACACCTCTTAATCTTTAAATTCAGGTGTTTTCAGTCCCATTGCCACAGACTTTTTAAATCAAGCACCTAACCATGCAGCCTGCATTCACAGTCATTGATGAAAGAATGAAGAGCTCACTGAATTCGAGAGTGGTGCTCTAACAGGATGCATAGATGACCCAGTACCTTTGTCCATATAGTGCGTACAGAACGTATAGCAGTGTAAACTTGTTTCTCCCACAGGTCCTGAAGCCCCAACTTCCTGTGAAGAGTTACAATGTAACTATGGAGCCACTTGCATTAAGGTGAATGGCCAGGCCCACTGTGAGTGCCCCTCACCTGACTGCGATTTGAAAAACAAAACCAAGGTGTGTCTTTCAAACTGTCTAAAGAAATAAGTTGTTTGAATGGAAACACATTCTTGTAGTTGCCTGTAGGGAGTTAACGTGTTCTCCCTTCGCTCCATCTCTGTCACTGTGGAGCAGGTGTGCGGCTCAGATGGGGTGACCTATGCCGACCAGTGCCAGCTGAGGACCATAGCCTGTAGACAGGACAAGGACATCACAGTGCAGCACTTTGGACAGTGCACAGGTGAGCCTCGTAGAAACCTCCATGCATAACGAGACACACGGATGGCCAACTGTTGTCAGTCCCTGATCAAAAGATAATGAGCAGTGCCGAGGGCCTCAAATTAACCCCCTCCTGCTGTTTCTCCTCCTATCCATCACTCTGATTCAGAAAGTAAGGTCAGAGCACTGAGAGCACATTTATCTTAAAATAAATGTTTCTGCACACACTCGAGCAGCTGTGCTTATTTCTTATTAAGGTAATTCAAGTGCTGAAGAGTATATAATAAAAGCATCTTACACGCATCATGTTCAATAGCACTTCTGTATATCGAACAAGCCTGTCTCTCCTCCTGGTTTTAAACTGCCTGGTGAGAATGAAAGCATGTGCCACACTACAGGGATCTCAGAATTAAGATGGAGATTTATTTATTTATTTTGAAAAGAAAAACAAGTTTGACTGGAGTCTGTGCGTTGCAAACTCACCAGATAGCAATGACACTTCCTCTTTGCTTTCCAGTCCCTTTGTTGGGATTTGGCTTCATCTTCAAACCCCCTGTTGGGGAATACATCAATCCCTTCGCAGCTTGATGCTGCCAGGAACACGATGCTGCTGAAGTATGATTGCACATGTAGAGTACATGTGTACTCAGGAAAAGGTACAGCTCTTGTCCCCCCTCCCCTCCATCCCAGCCCACATGCTGATGGACATTGCTTGGATCGGTGTAATAGGCACTGGGACCCTTGCCAAGGCCACAGCTTTCATGTACAGTGAAGTGGTCTCGCCGACTGCCAGCTTGCGTCACAGCAGAATTCTAGAGACGCCGCCGGCAAGAGCAGGAGGAAGCTCTACGCCAGCTGTGGAGCTGTGGCCGCGAGCCACTGCCAGGTGTCTTACATTTTCAGGTAGAAAAATGTTCATTCACCTCATCATTTAGTGGATCAAATGACCTCATGCAGAGACACGCGTCCCTTTTACCCCTCTTCCCTGAGTGATCCCCTTCAGACTGAAATGGCAGTATTCCAGACAGGAAAGGATGTTGATATAGTGTATGTTGATTTGTAGTTTCAGGTAGTCGGATTTAAAAAAAAAAAAAAAAAAAGGAGTATGCTCAGTAAGGAATTGACAAGGCTTTGATAAGTCCCTGAACATCTGGTAATTACAAATTCAGTGCTGTGGGTTACCAGCAAATGGAGCCAAAATCCAGTCTGGTCTCACATTCCTCTGTTGCCTGGCAATAGAGATGTGGGTTGTGTGTAATCCCTCACCTAGCATTTCTGCATACACAGAAGGCACGAAGACGCCTCGCAGTGGACTCTCTCTCTATCTCTACGGGGACGATGAAGACACAGGCGAGCGCTCGGGCCCCACCAGCAGCCGCGGAGGATCTTTTAATTTCTTCACCCGGATGCGGTCGCACCGCGGGTTGCTGTTCTGGCGCTGCTGTCGGCTCGGGAGTTAGATCTCGAGCTCATTTCACGTGTGGCTGGGTGCGAATTAGCATTTGCTCTGCCTCCACCCCTCACCACGCCAGAGCCAAGCCCGCCCTCCCTCCCACTGTTTACACGCAGCGCTTCCAGACGCCGGGCCACAGCGCCGTGGCATGCCAATGCTCGCCGAGCTGCTCCGTGGTTTGACAGGAGAGCAGTGCCAAGGGCTCTGCTATAAATGAGTGAATATTGATCTTTTTTAACATCATTGATCTGTTGCAACTTTTTATTATACAAGGGAGCGTGACTGCTGCTTCTGCTGCTGCTGTGCAGTCTGCCGCTAATGGGCAGGCTGAGGAAAGAAATTACAAGCCTGCAGAAAAAGCTCCTCAAATCTTTCTGCCTGTGACAGAGAGCTGTGATGTTACCCGGCTCTCTCTGAAGTCTCCTCCAAGCAGCCGCAGAGTATGGGGAGGAGTATTGCCGGCTTCTTTGCTAGGTCTCAGCAAAAGATGAAGCGATAAGAGAAGAATCCTCAAAAAAATATGCATAAAACACTGTACCGAGCACCGGAGGGAGGGCATTTGTACCGGTGAACAAATTCTGGCAGCGGGAGGAAATGGCCACCATGTTGGCAATGACCTGCCTCTCCCATATGGTGTTATTACCTGTAAGTTTGTAGCAAATTGGCAACGAAGGCCAGCATATGGCACAGGCAGCCCTCTGCCTGCTTGCTAGTCAGGGTTCTGTTGCCTTCTCCTCCATGTCCTGCGATTTTTTTTGTGCCATTATTCACTCCCTCGTTCAGTTTGCCATGCCATGTTTCCCTGCTGCTGATTTGTTAACCTGTATTTTCCATCTGATTTAAACCCTTTCTCTGTCAGGCTCTTTTTCCCTATCATTTCCGCTCCTTGCCTCTGTGGCTTCCTTGTCTTTCTCCTCCAGTTTGCGCTTTCCGAATCCCTCCTCCTCACTGAGGGTGGCTGACTCCACAAACAATCTTAATAATCACCTGTCAACAATAAGTACACAGCTGAAGCAAGCCGAGATGACTATGATTTATTTTGCTCTCTACTCTGTGACATTACTGTCCAGTGCTCGACTGGGAGGAAATAAAGCAAAAAAAAAGGCAAATGGACTGTTAAACGTGATTAAGAGAAGCGTCAGCTGAACAGACTGTGCTGTCAGTCCTTCTCTGCTTTCTCCCAACGAGCGCTCCTCTCTTGCTTTATCCCATGTCGCTGAGCTTGCTTCTGGAGATGCCCACACACCCAAACACACATTAGGCCCTTTCCAGGGACCAATCCGCTTGACGCTAAGCTTGGCACAAGACTGACAGGTGTAGCCAAGAGGAAACGCGATGCATGCCACCTTCCTTGGTGATAGCATCGCTCCTCTATGCACTCCAAATCTCTCTATTACAAATACCTTCCGAGCTTTAAGCAATCTGTGCGTCTCCCGGGCTTTCTGCCGTCTCAGTAGGTATCACATTTCACACCTCGGTGAATAATTGCCGATCAACTAAGCGATTATAGCGGTGTAATTAAGTCCTACACATAATGTTAGGCGAATCCTAATGAGGCGCATGTCTACGGTATAGCTTTTTATTTTTTAATCTCCTCTTCATTTCACCTTCTCACTAACACACATCTGTGCTCGTGGGACGGCAAGGAGCGAAGAAATAATGACAATATTGCCGTGACTGCTCGCCACGGCTAAATCTGAAGTGTTCACTTACGTAGCATCTCCCTGCCAACTCACTTATCTCCCGCAGGAGTTTTTGTCCCATTTATCTCTCTTTTATCGCCAACAGTTTGTCCTTTTGCACCAGAGCTTTTTGCATTGGTAATGATGGGCTCTTTACAGAGAGGCTCTTCTCGCTCCCCTCACGTGGAAGGATTCTTTTTCTGTTGTTGTTTTTGTTGCTCTCTGTGTGTGTGTGTGTGTGTGTGTGTGTGTGTGTGTGTGTGTGTGTGTGTGTGTGTGTGTGTGTGTGTGTATTGACACGAGTGTGTTGTGGTGGCGTTGACGGATACTCATGCTCTCTGCAAGCAGCGCTCTTTGAAGCCAGAGTTAAAGCCGGCTTTTTTTTCTTTCTTTTTTTTCTGCCCCATTTCTATCAATCATTCATCACCGGAGGCACTGGCTGTTGGTGATTAAAGCTGTGCTACTGGAGGGCAGCGTTTGAATATGGATATATAATTCATAGGCATTGGCACAGCAACACACAAACATGCATATTGTGCACACGAATGCATGCCATATGTGTACAAACACAAGCACAAATACCCTCCACACAATGCGCTGACACCAACTGGAGTAGTTTAACCTGGTTTGGGAAACATAACTCGTCTGCAGGCGGAGTGCACATGCCCGAATGCGATGTGTCATCTGTTGGCATATTCCATTTTCACTCTTAAGACCCCTGAAACAAAGATTTCTGACATCTCATCCATTGCAGGCTTTTTAATCACGGGCTGCTTGTACAAACAGGCCTGTTTGTGTATGTGTGTGGTTTCTAATGTAATTACTTAATGACACTGGTGAACATCGGGGAGATGGGTTAGAAGATTAGAAGAGACATAATCACTCACTGAATACAGGAGTTATAGTGAGTGAAAAAAAGTTATAGTGAGCAGTAGGTTGTAATAATCATTAAGTGATTTTGTTATGGTTTATTGGCTAATTATGTTTTTTTTTATTTCCTCTGGTGTGATTTTTGAGGTTTTACTGCAGTTAAGTAAAACAAAGTCCAACACTTCCATCTATGCTCAGTCATTCATCCATTCCTTGCTTCCTCCCCTTCCCTCCACCAGAAACCATCTCTGAGCCAGCAGATCGACCCACCCCAAACCCCCCGCCACCACCCCAAGCGCAACCGTTGCTGCCGCCACCACCATCACCACCGTCGCACCCTTCCATCCTAACATGGTCCACGGCGTCCCGCCTCCATGGATCGAAACCCTCGAGCAACCTGCGACCACCACCCCCTTTCCATCCCCTACACAAAAAAGTGCGCAAGCAACCAGCCACCACTCCACCCACATCCAGCCGCAAGCGCCGCAGCCCAGCCCAACCGCTGCCGCCTCCACATCCTCTCGCAGCGGTCCAATTCCCTCGGCCGCCGCAGTCTCCTTCGAAGGCTCGGGTAGTGGGGATCCAAGCGGGGACGAAGCGACTGAAGAAGAGAGCAGCGGCATCCCAACGGAGGCCAGTGGGGCCGAGGAGACTGTCGGTAAATCCCTGCTCTTTCACTTCATTATCCATAAAGCTTTGGGTGTGTGTGTAGGGAGGGGAGGTTTTTCTCAAAAAAGGGGCTGGTCAAACTCATAGTCTCCTCTTAGTTCACATCATAATGCATTCATGCCATCATCTGTTAATTGAAAATGAAAAATAGGCACAGGCTTATGTATTTGTATGCAAATTGCTTTTGAGGAGACAAATGTCACAGGCAGGCAGGCAGGGAAGAGAAATCTTTGTCAACAGGTGCTGTTAGTGTCATTTCCACTTGCATAAGATGTATATCTCAATTTCAGACAGAAAAGAATGTATTTGCATGGTTCACTGTTGCTACATCGCCCATGCGTTTTTCTTCCTCCCATTCCACCAGCTCTCAACAGCTAGCAAAACAAAACCCAAGCTCTGTAAAATACACTCTAGATGGAACTGCTGGTCCGCATCTCAGGATCTCTGGAGCCTGACTTGACAGGCTGATGTGACTGGGAGGTTGAGGTGCGAGTGTGTGAGCCAGCATACCTTGTCACATGACTAGTCTCAAATCTTTCCCGACATGCCTTCCTGGGCTCTGGCGGTTACCGGGCCTCTGGTTGAACAACAAGAGGACGACTAAGACTTTTCAATCAGTGCTCTCTTTTTGATTTTTTTTCTTTTTTTCTGATGTTGCCTTCCATCCGTCTGTCCACCTCACCTGACAGCTCGCAGTAACAGGATAAGATTGATGGAACGGCAAGGCCCCAATGTGCTCTTCCTCGGCTCTTCCTCCTCCTCCTGCTCCCCCTCTCCTCTCGTTCCTGCTCCCCGAGTTTTAGATTTATTCTCTTGTCAGAGGCTGACCAGAGTGCTCGGTGATGCAAGGAGCATGTAGCTTGTCTGCAAAGGAGACCTGGCGTCTTGTGACTGTGTGTATATGTGTGCGTATGAATGTGTACCCAAGTGTGCCTGGATGTTTTTCCTTTTTTTCAACAGTCAGTTTGTGATTGTTTGATTAGACGATTTTCCAGGACAGTTTTGGATATTGAAATACTGAACTAATCTGTTTCGTCATCTGTTTTGTGTGTTTGCGTCTGTGTGTGTGTGTGTGTGTTAGTCTTATCTCCTGTTCCTCGTGTCACTGTGTTTGTCCAATCCAGAGTGCACATGTCACCATCTGAGCATACAAATGTGAGTAGGTCAGAGGTGCACCTTTTCACATTTTTGTGCCTGTGGTATTTTTGCAATCCGAACAAATCTGTGTGTGTATTTGTCGTTGTGTTTATCTGTGTTTATTTGACAGCTTTCATGGCTTCCATAGGAGTTGCACTGCCCGATGCTTCTGTAAATGTGCAGACCACATGCCAGCAGATGCCCCATAAACCCCAGCCTCCTCCCACCTTCTGCCCCGCCCCCTTCTCCCTCCTCCCTCCTCCTTCCACATCCTTTGACCGCATGTCCTTGAGAAGGACGTCCCTCGCCTCTGACGTGTTTATGGCTTGTTTAGCCGCTAGCTCTTTGCCTTGACGATTATTTCTAATCTCTCCGCGGCCATAAAGTGCACCGCCTCGACACCGAGACAACTCCCCCTCCGCCAACACCATCATTAGAGTGGACCGAAGCTCGCCGCTGTTATATACACACTCATTCTTCAGATAGAGCAAGCCGAGCCACTTTTATGTCTGTAATGTCCCAAGATAGCCAGATATGCAGTGACAGTAACACAAACACGAGTGTATGTTGTTTTTGTCCTCCTGGGACTCCTTGAAGGTAAAACTCACCCAATCTGCAGCGAGCAGTTATCACATCCTCCCATCATTAAAAGTGAGCCATGTGTGAGATGACTGGCAACACTCCCCATTAAGTGTTCTCTACCTGACAAAAAGAGATCCAGGTGTACAATCAGTTCTAGTGAAAATGCCACATAATCACTCCTGACAGATGCCTTTATTAGTGTCCAATCACTGGTCAGCACTCTAAAACAAACACACAAATGTGTGTAGACGCGAGAGAAAGTTGGAATTGTAGGTTTTTGACCTTGGAATCACTGCTGGTGTTGAGTGCCTAAAAATTGTAGCTCTGTTCTGGGTTTCCTACATAAGCTGTAACGTTTCATGAACTATTATGAGCCTCTGTGTATCACCCTCAGGTCCCACAATGGCGAGCACCACTTTACCCACACTTGAGGACAGGTCGTCCTGCGACAACACAGAGTTCGGCTGCTGCCCTGATGGCAAGACACCATCCAGTACTCCAGAGGGCGCCAACTGCCCCTGTAAGTCAAGCACACCTTTGAAAACGACTTTCTTTACTCTCTAATTACCTAAACATCTTCCCGGCTGTCTTCTGCGTCTTCTGTCTGTTGCTGTTGTTTCACCAGCTTCTGTAGCTCTTGCTTTGAGTCGCAGAAGCTCGGGCTCTGTTTGTATGGAGGGCGCCTTTCATGGGTCTTTTGAGAAAAGTAATTGGCTTTCCCTCCAATAGTGAGATGAGAAGACTGATACCGCTCTCATGCCTGTGCATTAAGTATGGAGCTGGAGCCAGGAGGTGATTAGCTTAGTGTAAAGGCTGCAAGCAGAAGAGAGCAGCTAACACATCTCTCTGCAAAGCTCACCACTGAACGCTTTGTGTCACCTTATTTAACAAGCACACACACTCAAATGTGGTAACGACGGTTTCAGAGGGACTTGTTGGCAGTTTCTTCTTCCTCCAAACTAATCGTGTCACAGCTCCATATTTAAAGCAGAAAACAAAACAAAAACCCAAATTTTCCAGCTGTAACCTCTGCTGCCTGAGGAAGTCCTTGTCGTCCTCCTCTGTTTGCGTGGCCTCGCGCTGTTTTGCCCCAGACATCAGTAATTGATGTGCTGTCTTGAGCTTTAGAGGGGAAAAAAGTGCAAAATGCTAAAAATAGTGTTGCAATGGATTATTGATCCAGACAGAGTTATCCGCACAACATATTGTTAAGGAATACTGTGTCGGAGGACAATTTCTGTTATTACAATAATTAAAGTGACTCTCAGTTAACTCGTGAAACACAGTCAGAATAATTGCACAAAAGTGCAAGAAATCAACTACTCGTCATTGTCAGTCTGCCAGTGTCGTGATTCAGAGAGGCACTGCTTTCCATCTATTTCAGTCTGTATTCATTTGCTGACATGTGAAAATTGAACAACAATATATATAAATATTTAAAAGTATAATATACAGTAAAAAATCCTCCTTAATCATCACTTATGACATATAAAGTGTGTGGGAGTTTTATCTGTGGAGACCTATTTCTTCTGATTTTGCTGTGTTCAGAAGGTTTCTGGGATGCAGTCGCTTGGCTGTAGGTGGATAGCACAGGCGCCGGCCAATAGTAGCACACAGAATATGAGGACAGAAGTAAAAAAACAAACAAAAAACATGGAAACCGGCTTATATGGCTGTTTCCGTCTCTCTGCTCTGCTCGCTGTTTAGGTAAGAAACATATAAATAGCTGCGAGTCTGAATGTCTGTCGCCAACACACACACAGTCGCACAATGTGTGCACCATCCCGCGCAACAGGAAGAGTGGATGCGTTTCTTTGTGCCACCAGAATCAAAACATACCATCATTCCTGACTCTAAGCCTGCTCCCTGTCTTCACTGATTCAGTCATTATCTAGCTCGCTCGACCACCGCTGCTGTCTGTTTCGCTCGGTGAGTCGGCCAAAGGGCCAATTTTCAGTATTGTGTTTCTAAACATTAGCCACCATTTGCCTCGTGTTACACCTCTAATGTTGACTTTACAAATTGGGATATCGGAGCGTTTGGCTTAATTGTTCAGAACAGGTGGTGTTTTTTGGTTTTTCTCTGCAGCAGTGTTTTTATGAATCACTTCTATCATATGTAAATGAGCTTATTGACAGGTGGCAGGAAATTAAAATAAGAAAAGAAAAACAGAAACAGTGAAACCATTAGTCTGACCTTGGTAATCCATTTTTATGAATTCTGCAACACTTTGCAGTCTCGCCCTGATATTAGTCATAACCAACAGATCCTCAGCGAGTTTCCTTTTCTCTTGTTTTGCTCGAGACTCTTGAACGCTCTTTCCTCTCTTCTTTCACCCTCGCTCCTTTTCTTTTAATCTCCCTCTCCTCTTGAATTCGCACCCCTGCACCCTCACGTGCGCTCTTCTCTTTATCAGTCCGCGCCACTGTTCCTTAGTTCCCTTCTGAGCTCTTTGTCACTTTTTCTCTCTGTCTCTCGCTCTCTCTCAAACCAGTCAATCTCAATCCAGTCTTGCATCAGTTCATTTCTCTCTGGAGTTGAGCAGCGAGTGAGCCCAGAGACTAGAAGGGGCCGACGAGCGCTGTTGTACCAATCAGTGACTCCTGCCACACTCAGTTCATAAAGATAAAGGGCTTCTCTCTCTCCCTTCATTTCTCTATCTCTCTCTCTCTCTCTCCATCCCTCGGTCGAAATCTGCCGTCTATTTGTCCTAGCCGTGGTAGTCTGACTGATTGTGAAAAGAGGGATTCACTCTGGCTCTCGGGGGAGCTTTGGGTCATGACTTGAAAGAGCTCGGGCCACAAATTAGTGCATGGAGTTGCATTTCTGGCACGGTGAAGGTCCCCTAAGCCTTTCAATAAACCAGCAGAATTTACTGCCACTCAGTCTGCAACATGACCTAAAGATATGAGGCCACCTTTGCCCATCCAGAGCCCTACGCCATTTATTTCTTTCACAGAATTTACAGGCAGGGAGAGGTGAAACATGAAAGGTTCTGTCGAGGTTGAATCCTGTGACATTTAGCCTCGAATCCGGCTGATGATAGAAACAAGCTCGGGCTACAAGAGAACTGTTAAAACGAATCTGCAAAAGCCTGTAAATATTTATCCCAGCTAACAATGACGGCACACCGGCGATCGATACTTCATTCAGCTCAAGTGTTATTACCAATAAAACCGAGCTGCGCGATAAGCTGATCAATACGCTGGATTTTTTTTCTTTTTTCTTCTCCCGAGAAGGCCTCAGCCAATCTCCCGCTCATTAGAAGTGAAATGACACATCCCTCTGCCTCGTGCATCGGCTGCTATTTCATTGTACGACACAGTTTATTGATATCTGACGGGCTGTCTCACGGGGGGAAAAAATAATTGTTCGTTGTTCAGATTATTAGGACATCACATGTGGAAAAGGCTCAAGGTTTGGTTTAGCCCACACTGACATATTTAAAAAAATTAAACACCTTGGTTATAGATTGCATTGGGTATATTTCCCAGTATAGTGTAATATAAAAAATGACTCTAGGTCCTGCGTATGTTAAATTTAATGGCATCGGGGATAATTGCCAAATGCTAATGTGAAAGTTATTGGCACACTGAGCTCCAGATACTATAAACTCTTCCATATGCCTGGGGAAGTCTGACATATCCATTACATTTTACAGTTCACTAGAATCTGATAGCCAAATAGCTCTGTCTGTCTTTTTATCACTCTCTTTCCCTCTCTTTACGTCCGTCACGGCAGTGGTCTGGAAAATCACCCTTTCTGATGTTTGTCTTCTTTGCAGATTAGAAGTCAGATCTCGCTTGTCCCCCCTCTCTTTTCTTTCTTTACCCCTCTCCAAACTGTGTCCATTTGCCTCTATTTTATGGCCACCGTCACTTGTGAATCGATGTGTGCTGCCCGTGAAAGTACTGTAGATGGTGAGGGAGGGGAGCGAGAGGGCGGCGGCGCGCGCCTGTGTGTGTATCGGTAGTTTCTGCTGTCCTTTTCATGCAATTTTAACCAGGCTGTGTCAGTCATGGGTCCGCCTGCATTAAGGAGACAATTATGACTATCTTTCACGATAATCATACAAGTGCTCGTCCTGTTCTCTCTGGCATTGCTCAGGCAGGGGCTGCCATGATTGATTTGGGCAATTTGTTCTGCTGATTATGAGCGGCACAGAAACTCCTCCGTTCTCCACCACACACATAAACACCTTCGACTTTCAGCTTTATATCGCACTGCACCTCTCTGGCGGCAGTACCGAGAAACCATATAGAGTTGATAGATGTCGGACAACATAACCCCCAAGGTCGCACAGGGAGGCTTTCTCTTTGCTGAGGAAGGCACTATTTTGAGTGCCCGTGGGTTGCTTTCACTTTAGTGTGTGTTGTTTTTTTCCTCCATGTGTTTGTGTGTCTGTCTAACTTGTTGTCTTTTTACCCAGCCCTCCATGGCACGGCCAGCTTTGGGGACGAGTCTCGGTCTGGTAAAACTGGCCCATTTTTCCACCTTCTGTTCATCTCTTCTGTCATATTTCACAGTCCACCTGTTCCACCACCACAAATCCACCGCCTCTACCTTTAATGGCCAAACTGCAGACCTTTTTTAAAGCCCCAGACGATCAGCAACACACTTCACTAACCCCTCCTTGTCAAACACACACAAACACACAATCCATCACTAACCCAAAACTGGCACTGCTCTGAAACGAGGGGGATGGCAGCGGGGAATGAGTGAAAGAAGAGGGCTTGAGCCACAGTGTTTCTGTATCTTCTCTTCTTCTTCCAGCCACCATGAGGTTCAGCGGTTCCCTGCACCTGGACCAGGTGGATGGCCAGGACCTGATCTACACACCTGAGATGGAGGACCCCAAGTCCGAGCTATTTGGAGAGACAGCCCGCAGCATAGAGGGCGCTGTAAGTGGCTGAATTTGCTGTCACACGATTTCATGATTAATTAATAGATTAAAGAATCCACATTTACATCTCTCAGCTTATACTGCCCTTTGCTAGCTCTCAGCTTTTTAAATAAGCTTTTTAATGAGGTTTAAAGTACTTTTAAATGTCCTAATGCCCTTTGCTGTTTTTCCAGCTTGTTCTGCTGTCCTCAAGTGTCAAAAAAGTGTCCAGAAAAAGTATAAATTAAAACTGCTTTGATGTAATTGATTCAAATGACAGTTGCCACTGTTGCCATTAGGGAAACTTGGAGAGTAATGCTACAAAATTCTCCTAGTATTCCCAAGAATGTTCTTGTCATGAGTGGAAACCTTTTCAGACAACACTCAAAGCATCGTGTCACACTAAAACTCTTGCCGAGAGCCAGACTAATCAGATTCTTTCAGCTCCTTCAGGCAGGTTTCATCGCACGTTTTACAGACTTGACACCCCTGAAGTAGCTGAGTAATATTCTGCCACACTGAGCTGGAGTGATTTCTGTGCTCTGACATCTGATAGAAAAAAACAACAATGATAAAAAGAAAGGAAAAAAAAGAAGAAACCACACATTTTGCTGGCTGGCTGCACTTAGAGAGGAACATACATCATATCAGAGGCAGACAACGTGGCCTATCTGATATTTGATTTTTAATAAAAGGGGAATATTAGAATTCTCTTATAATCTGTGATCTGTAGACATGAATATGTAAAGAAATTGAATAACATTTTCAGATGTACCTGCCTGACACAGGTGAAGATATTAAGATTTACCATTCTATTTTTCCTTTTTTCCCCTGAACATTTACATCAAAATAGGAATTCCAGAGACTTATATACATATCTACACACAGATATACACACACACAAATATATATATATATATACTACAGAAGTATTAATAACGTCCAAAGAATGTGGCCTAAATAAACAGACAAAGAAATTCTTCAAGCTTAAGACCAATACATAAAATAAATAAATAACAGCTTTCTGCAGACTTGTTTAAAGAATAATTTGTCAGTTGCTTGCCAGACACTTCACAGTATTCAAAAAGCAGCTTTTCATGTGAGATTAATTATGATTTTTCAGCTATTTGAAAACTCAAGTCCTTATTCTGGATATGAGTCTCATAAGTTTTGATGGTCACGATGCCAGTAGCTGTAGCCAAAACCCAGGCGGGCACAGAGCCTGTACAGTAATCACAGCTTGGCTCGTGTTGGTTACCCTGGTTGAATTTCTCCACTGTCCGTTTTCTATGTTGAGCTTAGACCTTTGAACAAATGTCTCTGTTGTCAAGCCAGGGTCTTGCTCCTCTGATGAAATGGGAACTTTGTGTGTTTGTGTGTGTGCGCGCGCTTAGGTACACAGTACACATGTACCAGCTGTTGAATTGTGTCACTATGCCCCACTGGGACCTAATCTTCTACCTCACAGTGATTTGTGAGTGTGTGTGTACGTGCATGTGTGTTCATTAACACTATCAGCCTGTGTGTCTCTGAAGCCTAGTGTGCCACTTGACGCCAACCACCCCCTATTCATCTTCCAGCACACACACTGAGCACATGCAGAGCATACACGCCAGGACACATTCACTTGAACGTACGGGTATATAGAAAGAAGGCGAATCAGCCCGCCGCTCGTTTCACTGACAGAACAACCTGTTGTAATTTGCAGATAAATTAACACGTGGAAGAGAAAGAGAAGGAAGCGGAAAAGAAAGACCAGGTGGTTTTGAGGACCGTGTGTCCACGGGAGAGTTTGCCCACCGTGACTAAGCCAGTTTTGGAGGATTTTATTTTTCGACTTTGCTGTCACACCTCAGCCCACAAATTAGAGACATTTAATGCATGAAGGAAATCATCTTTAACAAACTGAATCCTCAAACCCAACAAAGTCCACTCAGTCACTCATTGTCACTGATTAGCAGCTTTTTGTTTTTATTTTTTAAATATTTTTGCTTCTTCCATCAGCTCTCACCTCATTATTGTCTGAGGACTTGCTGATTTACAGTGTACATATCATGAATAGGTCACTTTTAATAAAAAGAATCACATCATGTGATACATTCACAATTTAAACTAGTGCACATAACTTCTTTTTTTTTTTTTTACTTCTAGCATAAAAATGGCCCATTTTTAAGAGAAAATACTCATCCAGATTTGGGGTTAAAAGGCAGCGTCAGTATTTATAACTGTTAAAATATCACTGTTGGCTGATTTTAAAAAATCCCACTTCAGTCAAACCTCATAAAGAGCTCTTCAGGCTGTTACAACGTGCACACAGTAACGAGCATCAGTAGCAAAACCAATCATAATGTCAGGGTAGCTCAACATTTATCTTAGCTCCTCCTGAAAACTTGTTCCAATAATTAATGCCAGGGCAGCAGCTAAATGTCAATTTGTGCACCCACACCCAATGGGTTCCTTCCATGCACCCCAATTTGAGAGGCAGCTTCTTTCTTCCTCAGAGATAGGGTACAGTCTTCTGGAATTGGACACGCTGCCGTGATAGCGTGGAGCTCATTACCGGCCTCATTTATCATCTCCTCTGTCTGTCCGTTCTCTCCTCCCACTCTTTCTCACTCTCTCTCTCTTCTCCTCAGCTCAATGAGTTGTTTAGGAAGTCGGCGGTGCACAAAGACTTTATGAGCGTTCGTGTCCGTAACCTGGCGCCCAGCAACTCCATCCTGGCCTATGTCGAGGCTCACTTCAAACCAGGTGAGAGATCCTTATAGAGAGATAGATGAGCTTTGTGCATTTGGCTTTCAGCGAGGAGGGTGTGTGAGATATGAATACATTTTTAGTAGAAAAATAGGCATCTTGTAAATAGATGAGCTTGGATAGTCTTGCTTTCTGAAATTTGCACAACACGTGCTTTAAACCATGGATGGGGCTCTCCAGGCTTCAAGGGCTGGTGTCCTGCAGGTTTTAGATATAACCCTGGTTCAACACACCTGAATCAAATAAATAGTTCATTCCCAGGCATCTGGAGAACTTCAAGACAGGTCATATAGCCATTTAAATCAACTGTGTTGGATCAAGGACACATCTAAAACCTGAAGGACCTGCAGGATATCTAAGGAATTGGGTATTGTCTAAATATCATCATGTTACAATACTTTTCTTGGATCTTGGGTCATATGCAGCAGCTGCTTCTTTAAACTACCACACAGAACATCAGCTTCCTCCGTTCCTTTTTATTTTTATTCCATCGTTTTATGAGCCTCATTTAGTGTCCTTGATATCCTTCACGTGGGTTATCGGGTGCCGTTATGTGCCCCTCCTCCATGGCCTGTAAAGCAAACATCTGCGGCGAACATTATGAGACCAATTCATCTGGAAAAAAGCCGGACAATCAACGGCTGGAGGACAAGTGGTCCACGGAGACCCTCCCAACTGTCATACATAGGGCTGTTTGATATATCCCTTTTAACATTTAAGGAGCTCAAGCCTTGTATTTGCTTTGGAGTGCTCCTCAGAGGCCTTGCTCTAAATGCTTGTACCTCTTGTTTGTTGTAGATACAAGATTCACCGTGGAGGACATCGTAGGAGCCCTGCTGAAACAGTTAAAGGCCTCCAAAGACACCAGCATCTCTGTGAAGAAGCCGGAGGATGAGAATATTCGCTTCACCAATTATGGTAATACAGTGTGGACTTAACAGGAGTGTGTAGGGATTAATAAAATGAAAGGGAGTTTTAAGTTATTCATGAGGTAGTTTATCAAAGGTTTTACAGGTCTTGAATAGAAAGTCTCAGAACCGCAGGCTCAACATACTTTAATGTCCCTTTTATTTCCTTTTTCCAAATCCTTTTGTTCTCCAACCACCTCTGTTGACAGGCCTGTCCTCCATCTCCATCTTCACCACCACTACCACTACCACCACAGCGTCAGTCACCACAGCTGCTCCCACCACCTCGACCAGGCCTCCTACAACTTCCCCTTACATCACCCGTCGACCGACAGCCACCACCCGCAGGCCCTTCAGCGGCAGACATAAATTGGTGCCGGTTACCTCGCCTCTAACCACTACTGCCCTGCCTCCAGCCACTACCGTTGCCCGCTTCACAACCAGGCCTTACCACAAGGTGCTGCAGAAGCCCTGCGACTCCCACCCCTGTCTCCACGGAGGCACGTGCGAGGAAAACGGCAGCGAATTCAACTGCAAGTGCCCCGCGGGCCGCGGAGGGACTGTGTGCGAGAAGGGTGGGTCAGCACAGAGTTTTCATTTTCTTTAGGAACTGTATCTTTTGCCATATTTCTGATTACTCTTAAATCAAAAGTTTCAAAGTCTCGGCTTATTTCAGACTCATCTAAGAAAATGAGCTCAGACAGACTTTCCCTGTAATTTGCTACTTTGCAATTAGCAATTTCAAAGAACCCACCAAAGGCTAACGGTTACAGAGATTTTGCAGCAGCTAAGTGGGTTTTAGGCACTCCACTTTTCATTGTGCCAATCATGCTTTTTAGCTGTTTTATAATCACTACTAACCACATCTTCAAGTGCTTTGATGTATTTATAAAGTAGCAGAAACATACCATTATAATAGGAAAAAAATCAAATATTAGAAACACTTGATCAAATAAAACGCTATTTTAAAGCGAAAGAAGAAATGCATTCTCCGCGTCATGCTTTGGTTTGGCGTGGTTGTAGCGTCTGCAAGGTGACACCTTAATTGGCAGTGGGAGTAATGACTTTCAGTTAGCTTTGAAATATGTAAATGAAATGTTATGTGGCCACAGATGTGGATTTATTGGATCGTATAAAGCTCGACGGTTTATCAGCGAGCAATCACAGCACTGTACAGAGTGTCAGTTTTACGGTCGGTGTTGAAGAAAAAAGAAAACCCTTGGAAATAAAGAGCTGAGGTGTGATTGAGTTTCTCCCCAACTGCTGCGCTTCAAGCTCATCTCGAGTGATTCAGACAGGCCCAACATCTCAGAAATGAGCGACCACTGAGCCGTGCACCAAAGGCTACACAAAATCCAGCCGAGGCCGCAGAGAAAACCATAAACCTGGGAGAACTTTTTAGAGAAGCGCAGCTCCTTCCTTTCTTCCCTCTTACTCTACTCTGGGATTTTTCTGAAATGGGGAGCAACCTCACGCAGCTGCGTCTTAAGATAATTGACACTAATTGCTTTGATGGGGATTAGCTGGTGAGAATCAGTGTGGATCTTTGCGTTAGAGTGCTTAAATGAAATCATGCACGCATACACACAAAACTGCACAACCAGCCTCCCTGAGATCAATCAAGTCATTAGAAAAGCGAGAGCTCATCAGATGCCGTTCTCCTCAGAGAGACGGACAGGAAGACAGATGGACGGTGGGAAAAAAAAGGAGCCCAGGAGAGATAATGCATGATAATAATCAGAATTGTCAAGTAGATTCACAAAAAACAAACATTTCCTGTGTGTGTTTGTGTGTGCACGCGTGTGAGACTGTGCACGATGGCTCCTCTTTCTGCACCTTCTGCTTTTGATAAACCTATCAAGCCTTTGGTGAAAACATCAATCCTGTAAAATAAACAGAATTCTTCTCATTTTCTGTCACGTGCCGCTCACGCATCATAACGTGCATGAAGCTTCTCTCACACCGCAATCAAGCAAATCACATAATAATGACGAGAATGTCTCGTTGTCTTCTTTCCTCCACAGTGATCAAGTACTACATCCCGTCATTTGGAGGCCAGTCCTACTTGGCCTTCCCAACCATGAGCGCGTACCACACTGTCCGCATCGCCATGGAGTTCAGAGCCTCTGAGATGGACGGCATCCTGCTCTACAACGGCCAGGATCGCAAGAAGGACTTCATCTCTCTTGCTCTGGTCAACGGCAGGGTGGAGCTCAGGTGAACGTCAGCTGATTTAAGAGGGGCCTTGTCGGCTAACATCAGTGGTCCTGATGTTTTGTTTTTTGATTGAATTCAGTGGGCTTTTTACTTTCACATCCATCGTGGCAAAAATAAGATGAAATTTTAATGATCAACACTATGAAACCGGGTCATTGCAGCAGCAGCTGACAACAGATGCAGATAAGAATAAAACAAAGAGACGGCACTAAAGATAATGAGGCAAATAATTACAGTGAGTAAACATGTCGGAAAAACGGCTGTGCCGGGAAAAGAAAAAGCTACAGTTCACATGATTACAGGTGGAAGGAATATATACTCGGGAATATATGCTAATGTCCCAAGTGCACATTTTATATGTTATCTTTAATCACACAGATAAACAAAGGAAAAATCTAATCTGTATTTACAAAATGCGGTGTTTGTATTTACAGATGTATTGAATGAGAAAGAAATTTCAGCTTAGATGCTTTAAATGACTCTTTTCCATCAGAACTGTGCATGTAGCAGTCAGGTTTGAAGTGGTACAAGTGTGTTTTTGTGCATGTTGTCAACACTGGTGGGGGCAGTATCACTCTAGGACCAAAGCAAAAAATAGAAGAATAAATAATCAAATGTAGCCAAACAAATAATGATGTTTTTTTCATCATCCCTTCTTGGTAACCATCTACAGCTTTTATTCCATCATGGAATGGATGGAGTATATTTGCAGACTTAAAGTCAGGCTGGGTCACCGTTAGGAAATTGATCCTGATGTAAAACTGGTGTTTTGCCCCTTTAACATGCACACTGGAGATTTATGTGGGCAAAATATCTAGTATTACACTTTAAACTGAAGCTGACAGTAACTGCAGGTCTTATCTAGTCTCATGAGAGACGAGACTTTTCCTGCCAGAAACCTGCAAAAACACTAGCACTAATCTCTTCTCTCTGCCGGAGACGTATGAATAAAAAATCATTTGGGGACGGGAACATCTTCAGAAGAGACAAGAATGAGCTAATTAGAGATGCTGCAGTGCATCTTTTTCGGACCTTTTATTTCTAATGTTAGCTTCCCTTGTCTTTCTGGTTCTCACATTTCACCCTGACCCCTGCAAGGTCTTTCAGTTTCTCCCAACCTGGCCAGGTTAGATTGCTCTATTCAGGGTAAAATCAATAGCAAACTAAAGGAGATCATTAGTCACTTGTGCTTTCAAATAGAGCTCTGCCTCAATTCTAGAAATACAGCTGTGAGATTACCACCCACAGCTCTGCAAATCCAAGACGTGGGGAGAAGAACTAATTATTTGTGGCAGATAATTGCTCTCAGGTTGCGATAATGCTACCATATGTGTGGGTGCACATACACGACGGCTCTTTTCTGTGATGATACGGGCTTTTTCTCTCAACAAAACCTCATTAGAAAAAAGGTTGAATTAAAAATGAGGATGTGATTCCAGTCATTTCAGTCACATGCTCCAGTCTGAAATTCCAAATAAACACTTTTGTATCTTCTTTCTTTCCTCCACCTTTGTCTTGTTGAGCATTATGAGCAGATTTCTTGTAGTCATTGTAGTCAAGTTGGATATTTTGAAAAATAAAATACCTGCCTGATGAAAGTATCAAAGTCAGCAGAAATAGAGGGATCTTTTGGTAAAGTGAGGTGTCTAACTTATTCTGTATCATCCCTTTTCAGGTTCAACACAGGTTCGGGCACAGGCACGGCCCTCAGCAAAGTTCAAATCAGTCAAGGCCGCTGGCATCAGCTGGTGGTGACTCGCAACCGCCGAAACGCCATGCTCAGCGTGGACAGCGAGGCACACATCGAGGGCGAGAGCCCACGGGGCACAGATGGCCTCAACCTCGACACCAACCTGTTCATCGGAGGAGTGCCTGAGGACATCAAGCAAGAGTAAGACCTTGGAATTGCAGTTACAGTCACACCATTGTGTTAATAGTGATGTGCAGACACAAAGTCCATCATCTGTGGCTCATTTTAATATTTCATTCTACAGCTTTTATATATTCAGTATCTAGCTAATTCCAAGCGGCACCAATCAAGTTTTCTGTTTATGCTAATTTTGCTGATTTGCCATTTTTTTATTCAGTGTAGAGTTAACTAATGTTAATCCCACTTCAGTGGCCCGTAACCTAGTCGGAGACTTTTGAGGGAAAAATTAGCCATGTGCAGCTTTTTGATAAATCGACTGCCGTTATTTGTATTCATCTGGTACCTTCCGTTAAGTCATGTGAGGATAGTTGCCTAGAGTGGTTTCATAGAGCGCGGCCCCATCTTCGATTTGTTTTTTCCCCATCTGCTGCTTGTTCATCCATTGGTCTTAATAGAAGTGCACTAAAGAGTAGGAGGATAACAATATGGGAATATTTAAAATAAATTGCTTTTATGAAAAAAAAATTCTTCATGTTATAAAATTAGTAGAAACGTTTAAGTCATAAATTTGCTGTAAAGTTGGGAATTTAAACACGGGAATCTGCTTTTAGTACAGCTTCAATCGGAAGTTCAAAGAATTGCAGTTTTTGGCACTTTGGGATTTGTTTTGTTTGCTTCATTTTTCAGCCCCAGAGCTTGCAGCTAGCTGAGGACACGGACAGTAGGCATCAAATCGCAGTGTATTAGAGTCATTAGTTGCAAGCCTGTGGACACACTCAAACTATCTGCCCCCCACTCCATGCTAGTAATATTGTTTTAGTTAACACTGTGTTGATGGAAGGTGTTTTGACCTGTTTATTTATACGTGTACAATTAATGTACGACCCTAATTCCCAAAAAGTTGGGACAGTGTGACTTGCAAATCTAAACACAGGAAACATTTTACTGATTAATGAAAAATCTTGCTCATTTGTCTTCGAACAATTTGATCGCAGCAAAGTGTCTCAATAGAGTTTGGAGAGGGGCAGCTGGAAAAGTAAGTGGTACTAAAAAGAAACAGCTGGAGGAGCAATTTTGCAACTAATTAGGTTAATCATATTAGAGGTCGGTGACGTGATTGGGTTTAAAAAGGGTGTCTAAGAGGGGCACAGTATGTTGAAATCACTGGACAGGCTCAGGAACACTTACACAAATCACTGTGTCTGAGCTTTAACTATACAAATGCTGCTTAAAGCTCTACAATGCAGAGAAGAAGCCATATGTGAACATGATCGAGAATCGCCGTCGTCTTCTCCGGGTCAAAGCTTTAAAATGGACTGAGACAAAATGGAAAACTGTTCTGTGATCAGCCGATTTGAAATTTGACACTCTTTTTGGAAAACATGGACGCTGTGTCCGCCAGAATAAAGAGGAGATCTATGGAGGTGCATTAGTGCCTGTGGAACTGGCAGCGATAGGGAGGATGAAATAAAAATATAACAAAGAAGATCCAGGACTGTTCAGCAGCTGGAATCCTATATCAGACAAAAATGGGATAACTCTCCTCTCCCAAAAGTCCGGAAACTGGTCTCTCTTGTGATGCTACACGTTGCTGTCATCACAATCAAAATGACCTTTGTTTTAATTAAAATGGTGCATTTTAACTTCACATGTTTTCCTGTGAATAAAATATGAGGTAAATATGAGAAAGTGATATAAATAAAATGTTTATTATTTTATTATTATTTTTAATTACACACCTATTTTACACAGTGTCCCAACTTCTTTTGGAATTATGGTTAAAATAATGCCATTTATGTGAATGATTGTAATTATGTGATATGATATTGTGGCATCCCTGGTACAAAGCCGGTGTCAGTAATAGTAGTAATTAACCAGTTTGTTTGATTTTGATCAGAAATGATCAGATGTTCGAGAAAAAAAGGTCAACATCCGAGGTGAATTTGGAAAAGTCTTCATCTAGCTCTTCCTTTATGAAAATATAATGAAGTGTATTAATAATACTTCATAGAGTATGGCATTTCTTCACTGCAGGTTCAGTGTGATTCAGTTAGCTTTAGTAGTGTAACTTTTTTTCCCCCCTGTCTGTCTTCAGTGTAAAGGAGAGGACAGGGTTGGCAGTCGGTCTGGTGGGCTGCATCCGCATGTTAGATGTCAACAACCGGAACCTCAACCTGCAGGAGAACGGGGGCGAAAGTCTGTACGGCAGCGGGGTGGGTGAATGCGGCAACAACCCCTGCCTGCCAAATCCCTGCAAGAATGGCGGTGCTTGCCAGGTGAAGGAGGCCGAGATGTTCCACTGCAAGTGCAGCAAAGGATTCTGGGGTAAGATGCTGAGCAGATTTTCCTAATAGTTATGGACAGTCATGGAGTTCTGAGAAGTTGGTTCCAGTATAAGCGTGGGGAAATAAGTAGAAAATATGCCTTATTCATATGTAATCTTCAAACTTTCCTAACACCTTGTAGTTAAAATTCTGCTAATACATCTCAGTGTTGCCTTCTCCACAGGGATTCACTGTGGTCATGCCTGACTCACAAATCCTAAGTAAGCTTGACAGGCTAATTTGACAGTGTAACTCATGCCCCCAGCAGCAGCGCTGCAAGTCATTTTGTAAACACTATCAAATCTGTGTGTCCAGCACAGAAATGGGAGTTTAAATGTTGACGCAGTGCAAGGAACACGAAAAACTTTGAACTAATTCTCTGTGATTGGCCTTTGGCCTATCTCTCCTTCCACTGTTCCTTTCCTCGTCTTTTTCTCCCTCCAGCAGATGGCAACTAACAAGCAGCTGAGAGAGAGAATATAGTTAAGAGCAGACACCAGCAGGGCCTAGCCAAGCGTGCCCCTCGCTGGTTATACTGCAGCTTACCGCGGAAAGTTTCACACAAGAAGCAATTTAATTGTCAGATCTAACTTTTATGCTCGAATAGTAAAGGATTTCACCCACAAATGGGGGCAGGTTAATGGTTATTGAAACAACCTGTCAGTCGAGGTTTAAGAGCCATTTTCCTTGAATATACAATATGGATCAATAAAGTATTGCGTTGTATTACTGTTGCCTTTATGTTTTTGTTGGTGCTGAGAAGCTTGGGGAGGCATGTAAATCTGAAGAAGCACTGCTGTGACAGAAGTTATGCTAGCAACCCAGTGTACAACAAATGGTGTTAATGAGAATTGGACCGATGCCTGCGTTAATTTTGTCACGATGTCCATTTAAAAGTGGCCGAGATTGGCTATCTCGAAGGAACAGGACAGATCGCAGAAAGAGAGAAGACAGAACAAATGGGCGGGAAGAGTTGTAGTTAGAGGGAGGGCATGTCAGGACAGCTGGATGAATGCGAGAGGGGAGAGAGTAATAGAGTTAAAAAGACGAGAGAGGAAGAATAGATGTGAAAAAGAGCCATGGTGGCGAGGAGCTAAGAGTGGAGGATAAAATACAGCTTCCAAACGCAGGAGTGAGGAAAACGGGGGAGCCCTGTGAGCTCAGCGGGGATGGGGTTCATTAAAGCACTCGCCTCACCACAGGCTCTGACTGCTAAAGTAATAACGGGTGAATTCAGATGGGCTGTGGCAGAGGGCAAACCCATCATCCACCAGACGCCTGCTAGCCTTTCCCACAGTTGGCGTTGGCCTAGAAACATGGCCGCGTGGCAGGAAGGCTCTCCACTGTTTAATCTGGACGTGTAATATTTCTAAATCCTATTAGAAAATGACCTCTATTACAGAGGAAATCCTCATACACCCGCTTCTCTCTCCTTTTTCTGTCTTCCCCTCGTTTCAAGTGGAATACAAAAGAGTCAGTGGTTGAATACGTTGGCGCTTGTTGCATGTTTCCTTGGTGGTTCCCTTCTGACATTTTTGTGTCTACATCCAGGTCTAACGTGTGCCGACGTCCACGACCCGTGCAGCCCCACCAGGTGCCATCCGTCTTCCCAGTGCCAGGCACAGCCCGAGGGAGGCTACAAATGCGAGTGCCCCATGGGACGTGAAGGAAGACACTGCGAGAACGGTAATCTCTCCCGGACACAACAGAGTTTTGGTCTGGAGTCTGCTGTGTAGCACCCTCCTCCATGCCTATTTTCCCTCTTCTGTGACATTTCCATTCCCGCTGAATCGAAAAAGGAGATCAAATGCAGAAGAAGGGGGGGTGCAAAAGCCTTCAGGGTGGAAGGGAAAGGGAGGGTTGGTGGCATACAGAACTGAGGTAGATGATTGGCCCCGTCGGGCCATTCACCACATCGACTCTGCTACGCTTGTTAGTGGGTAGGATGCAGCCTCCCTCCCTGCCTTTCTGCCCACAGGTGTTGTGTTCAAACATGTTTGTTGGTACTTAGTTTCACATGGCAGAACCAGGCCGCTGCTGGGAAAAAGACCGGAGCACAGCTCAGCTGCTTTTGAAGTTCATCATTAGCACTTTGGGCGGTGTGGCATTCTGAAGTCTACTCATGTTTATCCCTCCCTTCCTTTGTAGATGTTGTCATGAATGCTTGCAGAAGTTGACTTCTGCAAGTGTGAATTAAAAAGAATATATTCCGATGCAAATCCTGAACAAAAGAGAAACGCGCAACCTTGTAACCCTGGGAATTCGGAAAAAAACCCAGATGGGAATAGCCTCTTTCTCCTTCGCCTCGAGTCCAAGTTAGCAGGTGATTAAAATAAATTGAGGCGAACCAAAATCAATGCCATGTGAGCGGGAGCGTCTCCCATTCCAAAAGGCTATTTTTTTCACACGAATCAATGAGATGACTAATCGCATCAGTCCTTCCTGCCCGCGGTGATTAATGGGAGCGTCAGTCAGCCAGAGTGTCAGCCCCCGAGAGGAGCTCAGAGATAAGGTGGCAGCCAGGTGGACATCCCCTCTGAGGGCTGCACTGAGAACAGTTAAAAAGACAGGTAGCTTAGAGCGCTCTCATCAGAAGCCTGAAGGTGAATTGGTCGTAATATGAAGTGTTTGCATCTTAGCATGTGCGCATGTGTGCGCGCAGGTTTAGCTGAGCTGTGGCTTCCATTTCAATTCCACCAGGGGTTTGTCAGTGTAGCTCGCTGCTATAATATTCACAGTCAAGGACTTTTCTCAAGGGTGTTCCAGTAGTACTGAATGGCCTACTTTACTCAATGCTTTTACCCTGTCATAGTGTAAATCATTACAATTTAGTGATGGAAGCACAATCATTAGGATTGAGGCAGTACACACACAGACCAAAAAAAGGGGGCTTGTCAGTTACATTAAGCTAGGTCTTTGTGTGAGATTTTCTTTTTTGTGTATTCAAGCTGCTTGTTGCCATTTCATTTTTTGATACTGTGGGTTTATTAGAAGTACTAATTGGGTGTCATTACTCCACCATCAACAAAATTGCCACAGAGCTTGCCACTGACTTAGCAATAGAAGCAACGGCTCGCTAAATGCCGCTTCTGACTTAAAGACCAAAGACCAGCTGTGGAAACTTTAACTTGACGGAAATTTTCTTAGTCGTCAAACTCAGTCACCCACGCATCATGCAGCTTTCCTGGTCATCCAGCCTCTTCCAATGCCTTGCCCTCTGCTCACCTATTGATCGATGTGCTTTCAGTTCGAGCGCTAGGTAAAAAACAAGAAAAACCCTCCAGACTTGCTCTATAGGAAACTACATTCTGAGAAGCTCTTAAAGTGTTCACTTTAGCAAAGGATTCCTTGTTGCGTGCACCAGACTCTTTTTCCGTCTCCTGCGCGGTGCGTGCCGTCATCATCATTAGCAGTCTTCTGCACAATAGCTAATTAGCTTTCTCTTCTATGTCTCCCTTCCCCATCCTGACTAATCCCAGCCAATTACGAGTAAAAGCTTTCTTGCCGGCTACATAGATAGGTATGTGTATATGTGTGAGCATCTAGCGTGGCACATTCCTCTCAGTGATTGTAGCTTTTGCAAGCAACACCATAAACACATACTCCCACAGTGACACTTGAATGATTTTTAATGTCAAGCTACTTGTTAGCGGGATGGCACAGTGCCTGTCCTAATCACTCCAGACAGCCAAAAGACGGGACAGCCAGACGTAGACCCTGTTGCTAAGACATGAATTTGTAAAAAGGCCTGCCAAAATACAATAGCCACATTATTTGATAGGTCCCAGGCTGTGGTGTTAAACTCCGCATGTCTCCAAAGGTCCTTTGTTATACAGTGGCGGGCTGTGTAATCAGTCTGACATAAGGGTTTTTTAATTTATTAAATTTTTTTGTTTGAATTTCCGTCAGGAGAAAGTCTTAATCCCAAAAGCTATAAAAACACAAATCCATCTCTCGCCTTAATGCTGACAGGCTCTTCAAAGATGTACTGACTATCCCTGAATTTCAATTTTGTCAGCAGCAAAAACGACACCTGCGGTTCAATACCGTCTCTTTGTTTTTTTTCCCCCCAGTGGTTGAGAGGCAAGGGGCTTACATGCCACTGTTCAACGGAGACTCTTACCTGGAGCTGAAGGGGCTACATCTGTACGGGCACGATCTGCGGTAAGTCCCATGCCTCAGTGTGAAACCCACATGTATTATTGAACACCGGATACCACGTAGGTCTCACAGACTGAGCTTGTTCTGTGCCTAAAGCCAACACCCTTCTTTAAGCCTGGACTGAACTGACAATGACGGAAACAAGTAATGCTGTCTAAGTGTGAGCATGTAGAACATACAATGTCTTTATATACTGGAGAAACAGTGTTGATGCACCAGACACAGAAAAACATCTAGGAGATGTTTCTAGGAGATCCTCTTAAACTCACGTGTGTGTTTTGCTTCTGTTACATCTGCAGTCAAAAGGTTAGCATGACAGTGGTTTTCATGGCCAACGACTCCAATGGTTTGATCTTTTACAACGGCCAAAAATCAGATGGAAGAGGAGACTTCATCTCACTGTCCTTGAGCGGTGGATTCCTGGAGTTTCGCTACGACCTGGGGAAGGGACCTGCCACCATAAGGTTACCACGACTTGAGAATCTAAGAGGGTTTAAGTTATCAAACAAGAAAACAGAGAAATATAAAACTGTGCATGTGTGTGATTCAGGAGTAAAGAACGGATCCAGCTGAATGTGTGGAACACCATCAACCTGGAGCGCTCCAACCGCAAAGGAGAGATCATGGTGAACAAGAAGGGTGCTGTCCGAGGAGAGGCACCAGTAAGAAAACCGCAACCCACCAAGCTACTGCTAATGGTTATCTTGCTTTTAGCATGGGGCCAGTGCTATCCTTACCCTTATGTCTGCCTGTATTTATATGTGTATATACCCCTCTGTGTGCCTATGCCTCATCTACGCCACATCATGCCCCTATAAGTAGTGTCCAAGTTACTGCTTACCCAGTTTTGCTGATTTCTTTTGTACACAGTCCCAGAGCGTATAGTTTGTTCTAACCTAAAGTATGCAGCTATCTCCAGAAATCCAGCAATGCAAGAGGGAGAGCTGTAAATATAGAAGGGGCAGTCTTAATTTTGTAATACTTCTTCAAGCTTCCTGATTTTCTAGAGATAAAAGTTAGCATTACCTACCAAATTCAAAAAGCAGCCTTTTCTGCTGGTATACAGTCAATTTCATAAATCCAGCCTTTGAGGGTGCTGCCTAGGGAGGTGGAGGCAGATCAAGGAGATAGCAGCAGCGAGAGAGTGCGTAATGAAAATTTTAAACCCGGCTAATAAAGCAGGTACATGGTTCCAAATGAAGGCGATCTAATAGTTTGATAAGTCTGCAAGTCATCCAATTATATTAAACAGTGTAATTTGTGACTGTGAACATGCACTCTGTCAACTCCATCAACTTCCTCTAAGATGCAACACTGCTTTTTTCTTTTTTTCCCCTCTCTCTCGCTGCTCAGTCACCCCTCCTCTGCCTCCCCATCGTCCGTATGGTAATTGTGTTTTACTCCAGCAACGGAGGCAGAAAATCTTATTAAAGAAAGAGAGCAAGGGAAAAGCGAAGATGAGTGGGGGGCTGGTAGGACGCAAGGGATGAGCTGAGACTAGTTATGGAGCTCATTGCAGAGACCCTATCCAGTATTGCTCTAAGCTAATTCTCTCCCACTTCAGCGCTAAGAACCAGGAAGGCGTTACAATACGCTTTGCTCAGAGAAACCTATATCATATCAAAGGTGGTCGCACACAGGAACATATATGGATGCATATAGCATGTTCATTTCAAAGTCTGTTCAGGCTGCTGACGTAATGAACTACAAACTTTCAAAGGTTCGGATAACAGAAATAATAATCTACTTCACCTCATATTGAATGGCTGTGGTCTATAAATGAGGTTGGGTTAAGTGGCACTATTCATAGACTCTCATCCATGAAGTGTTTTTTTTTTCCTCCTTTTCATCTTTTGCTAATGGCATCGTATGTTTCATGCACGGCCTTCTTAGACTTACTGTCTTATTTGCATTCATGTTCTCTAGTGTAAATACGCACTTGCACAGCTTTGTGGTTTCATGTGTGTGTATGTATATAATGCAAAGGTGTGCTGTCCACATTTTATATTCTTGTTTAACGTGTCTGTCTCACATGTCAGTGCTTCACAGCGGCTTTTTTTTTTTAATACTCTTGCAGGTGCGTGTGTTATAGTACGTGTGTGCTTTGTGAGCTTTTGCATTTGCCTAGATCTGCATGCTCCTTTGTGCACAGACACTTTCTAGTTACCCTAATAACTCTCTTCCTCCCTATTTTCTTTCCTTCTCTATGATGTGCTGTCTGGAAATAAGAAATCACGCAAGGTAATTAGACAAGTCCCAGTCACACCTCAGCCCCGCATTTTGTTTGAGCCACCTCGCTGTGTCCTCTTACCCTCATCTCTTCATGCAACAACTGCACAGACCAAAAAAAGGGTACTTCTGCAGAGCTGCAGGCAGCTTTAAAGGTGCCAGTTCTGTAGAACAACTTTGCCATTTTCATAAGCTCATAAACGCACACACAGCACCAAAGAGGAGATGCTCCTAAAGAACAAGGTTTGGCTTTCACCTCGGTCCATCTGCTGTGGGGGTGGGAAGGTGGGAGGTAAGAAGGAAAAGAAGCAGCCATCTTTGCGATGGCCATTGTTTTTAGCAACAAAGAAACGTCTTCATTAGTCTGCCGTAGGCGGGGATATCACGCCAGTGCCGCGTGCCTGTCGGAAAGTGAGAGCGAAGACATGGGAGGCGAGGAGGATATATACCGTAGGAGACGGTGAGGTGCTAAGCCAAGCCTGGCTGTTCTTTTGTCATCTGCTCTCACTTTTATGCACAAGAACAATCCTCCATAATATCATGAACTCGCTCACTCTTTTACCCATTACGACACAAGTCTCACTGAACATCACTGAGCAAGAATCACCCCATGGAACCAGCCATCCTCTTTCAACAGGTGGTTATTATTACCTGGAAGAGGGGGAAAACTTAGAACATGATCTACCATTCCATTGCATGCAGTTTCACTTAGCGTCATAGAAGTGTAGCTTGACATAGATAGTGAGTACTTAAATTCCAGAGTATCACTCTATGAAGGGGTAAGATCTCAGGGAAGGTGCAGTATGTTTCTGTAACTCTATCTGCAGAGTAGATGGGTGTTGTAGAGCAGTAATGTCTGCATACAGAGCCTGAGGTGGCCATCTTTGCCCTACAGTTTGGTGACAACTTTTGGCAAAGCCTAGAGGCAACAGCCACAACTGGGTCCAGCCGCTTTGGCCAAAGTCTCTGCTCTATCTCAGCTGGAAGCGGCTCAAGGTGCAGCGACACAGCCCCGGGCTTCAGCCAAGCACCACAGCCTCCCGCACTCCAAATCCCATCCTAGATAAAAGCCAGCCTGATGCCAGCTTGCCTGCACAAAACCAGTTTATTTGGCCCCTTCCATCATTTTTACAACAATTAACTCCACTTTAACCCTCTGGCAATTACTGCCCTACATAAAATAAAGATCATTAATTCCTTCCTTCTGAAGTGGGCCAGTTCTCCCATGCAAAAGTAGCAAAGAGGCACCTTGCTAATGCAAAGCAATTGTTCCAAAGGTTTGGTGGAAAGAATCGAATTTCATAGCCGCCTGCTGCACAAATGAATTGCAATTAATGTGTCTCCACACTCAACCGTTTGAAAGGTCGGTGCTTATAATCAGCCATTCATTAGAGATGTCTGTAAAGAACCATCCATATCTCCAGCCCAGCCTGCTTCTGATTTTCCTTTGTAGTCTCTTTTTATGTCGCACAGATAGAGGATAATTGACCACTCTCTCTGAGAGACACAGAAATCAATTATGTTGTAATGTATCAAGTGTATTGGCGTGGAAGGAAGGCAAGGAAGTTCAGTTAAAGCCTCTGCTGGCTTTAGTATTAAATCTTTTTTTATGGGACATTTGTGACATGTCTGTAAATGTGGTATGTGTATTAATCTCAGTCTTTATATCTTGGGTAAAAGGATGCAATTTATTTCCTGGCTCCCTTGACTGCGGTAAAAGTATAAACCAATATGTTCTGAATAGGAAACTCTTGAGAAAAGTTGATGATGGGTTATGGGAAAGAGTCAATAAAGACATACAGAGGTAGATGTAGAGCTATTTTTGCGGGGTGCATCGCTGGCTCATCAGCTGAAACGTGTCTGTGTCCTTTCTCATCAGAACCAGCACGTAGATCTTAACCTGAAAGAGTCTCTTTTTGTTGGTGGAGCTCCCGATTACAGCCGACTAGCAAGAGCCGCTGCACTTACGGAAGGCTTCAAGGGAACAGTCCAGCAGGTAAATTTATACATGTCTCTTTGTAAACGAATTAATGTGTCATTAACTCATATTTTCGATTCTATGTTATTTTAATGACCTTAGACATACAGCAGCAAAGTCCAGCGATAAGTTACTCGCTGTACTGCTATAAGCCCTCGCATTAGTAATTTTCCATTATGAGCTCACTCTGTGACGGACAGTGGCTGTGCTCATTTGGATTAGTGCACACTAATAATAGAATGCACATTTTTGAAGTCTTTCCATTTTGCTATTCTCAGATCTTTCCCTGACAACTTTCCAGTTTTTTTTTTCTTCCTCCACTTTCCAGCAAAAATCTCATCTCAGAGTGCCAAAAATAACTTGGTAGAACAAAGGCTGGATGTTACTGTTTGCGCAAAGTTGTCATTAGTTATCCTCTCCAAACTTTCCCTTGACAGTTTCGAGCAAATCAAAAGCTAAATGTGGCGTTTGTCTTGCTTGGCCTGTAGGGAATAATTAATTATGAGGAAGTATTCCGAGTCTGGTGTACTGTTTAACACGCGTGTTGTAATTTTCGGAGGCAATTTTCGGTCTGCAGCAGCAGGGGATTCGTCTTCAGAGGTGCGTGTTAAACTGAATCTACAGCCTCACTGTACGCATTTATTTACTTGTAGGATGTGTCGCCATAATTAGATTTAAGGATGGTTCGGCAGAAAACACAAAACCCTTCATGGATGTGTTCCTTTGGATAACAATCAAGAGTGGTAAATGATAATCTTCAAGTGGTGTGCTAAGGAGGCGAGAATTTAATCAGATAATTTTAATACCTTAAACGACTTATCAGAGGTAATAGGCATACGAGCATGACAAGAATTATATTGTAAATGCAGCACTTCAAAGAAAGGTCACTAAGACTATTACATAAATGCATGTCTTCAAAAATAGTAAATGAGGAGTGTTTATAAGATTTTGTTGATTTGTCTCCAAACGCATGCACACACACACACACACACACACACACACACACGCACGCACGCACGCACGCGCACACACACTGCTATAAAGCTAGCCCCACTGAACTATGTAGCATGTATTTACTGCACATTATGTCCAGTATGCTCTGTTCTTTATTGAAGGTCAACACAAAGACAAACAGTGAAATCTCAGTGAAATAACTGATCGAATACAGAAGACACCTGCGTACAAGAGCTGTGTTTTTTTTTAATATATATATATATATATATATATAAGACAACACAATCCTGTTTGGTGTGAAATGGGTGTGGCCTAGTCAGAAAAGGATGATATCCTATATTTCTTTGCTCCAAACAGGATTCAACAACATCTGGAGAAAAAAATATCTTAATATATTTTTAGATTTTGTTTTTGCCTGGTTACTAATAAGTAAAGGGCTGTCAAACATAAGGCCCGGGGGCCAGTATCAATCCGTCAAAGATTGACAAAAAATCTGTCCCACAGAATATCTTTGGAAAATGTGAAGGAGCACATTTTAACTGTGTGGACATTCACATTACACCAGTAAATAAGTAAGATATTAACAATTAGACTACAGAAATTATGATTTTTACATTGAAAAAAACAAGAAAGAAAAGAAAAAAGACATTCTCTAATTAACAAATATTTTCCATTTTTTTATTACAAGACTTTCTGTGCATTGAGCTGACAGACTTTTTTCTCTATTTTTACAGATTTATTTACTACAGTTTAAGCCAAAATTAGCAAAATCAACATGTAGAAAAGCTGTATTGATGAAATTGCACTACTTTTTGTTATATTAAAATATCTCAGGAGTCTCACTGGTCCGGCCCGCTTAGGATCAAAGATCAAAGATGGCCCACGATGTAGAATGAGTTTGACATCCCTGGTTAAGTACAATCAAACCACTGAGTCATCGTGATGTTTTCCACATTTTTATTTTGCTGCTTATTTAATAATTGATATTTGATTTTAGTGATGTACTATCTCAGAAATCCCAAATATGACTCTCCACTGTGGCTCAGATCCAATTTATTTCCTCCCGGTGCCTTTTGAAATATGCGGCCACTAGCGAGAACGTCGCTAGTTGCCGAGATGCATGCTTTTTGTTTCGTAAACGTCTTCGAAGCCAGACTGAGGTAACACCTGCTGATAACGCCCTGTGTGCACTGCTTCTAGATCACTCTGATGGGTACGCCCATCCTCAGGGAGGAGAATGCCTTGCGTTCCAGCAGCGTAGCCATGTTCCAGAATCACCCCTGCTCCAGGGAGCCCTGTCACAACGGTGGCCGCTGCAAACCTCAGCTGGACACTTACAACTGCGAATGCCTCAGCGGCTTCTCAGGGCAGCACTGCCAGAACAGTGAGTACCGCTGCCATCTTTTGTCATCTGTCCTAACACATACATTACATTTGGCTTTATCCTAATCCGAGTGAATGAACCAGAGAAAATCTCAGTTCTTAAACACATTTCCTACCCCTACTTTAAGGACCAGTGTGATTTCTCTTTGTGTAAGCCAGTGGCTAACAATACTTGCTGGGTTGAGATCACCTTATCATGTTTTTGCGCGGCTTCAGTGAATCACTGTAACCGTACAAATTGTTCTATTTCCTCATCCAAGATGATCTGGTTTTACTCCAGAAGCATAGCATTTTGGGCTGCTTTTAAAGCATAGTATGAGTGGCACTGAAATCAGTGATGCTTCATGTAACACTGCTTGTTCTTGGCTTGCCTCTATAGAAGGTAAAATATGAGTCTCAATTTTTTCTGCTCATAAGACCTTTATTTCCATTGTGCTCTGCCATTGCGAGGTAATAATGCCAATATTAGACATGTGATGTCTCTTTTATGTCACTCTCATTATGTATTGATCTCAAACTAACGCGGCACTTACGAAAATGATGAACTGTGTCAACTGAATATTTATGAAAGGAAGGGGTTGCGCATTCCTTTCATCATCTTCGTGATACTCTGCCAGACGTGCGCTCGTTCGGGGCCAATCTGTCTTACATACTCAGTCGTTGCTTTTGCCATTAACCTTGGGCGTGTGGCCAACGCACCAATCCACCTACCCCATGCTCACACTTCATTGCCTTCGGCTCTGATAACTGAATCTTTATTGATTGGTGCGATCTCATCCTCTCATCATTCCTCGCCCCGCCCCTGTCCTTCACAGCCATCCACGAGAAGTCTGCTGGCGAGACCGAGGCCATCGCCTTTGACGGACGGACGTTCATCGAGTACCACAACGCTGTTACCAGGAGGTAAGAAAGACTACAGTCCGTTCAGCATCATCCACCATCTCTGCTGTAGAAGCTATTAGCCAAATAACCCCTCCATCTTCTCCCGTGGTAAGCTGTGATGACAGTGTTGATGATATCATCAGCGCTGGGGCTAATAGCTCATCGTTCTGTCTGTGGCAAGTCCCGCTACGCTTTTGACAGGATTTCACTAATTAGCGAGACAGTTAACAATCACAGTGTTGCCCAGAGCATGCTCGGTTCGCCCTGTGGTCTACCCCGTAGCTCGCACTGATGCTGAACAGTAAGCACACACATGATTAAACTTCTCATCCTATTTTGATGTGGTCATCATGTGTGGATGACCGTTTTTCATCAAGCTTTCAAAGATGTGTTGGCTTCAATTTTAACTCCCCGTAATGGGGAAAGAAAGCCGATGACGTAGTTGGAAAATGATTTCTGGGGCTGTTGTATAAAAAAAACACAAAAAAAACAGCAATGCACTCACTTCAGGCAACTGATGAGACATTTTTAGTCTTCCATCCATCTACAAGGTTGGCAAGAGAGCGCCTCCAGGTTGGAATAAACAAAAATGTTTATGTGACGAGCCTGAAACGACGTCAAGCGGCTCTATATCTTCGACTCGCAGCTCCTCACACAAACACTCAGAGGGGTGAAAACCGGGTTACGGTGTGCAGATCATCATGCTGCCGTGGACGCTCATACCTCACACTCACTCAGAAACAACTGGCTGGAGAATCACATATCCGTGTGTGCCTTTTGATGTGTCTTTGCTGCTTGTTGATGGCGTTAGCATTCCAGTTGTTCGTCCTCTGTCCTTGACCTCCCTTGTCTTTGTCCACATGTGTCTTTGTTTCATGTGAATGTCCTTCACTGTCTTTCCTTTTCACTCAAGCCAACTGACCAATGAGATCCCAGAGTAAGTAGACTTTAACACTGGGTATTTACCCAAGTTTCAAATCCAGCTCGACTAACAGCAGTAAAAAAAATTTTTTTTAAAAATCCATGTTTGATAACCCAAATGCAAAGATTAAAGCACATTCAGTTTCCCGTCTTAATATCCACACAGAACTCATCTTAACCGTTAAAGCCAGATTTTCACATCCAAGGCCCATATCCATAATTTCATTTGACAGGTTTCCTTATTTTTAATGCATCATGCATTGTCATTAGCTCCTGTCTTTTTTTTCCTTTCAGTGCAAAGGGAAGCATGAATGTTTGCATGATAAGCATTGTGCACAGCCCTCCGAGAAAATGAATTGCTGTACTGAGAATGTGCAATATTTTATGCATGGTTGTAGCTCGTTCATAAACAAAATGAATTGCCACGTGCTTTATGCTGAATGGCATTAAGCGCTAATGTGAGAAATGAATGAGACCCCTTGAAAACTACAAGAGGAGGTTATACTAAATACAACTCAACCTAGTTTCTGGTGCCTGTGGAGTTTGTGCGCGGGAAAACCCTCGGTCATGCCTTAGTTATTAAAGGTTTTTCTTCCTGCTCATTAGCTCGGTAAGTAACCTCTTTTTTTAAAAAGCGCTGAAGCAGAATTCGGCTCAAATTAAGCCGACTGGATTCCGCCCAGAGTTCCACTCCATGCCAGGGCTTCTGTCATTTCATTTTTGCCAGATCTCTAACTGTAATTGTGAATAATTACAGAGTCGACTGTACAGAAAGGCTGTGACATGTTAATCACAGATTTGTCTCCCTTTGTAGATTAGACCTCCAATTGAGATCTCTCTCCTCAGTGTGTAGCCATGGGCATCAATCTCACTTAGCAGCAGGGGACAGCGGTCCTTGAAGCCAGACTGTCAAAAGTTTAATGGATGTCACATTTACTACGAGCCACAATGAGGGTGAATCTAACCATACCAGGCTCTTGGTGCAGCACTCTAAAGGAGCACAATCAATTGGGTGGGATTTGATCTGGTAAAAGGAATGAATACATTTCTTGGCCATTAAGTGGCGCTAAGGCCAAAATGTCAAACTTTAACCCTGGGTTAATGTTTTGGTTACTATTTACAGCACCCCTTTGATCACTCCTCCTCCTCCATATCTGGAAGCTCAGGTCGATTACGCTCAAGCTCCATTATTTCAGAGACAAATCATATCTGGCCATGACTCTCAACTGATACGCGCTTGACCCCATTTTTGGACAATTGCCCAATTTTTCTCATTCGCTGCTTTCATCTCTGGACAGAAGGTAATTGGTGCAGCACTGTAGCGTGCAGAGCCATAAATATAAAGGAGCTGGTCAATAATTGGACGCTGACTTAAAGCGGGCTCTGCACCTCAGTGGACACTGACCATGAATGTGCTTAATCTTGATGCTTCACTCGTTTAAAAAATGCTTGATCCCAAGGCATTTTGGAGAGTTAGTCATCCATCTTAATCTCAGCGGTTCCCTTAAGAACCTTTTTATGGTTGTGGTGTTATCAAGGCTAAGCTACACTCTTCCTATGATCACACAACAGTTGTTATCGACTTGACGTGGTCGATATTGTAGTAGAGCAGATAAGTTATGCTTTTTGCAGCTCCAGGCCTAAACTAGACCTCCTCCCTCCCCTCCTCCCTCCCTCCCTTTCTCCTTGTTGCCCCTTGCGCTTACACTGCATGCCGTTGACTTTCTCCCCCTGCTCCCTTAAGTCCCGAGTCTCTGGAGAACCCATCCGACCAGAGGTGAGTCTCTCAAAGCTATCAAAAATGTGGTGCTGTCGGCTTGCGTATCACCTCCTCATTCCTCCCCTTCCCTCCAGACAACCCCTCGTCGACCTCTCACAGGGCTAAATCCTCCTCCACAAAGACAACACTGTTTCCATTACTGAGATAGAGTTACCAATACGAAAGGCAAAGAGCCTCTGCATATGCTTCAATAAATTCTGAAAAAGTTAAGAGCTCTGATAACAGCACAAATCCATCCAGAGCTGCAGTCTCTTTGCAATAGCTGTCCTCCCACATGGCTTTTTATTATTCTAAGCACTACTGCCACCTAGAGTTGAAACGTAGGTCCACACCCTGAGAGGCCTTTTTCAGCTTTGAAAAAAATCCGAGAAGATAAAACTCTTCCATTTCCAAAAAGAAACAGCATCACAGCAGAAATCTATGAAGTCTGCGGTGTATATGAGATCTAGAGCGCTGTGCGCCGCCGTTGTTTTATTCATGATATATTCAGCACTTTTAATAACCTTGACCTTATCACTGACAATCCGCTCCAGTGGAGATTTATTGGGCCCTGTAAGCTCTTTGAGGGTTTGCCAGGAGAAGGTTCACTAAGCTGTATTTTTTGTTAGTTTTTTTTTTTCTCTCTGGAGAAAATTTTTTTTTTTTGGTGTGTGTGTGTGTTCCTGTTTACCTCAGCAGTTTTGGTTAATCAAGGGGGTCGATGTTTGTAACCTAAGCATGTTTTTGGAAAAGAAAATCCTTTTTTCCCCCTCTGCTTCTGCTGAGGCGACTGGCATCATTTTTGGCATGAGCTTTCAAAGTTTATTTCCTCCAAAGTTAAATATCATCTTGCTGCTTTGTTTAGACATCATTTAATGGAAGATAAACAGGAAAAAAAAATGAAGAAAATCTCCTCGAGGTTAAGGAGAGCTGCTATTCTCATTCTCTCTGTATTCCCTCCCATTTCCTGTCCTGTTTGTACTCCCATGTGCTTCCCTGTTTGCTGTGCTGACTCCCTTGCCTTGTTGTCTGTCTTGTCTTGTCTTGTCAAATCTGTCTCCAGGTCTGTGGTGTTGTTTTTTTGTTTGTTTTTTGTTTTAATTGAATCCACGTGTTCTTGGTTCTTTGTCGTACGTGCCCTCACCTTGTCTCTGTCTTTGTGTTTAAATACCCTTTGAAGACGTTGGAAGTAGTTCCATTTTGCTGATGTGCAAACAAATGTGCAGAGACTGAATGATGAGGTATGATTGCCTGGATGTCTACTGTATCTCTGGTGGACTCACGGAGGACCTTTGTTAGTGTGTTTGTATGCAGACATGGATGTGCGGTGTTGTCTGTCTGTGCACGAATTCAGCAGAGGCACATTGCTCTGTGTACTTTTCTCGCGCAGCGGTGACAGTGGCTTACAGTGCCTCTTAAGGATAGAAGGGAAGTCTCCTAGTCTCTGCATCCAAATCACCCTGGCAGCTGTAGCAGTCAAGAGACGGGAGATCAAACAGCTGCCTAAACAACACACACAGAGCAATGCACAAAGCAACAAAGGAAGCAGTAGGCAGCAGTGCAGTTCAGGCTCAGTAGGATGTAGAAAAGCTAATAGCGAAACAGCCCCCTGCTACTCACCCAGCATCCTGATTCTCCTTCAAAATCCCGGTAACTCTGTTAGCATGTGATTGCAGAGTTAAAGCTACAAAGTTTTCTTTCTAAATATGTAAGCAAATAGAACCAGATGTCATCACAGGTAATGCACCTTTGAGACGACAGCACAGGACCCTTGCTTCCTATATGCAATATCCATAGGTATGTTAAAGATTAGAAATCTTTCTGATGTAGCAGACAAATAAATGAACATGTATTTTCTCTCCTTCTAGCGAGAAGGCTCTGCTGGTGAACAAATTTGAACTAAGCATCCGAACTGACACGACCCAGGGTCTGGTGCTGTGGAGCGGAAAGGGCGTGGAGCGCTCAGACTACATTGCCCTAGCAATTGTAGATGGACATGTCCAAATGACCTATGACCTGGGCTCCAAACCCGTGGTGCTGCGCTCTACTGTGCGTGTTGACACCAACAGCTGGATACGCATCAAGGCCAGCAGGTAAGACGGGAGACGATAGGTAACAGGGGATCAGTGATGGAAGCTTTTACATTTAGACCAGGATTAGAATTAATCCATATTGTGTTTGTGTTGCTGCACACCGTGATCTCCTGCATGAATCCTCGGCTACACAGCGATCCCTCACACTGAGATGACTCTGATTAGTTCCAGATTAACGTTATTTTCATGCCTGGTCATGCATGAGGATGATATTATGCATCAAATTGCTTTGACACGGTAATGAATGTTCAAAAAGGAAGAACATCCTGCAATATCCACACACACACATAGGCAGGAAATAAATGAGTAAAAAAAAATAAGAAAAGTGAATGCGTATTTGTATGTGTATTTCCCTTTCATACACATCACTGTATTTTGCTCTGTAGATGACTTGCAAGAATGCTTGATTTAAAAGAATAGAAATACAGTATGAATAACATTGATATAGCTGCAAGCAGTGAAGACGAAGGTCCAAGCAGACTGTGAGCATTTGAACTGTCGTTGACCTCTCAGGACAGCTGTAGACATACCACATGCTTAAATTGCTATAATCTTAACAACTGGGACTTTCAAACCGTAGAACCTCTGCCTCACCAGAGAAGTGAAAATGACTTTGCCTCTGCAAAAACTTGGCTCACGAGACATATCATATATGCATACCTATGGTATTCCCCTTGTTTTATGTAAACTCAAAAGCTTCATAACAGTCAGAAAATGCATGTGATGTTAGTCTGAAAAAGTCTCATCGTTCATGGAGTTTCATGTTTTGTCACACATTAGTGAACCTCAGGGACATTTTTGTAACTTAGAGATTACAAAATGTGTGAAATCAATCATTAACAGATTTAATGCTTGAGACCTTAGATTGTGCAAACTTGCACTAATCCATGCAGCCAACTATGAAGTCTAAACCTGTTGCATATGTGTTGCTACCCGGAGGTGGAGTCTGATGCACTTTAATGCATAAGCTTAGTACTACTACCAAACATGGGTCTCAAGTGCAAAAAGTGCAAAGTGCAAAAACAAATGCCCTTCAGGCTTTTCCAGTAGTCAAGCCTGGATGAAATAAATGCATGAGTTACTTTCTCAAAGTCAGCAGGTGACAATTTTCGCAAGGGCCCACAGCTGGAAGGGGGTGGCTTTAACAACAGAATTTATTTGATCAGTTTGTCAGGACAGATGACGTTGTACTTACCACAAAACTAGTCAGTCACATCATAAACAGTTTTTGATACAGTTGAGCCTTGTCTATACAAACCTGTAGCAGGTGCATAGACACTCACCGACACTCACTTTCCTGTCTTCCTCTCACGTTCTGCCAGAGGTTTCTTAATGTTAAAAGGGAGTTTTTCTTCACCACTGTCGCCAAAGCACTTACTCAGAGGGAGTCATCAGATTGTTGGGCTTTTCTCTGTATTCTTAAACTGTCTTTACCTTACAATATAAAGTGTATTGAGGTAACTGTTGTTATGATTTGGTGCTATATACATACAATTTGAATTGAATTTATTAGTTGCACTTGCTGGCACTGGATTGGACCCCATTTTGCCTTCAGAACTAAATAATTTCTTCGTGCCAGAGAATCAGTAAGAGATTTCTTTGTGGGTATATCCTAGTAGATTTCTGAACCACGCCATGTTAAAAGTCCCTTAAATCACATTTCTTCCACATTTTGATGCGCAGCTTGAACTGCAGTAGGTCGTCTAGGCTACGTCTTAATGCCAAGGTGACATGTATGACCAGATATTTGTGTTAACAAGTAGTTGAAAATGTGTACCTAATGTAGTGGCCAGTGACTGTAGGTGCATGTGCAAGAACAATAAATAACACTTGAATTAGAGAAAATAACATTTAGTAAATGAATAATGGATAGAAGAGAAAAAACACGAAGTGTGCCGAACTTTTCTGTCCCATGGTGATGTCACTTTAATGGATTTCTTCATTAAAAATAAATTCATTGCCCAAACTCAACACCTTCCCTGCGACCCCTGCATTATCGTCGGTGAGCATTTTACGTTCGGCATAGCGGCGACTGGTCACGTGGGGGGATAATTTGTTCGGTTTCATCACGTAAGGCGGGAATAATCGATCCCTGAAAAGCTGCTCCATCCATTTCAAACAGGAACTAGGCCAAATCTCATCCCAGACTAACAGGGAGACCGCATGAGAAGATGACATCATTTCGATGGTAATGATGGTGTAAATCGCAGCATGTGGCATACGACTCACAAAGCTGCATAGCTAGCTGTGTTTGTGGCTTGCCTCTAATGACAGTCTCTCTGCTGGAAGCCCACTTTAGCGGGGTTCAAATCAGCTCTGTCTTCACAATTCTTAAGTGTGTGCTAATGCGCCACATGGAGCACCTCAAATAAATGGTGCTCTAACGGCATCTGTTAGCTGGTAGACAGGCACGTTTAGAACACTGCTTGGCAAAGGCAGTTATGTGAGTGCTTAGTATACTGGCAGTCGAGCAATAGAGTCTTGATGCCTCAAACGAAACGAAACTGCAATTTAAAGCTATTCGCTGTGACACACACGTACTCACTTCCAGTGCCCTTCTCCTTTTGTCTTTCTCCTCTTTAGAGCACTTCGAGACGGCTCTCTACAGGTTGGCAACGAGGCACCGGTGACAGGGTCATCACCTCTGGCATCAACACAGCTGGACACAGATGGAGCACTCTGGCTGGGTAGGTGGCCACACATGCAGGAAAAAGTTGAACTCTTAATTCAGACTTGAAAATGTGCCTAGCTATGCCATACATAAAGCATGGCAATGCTTGTAATTGTGCAGAATAGTGCTTTTTCATCCTAGCCACTGGTTGGGCTGCCAAAAAGTGAGCAATGAAGTCAATGCTTCTGGCAGGTGAAAAAAAGATTGCAGTTTAGGCAAAAAAAAAAAAAGTCCAAGCCTATTCAGGTATTGAGTTGAGAAATGAAAGGCTATCTGACTAACTCCAAAGTTGTCTGCTCTCCTGAATTGAAAATGACCAAAGTCGGCCCGTTATCTACCTCGAGTTCAATTTAAGCTGAACTTGGCTCAGAGAAATCATTTTTGAAAGAACACACACAGCACCGCTGGATTGAACATTCTGAGGAAATAACATTGAAGACGGGCAGCAAAATAAAGTCAGACTGTTCTTTAAAATGCACAGTGCGCAGCGAAAAAAAGACGCAGGTCTGTGAGGAGAAGCAGCCCGAGTGACATTTAAAGAGCCTCGCCGCATGTAAGAGGTGTGCTCGTGCTCTCAGGTACACGTACACAAACACACATGGGGAGGCAGCGCAGTGGAACAGGTGCTGAGCGAGCCCTGCAGCAAGAATATATAATCCTCACGTAGCCCTCCCATCGAGAGCCCTTCTCCCTTTTTAAATCCCCTTTTCGCTGTTCATCATTAATTCATCTGTAACTCGCATGAAATTAGCCCTGTCGACTCCTGATTCTGAGGCACACAATCCGATTAATGCGGGCAGGGACAGGGGATGTAAAGAGCTCAGCGGGAATGTGAACTCTCGGCCTCACAAAACATGGAAGAGATGGAGGTGCGGGGGTGAAATGAGTCGCACGGGCATCAAGTAAAGAGGAAAAGGGATGCAGGAGGGTTCTGACCCTGTAGATACCAAAGAGGGAAACAGAAAAGAGGGCTAAATAGGTAAGGCATGGAAAATGAAGCTATGGTCTCTCTCCCCCTAAGAACAGATTCAAAATAATTCTGAATAAAGATGTTTCACACTGTCTTAGTGAGAAAGACACTGACTACTTTATGTTTGCTCAAAACACCATCAATAGAGGAACCTGAGCAGGCACCCAAAAATTAGGAGAGCTGGAAGAATTACACCCGTAATGATTTGAGAGAGTTTGCTAAAGGTGAAATTGTGGTGGTTAGACGACTGGCTCAGAGCATCTCCAGATCTGCAGCCCTTGTGAGGTGTTCCCCGTTGCAGTGGTCAGTGTCTATTAAAAGTGGTCCAAGGCAGGAAGTCTAAGGAGCTTGGAAAGAAAAGCGTCTGGACTTCTTTAAGTTGTTTGAAGACGTTTCACCTCTCATCCGAGAAGCTTCTCCTGGGTCCGGGTACGGTTTGCCCCTCTGGGGGCAGGGGTACCTGAACCTGGCATATAGAGTATGTTTGGGGAGTGTGAATGTGTGTACAGTGTCTATTTGTGTCTGTCTCCATGTCGGGTGAGTGCCGAGTATTTGTTTGTGTATATGGAGGTGGGAATGCATGTTTGTGTCTGTGTGCGCCTGTTTGTCTGTGTCTTTATGTCATCTTGGGTCGTAGACTCCACCTCTCTGGGAACATCTCAGGCTCTCCGAGGTATGGAGGCCTATCTCCCCTCACCACACTCCCTGCCAGTGGCCGATGCCCTCAGATGTTGGTGTGTTGGTGGTTCTTGGTGTCTGGGGCTGGGCGCTCATGTATGTACCGGGCACCCCATGTACCGGCCTCTGGGCCTGAGGCCCGGTCCTTTCTGGCACAGCTGGCTGCCGGCAGAGCCTGCAGGCACGTCACTACAACCCCCTCTGGCCTCTGCTCCATGGCTGCTGGGTGACCTCTCGTTTGGAGCTCTCCTCAGATCTTCCCAGGAGGGTGGGTCCTCGTATTCTGGGGCCTGGATCTCCTCCACCTGCTTCATGCCCTGGGGGACGGGGCTATGGCTCCCCACACTCCCTAGCAGATCGTTACATGGAGAAACCTTTTGAATACAAGTGTGCCGATCCACACAGGTGTGCACACAAGTGTACACACGGGTGTTCACAGACACAAACTTCACCTTTCTTGGCTGCTACCTCAAAGCACATTGTGCGCTGTCGATCTTGCGTACTGCACACTAACATGTAAGCTATTTAGACTCGACTGTACACTGTGATCGTGTTTTCCTTCGAAACAGTAAATTCCGTTGAAGCAGCCTTTCAACGCCTCTCTCCGTCTCTCCTTAGCAAAGCTGACCCAGACAACAAAGTAAAGCTAGTTTTCAGCTACGAGCCCGACACGGAACCTAACGTATTAGCCAGAGGTCCCATTACTACGGTTCGGAGCTGCGGACCTGTTTTATATACGCGCGGAATAGTTTTCCATACGAGATCGCGGCAAAAAGTGCAGCTTTACTTAATGTCCACCCTACTGTTACTCATTTTATATTAAGATTTTAAATCTATTTGGTATTGTTATGGCGAGTTGCCTTCAGTAATAGTAATAGATCACACAGCAATAGTACATTCATGTAGTTGTAAAAAGCATGATGATATATTAAGTAATCCAAAGTATTCAGAATACGTTACAAAATACATTTTGGGGCATGTATTCTGTAATCTGTAGTGGAATACATTTTAAAAGTAATCTTCCCAACACTGGTTGTGGTCATAAGTTTATATAGCATTTATCATGGGCATGAATATCATGGTAGTTTGGGGTGTTTTCATTATTTCTTAGAACTGTTCTTTTTCCAGGGTGAGATAATTCTACACCATACATCTTTAATGACTTTAGAAAACAAGAATTTGGTGCACAAGTTTGAAATTATTTGGTATTTTCTTAAACCACACAGGATCACAAATATTTAAATAAAGGCTAAACATATACACCCCCACTAGGAAGTTGCCCATAGATCAGACACTTTTTGTAGCCATCAACAGGCTTCCAGCATAATTCTCTTTTTGGCAGAATTAGTAGAGTTTATTTAAACTGGTTGGTTTCCTGGCACAGACTCAGCTTTTAAGCATAGTCCACAATGTTCAATAGATCAGATTCTACCTTTAACATCTGCAAACTTGCTGCAAACCATCAGCTCCGTTTCTGTGGGGGGGGTTTGAGCCACAGAGGAAAAGAATGATTTTCTGCTTTTGGTTTCTTTGAAATAAGTACGAGAAGAAGTGGGTAGTTAGCAGCTGTATACAAGTGGTGGCCCAGAGTTCGAAAAACACAACAACATAAAAAAAAAAAAGTGACCATTTCTGAAATGTTTTGTTTTTAGTTTTCTTTTGCTTTCAGGATGCTGTTGTGTTTTGTACCTCAGGGCCAACTCAGCTATGAGTAGCAAAGAGCAGCACGTATAAGAAATCAGACTTCTATATACACAAAGGCTGCCAGAGGGCTGAGAAGACTAAGTGATGGACATGTGATACACGGGGAGTTTACAGCACGGCAGTGAGCACTTAGCACCAAAGATGGAAACAAATTAAAAATAATGAGGATGTTAAGCATTCATCATTTTATACTCCGTCACCACCTTTCTTTTGTAGTGTTTTTTTTTTTTTAGTACTTTATACACCGTGTCACATTAAAAGAACATTCTCTCTTCTCTGTCTGACTTCAGTTCTGTGTGACTGCCGTGCTAGGCTCCATCTCACTTTGATCACGGCAGTCTGACAAATACACTGTCATCCTGTCATGTCCATCAGCTGGTGTCATAGTGAAAAATATCAAAGGCTGTAATACAACCTGACAAAACCATGTAGCTGCTTTTGTAGTTTGTACCAAAATATTTCAAAGGTTGGCTATTTGATGGATATTTCCAGTTTAATTCGTTGCAAAAGCCGAACCCTTATCCCGCTGTTTGATCTTTAAAGGGGCACTACACTGACTTTTAAGATTAGTTGACTAGTTGTGCAAAGTATTTTTCTGCAGGTGAAAAAAAGAAAAGTTTAAAGTTAAAAAGGAACTGCTGGCTGATTTGACTGAAATAACCTTTTCAGTGACTCACAGTCAAAGTAACCTCGTCTCCTGTCCCTCCTCAGGTGGTCTGGAGGAGCTGCCGGTTGCCCGCCGGTTGCCTAAGGCCTACAGCACGGGTTTCGTTGGCTGCATCAAGGACGTGGTGGTGGACGGGGTGGATCTCCACCTGGTGGAGGACGCCTTAAACAGCCCCAGAATATTACACTGTTCCGCCGCCAAATAACTCCAGCAAAGACAGAAATATCGCAAGCAATGAAAAAGAAAAAGAAACCCTCCCACCCGCACCCTCTATAGCGCCCATGTCTCCTGCTGTAATTATTTTCTATTTTTGTATACTTCTCATCGCTTTTTATATGGAAAGAAAATGAATATGTTGTTTTCATTTTTGTTTTATATATTTTGCTCTTATCCGCACCTCCGTTCACAGTAAAAAATTCCTTTTCTTTCAAGGCCCTTCTTTTTTTTTTTCCAAAAAGAAGGCACCTCGGTGAAAACCACAGATATTAAATCCATGTCACATTTGATGTTTTTAAAGAATCTTTAAAAAAAAAAACAGCCCTACCAGTTTTTTGTTTTTTATTATTTTTTATTCTCATCCTTTACTTGAACACGGTGGACCCTGCTGATGATCTCCGGTTACTGCCTTGTCTCGGTGCCATATCTGCCGTTCCACATTCCCCAAGCATGGCCTATACATCTTTGATAGACACACATTCCCTCACGAGAGATGGATGCTGTAGCCGGTGCGTGCGTTTCTTCGATGCTGCAGCCAGCTGCCGACTACAGTCAAGAAACTCTGTATTCAGCCCTGGTATTCAGTCCACTGTATTTTCCTAATGGGACTTTTCAGAAATCAGTCAAGCTGCTGCAGTGAGAAAGTACACAGTCATAAGCACTCGATCAACCCCATCTCACAGCACCCTGAAAAGAGGGAAAAAAAAGAAAAGAAAAAACTCTCCACTCGATCTGAATCCCATCCAAGCCTTTAGTTTTGAAATATGACTCACTAACACCGCAACCCGATGTGACGGAGAGAGAGCGCTGCGTGCAACAATGACTTGCATATTATTAGTCATAAGTCAAGACATGAATCACAGACATGGATAGATGTTATAAATATAGAGTATATAAATAATACCTGAGACTGTGAATATGTAAGATGGGTTCTCGTTGGAGAAATTGTGCTTCTCCTGTACTATTGTGCGTTCTGTTCTACAATCAGCAGATGAACTAATGATGACCACTATAAATGCATGCACTTCTGCAGTGTTGGTTTGAAAAATCTGGGGGGTTTTTTTGTTTGTTTGTTTGAGTCCAAGAAAAAGAATCTATTTTGAATAACTGGGAGTCGGGGGAGGGGGGCGTTTTTTGTTCTTGTTTTAAACGAATCGAGGTTCCTTTTTCTTCTTTTATTTTCACTTCTCAGTGATTTCAGAAAGTACAGGCTTCACAGACATCTTTAAAGTCTGGTCATTCCTCATTTTTTTGTTTTTTGTTTTGTTTGTGATAGATATATATTTCTGTATTATTCTCGGGAGCAGTTAGTTTTTGCAGGGCCTTTAATGGCGTCTAAGGGAAGAGTTATTACCATATCTGACCTTAAGGAGGTGCTGAAAGCAAAGACTGAAGAAAAGGACAGACAGAAAGGAGGCAAAGGGAGATCTTATCACGAGAGCCACTTCTCTTGGGAATGTCCTGTCAAACAGCAGTCAGTCAACACAAAGAGAAAAAAATCTTCACAAAAAAAGAGAAAAAAAAACTCTACCTGAGACTTAAATTCATGTTTTTGTATTTCACCTAGGAACATTCCTGGAGGAATCTTTTTTTTTTTCTTCTTTCGGCTGTTGAGTGAAAGAAAGAGAGAGAAAAAGAGAGAGACTTTGACGCTATTGTGACCCTTTGAAGCCATAGCAGCCGCAAAAAACTGGGAAAACATACATAATCCTTCAGTACTTGCGATCTAACCTAGTAACGCATGGGTTTGTTTAACTAGTGCGAATCCTGTACAATTCAGTGAACTGTTGCAACGTGGAGTCGTCTTTGCTGAACCACAATAAGCTTTGATGAATGACTGAAAGAAACTTGTTTTGATATGAGAACCTTGGCAATATTCTGAGACTAAATCATGCCTGTTCGTGGTTGAGTATCAAATGGTCTTGTACTTTTTCGTTTGTTCGTTTCCTTTTCTCTTAGGTTCCTAATTATCTTTCCCTCCTTAAAAGTCATCAAGCAACCTGTTTTTGTACAGCCCTGCAATTTTTAAGTGTAAATTTAGCAACAACGTGTGATCTGTGGAGGTTTATGTTTTTAGTACTATACACTGGAGCCATGTCTGACTTTTGTCTGTTCACCCACACGATGCTCTATACTTCTGTAAATGGGGGAGGAATAGCACTGAAGCTGATTGTGTGCGTCCGCACCAGGGCAGGAATCCCTCTTCTAGTGTTCCAAGATGCTTTTAAAATTCCAGCAGTCACTCTCTCAAAGCTTAAACTGGTCTTATTTTATTACACTCTTCTTGGAGTTTGACCACTTCAGGTGGAACCACTTGGACTCGAGAACACACACACACACACACACACAAAAGACAATTGCAGTCCATGTATGGTTTGGATGGAAACTATGAATTGCCTTAAAAACCAGTCATCTTGAACTGCGAGCAGGTGACGAAGACGTTATCCATGTAACTGTTTTGTTACTTTAGCCAGTGTATTAGCCTCATTCTGATAATGTAAATGAGTAATACAAAATAATAATAATAATAATGACTATATTAGTAATAATGCTCATACTCATATGAAAAAAATATCCCAGAGGGCTTACGCAAATATCCCATCTGGCTTTTTACAAAAAAAATCTTCTATTTACTGATTTTTGAATCTATTTTCTGTTCCTTATTTATGTCTACATGTGGATTACCCTCCATGTCTGGCCTCTGTAAACTACTGTCTGACTGCGCAAACCTCGTCAAAGGGCAGTGCACCGATAAGAGTGGCATGACCTGAACATTACTAACTTTATGACCTTTGTCTTGTGTTCCTACCACCATGAAATAAACCGTCAACCAAATGGAGTCTCATCTTGTCTGTCATCTTCATTTTGTCCTCATTTGTGCCACATCAAAGCTTAATATTTATTTTGATTACTGATTACAGGTCAGAACTTACAGCACTTACGTTTTCCTGCCACCCTGCATAATTCAGTTCTAATATGAGATAATAGAGTAGAGATCAAAGTTAGAGAATTATTCATGTTTACTTGATTTATTTTATTTTTTGCTCATTGGTGACTTTCATAGCTCAAACATTAGGGGAATACTAGGCCCAGTTGTGGCTATAGCACTCTTTTGGCAATATTTGAATGATTCATTCCAGAAAGTACAGTGATCTAAATTAGACAATAGTTTGCTATTTTAGCAGGAAAAAAGCAGCTTGGAAACTGAAATATTAATGGTTACAACTTTCAACCATTAGGAAGTATACAGGTCATTTTCTTGGAATGATTTTAGCACATCTGTGCTCGTGGGGCCTTACCAACATCTCACATTTCCCTGGTTCGATTTTGTTCTTTTCAACAGAATAGAGTTGCTAATCTTCCAGAGATTCCCAATTAAGTACGGATCAGAACTTTGGGCTAGTTATTTCATTATTCCAGCATCAACAGCTTGAATTGTTAAATTGTTTCACCCAGGTAGCGGTGGACAAAATTGTTGGATTACTTCAAACTGATGGCAGAAAAGGAAGAGTGCGTGTATGAAGGAGCTTGTAATAAACACCTTGTCATGTAGCTGTGTAAGAGGTCACCCCAACTCAAACCAACTGACACCATTTCCTGTCTGAAAAAACTAAATCAAAGTTGTCATCACTAAAGAGATTTGTGCAACAAGCAGTGCTCCTTAGCAAAGGTTAGTGTAGCCTGCAGCTAAGTTGGTCACTGCAGACTTTGCTTTAAAGCTCACATATTTTCACGTGACGAGATGATGCACTGCTGATTTATGTGAACAACTAGGATTTTTTAAATATATATACAGGGGGACTTGAGTATTCTAAGAACTGGTGTTACATGAACAAGTGCCCTCAGCAACAACCAACTCATTATCGTTTTACCTAACGGGAATGGGCGTTTTGCTATTCAACTGAATGCTAACACAAATATCTAATCATCCAGTCACGTGGCCAAAACCCACTGCATTTAGGTAAGATAAGATAAGATAAGATAGAACTTTATTAATCCCTCGGGTGGGTTCCTCTGGGAAATTCGACTTCCAAAAAAAGCACAGCAACGACCGAAGTTACAGTTACAGAATTGTTATATATATATATATATACACACACACACACACACACACACACACACACACACACACACACACACACATATATAAATACAGAGACAAATATAAATAAAATATACAAAGGGGATAAATAGAATAAATAGGAATAAAAAATAAAAATACAAGTGAATTGCACATTTCAAGTATTGAGTCTATTGCACTGTTGACTATTTACAAAAAGTATTGCACAAGGTATTGTACAGTGAGGTGAAGAGGCACTACAGCTTAGTTGTTCCCCCCTCCTTTGTCCTCCTGTTTCCCCTCCCTCTCCCCTCCAGAGAGGAGTTAAACAGTCTGATGGCGTGTGGGACAAAGGAGTTTTTAAGTCTGTTAGTTCTTGTCTTGGGGAGAAGCAACCTGTCACTGAACAGACTCTTCTGATTGTTTATGGCCGTGTGCAGAGGATGCCTGGCATTGTCCATAATGTCCAGCAGTTTCTTTAATGTCCTTTTCTCTGCCACTGTCACCAGAGTGTCCAGCTTCATGCCGACCACAGAGCTAGCCTTCCTGATCAGTTTCTCCAGCCTGGATGAGTCCCTCTTTGCTGTGCTGCTCCCCCAGCACACCACAGCATAGAAAAGTACTCCAGCAACCACCGACTGGTAAAACATCCTCAGGAGCTTCCTGCAGATGTTAAAAGACCTCAGCCTCCTGAGGAAGTACAGTCGGCTTTGGGCTTTTTTATACAGGTGCTCTGTGTTGCATGACCAGTCCAGTTTATTGTCCACCCACAGCCCGAGGTACTTGTACTTGTTGACCACCTCCACCTCCTCCCCCTCTATCTGAACCGGCAGTGGACCTTCTCTGGACCTCCCGAAGTCCACAACCAGTTCCTTAGTCTTTGAGGTGTTGAGTTGCAGGTGGTTTGTGTGACTCCATGCGACAAAGTTCCTCACCAGACTTCTGTACTCCTCTTCCTGATCATCCCAGATACACCCCATGATGGCCGTGTCATCTGCAAACTTCTGAATATGGCATAATTCAGAGTTGTAGCAGAAGTCAGAGGTGTACAGGGTGAAGAGAAGAGGGGACAGCACAGTTCCCTGTGGTGCTCCTGTGCTGCTGACCACAGTGTCAGACGTGATGTCCTTCAGCCTGACGTACTGTGGTCTGTCGGTGAGGTAGTCGGAGATCCAAGCCACCAGGCAGGGGTCCACCTCCATCCTGTTCAGTTTTTCCTGAAGCATACAGGGCCGGATGGTATTAAAGGCACTGGAAAAGTCAAGAAACAGGATCCTGACCGTGCCTTTTCCCCCATCCAGGTGTGAGTGGGCTCTGTGTAGGAGGTACAGGATGGCATCCTCCACTCCGACACCCACCTTGTATGCAAACTGTAGTGGGTCCTGGGCATGTTGTACCTGTGGTCGGAGGAGGTTGAGGAAGAGCCGCTCTAGAGTCTTCATAAGATGTGACGTCAGTGCCACCGGTCGGAAGTCATTCAGCTCATTGGGCCGGTTCTTTTTGGGGACCGGGACGATGCAGGATGTCTTCCATAGGGCGGGCACTCTCCCCAGTTGCAGACTGAGGTTGAAGACTCGTTGTAGCGGCTCCCCAAGTTCAGCAGCACACGCCTTAAGCATCCTAGGACACACCTTGTCTGGGCCTGCTGCCTTTCTGGGGCGAAGCTTCCTCAGTTGCCTCCTGACCTGATCCACTGTGACACTGGGAGGTGTTTGGGAGGAGGGGAGGGGGGGAGATGTCTTGCTGCTGAGAGAGGGATTGGAGGAGGGGGGTGTCATGGTGTCAGGAAGGGGGGGAAGCGAGGGAGGTAGGAGAGTGGGGATTGGACTCTGTAGTGAAGGTGAGGGTGGGGGGGTTGTGGGCTGGTCAAACCTGTTGAAGAAGTTGTTGAGTTCGTTTGCCTTCTCCACAGTCCCCCCCACTGTGCTTTTCTTGGTGTTGTGGCCTGTGATGGTTTTCACACCATTCCAGACCTCCCTCATATTGTTCCTCTCCAACTTCTGCTCCACCTTCCTCCTGTAGGTGTCCTTTGCTTCCCTCAGGCAGCGTTTCACCTCCCGCTGTGCTGCTTTCATCTCCTCCTTCACTTTGCTCCTGAAAGCCTTCTTCTTCATGTTGAGGACAGCTTTGACTTCCTGTGTTACCCACGGTTTGTTATTAGGATAACACCGTACCGTCTTAGCAGGGGCGACCGTGTCCACACAAAAGTTGAGGTAGTCTGTAAGACAGTGTGTCGCCCCCTCTATGTCCTCACCATGTGGGCTCAGGAGCACATCCCAGTCTGTGGTGTCATAGCAGTCTCTCAGAGCATCCTCCTTTTCTGGGGTCCATCTCTGGATGGAGCGCGTTGTGACAGGCTGCCTTTGGACGAGGGGTGTGTATTGTGGTATGTAGACATGCTGCTGCTGGAGTTCAAACTGAGCATCAAAATGAGGGAAAAAGGCTATTTAAGTGACTTTGAATGCAGCACTGTTGTTCCATGACTACAATACTAAGACCAGGCTGTCTGCTGATTTACTGGGTCTTCCCCACATGACCATCTCTGGGGTTTACGGAGAATTGTCCAAAAAAGTAAAATATCTACTGAGCAGCATTTCTATGAGCAAAAATGCCGTCTTGATGCCAGTGGTCAGAGGACAGGGGACAAGACTGTTTTGAACTGACAGGAAAGCAACAGTAACTCAGATAACCAATCTTTACAACCAGACCATCTCTGAACACAGCACGTGGGACCAGATGGACCAGAGCGTGTGTCGCTCCAGTCAGCTAAGAACAGGAAACTGAGGATACAATTCAAATGGGCTCTAAAACATTGGACATTTGAAGATTGGAAAAATGTTGGCTGGTTGGATGACTGGGGTCAGAATTTAGTGTAAACAACATGAAAGCATGGATCCGTCCTGCCTTTATCAGTGGTTCAGGCTGCTTGTGGTATTTCCATATACAGGTCAGTTTTAAAATATTTTAAGTGCAGTTTAGTGGAAACCTTGAATATCAGGATCATTAGTCTTCCACCACAAACTGAGGTAATCACAGCTCTGTGCTAACAAAAGGCTTCTGCTCACATTCAAAATATCCAAAGCCAAGCAGTTTTTAAGAGCAATTAAAGCAAAAAACACGCTCGTAAACACGCCTATAAACAACATTTTTTGGCTAGAGTGATATTTACTTCTTATAATTCAACTCATCAAACAGCAGTCTGCGGTGGCCTGCTGCTAATTGAAAGTCCCAGATTCAAAAAGAACAAAAAGTAGCTGCTGCACAGCTTCATACATCATTCAGCGCATCCCAAATCTGTCTCGAGCATTTTCATTAAGCTCGAGATTTAATGAGTTTAATTTATTCCTCGCTAATGACAGAGAAAGACACCGCATCTTGTGTTAATTAAAACTATATGAAATGCTGTGGATGAAATAGTTTTGCCCAGTGAGGGATCCTACTGAGGGAAAGATCATTTTCGAGTTAATAACTGCAAGTAGTTTGATTAAAGGGTTTTTCTTTCTTTCCAGGAATTAAATCAAAACAAAACAGAACATGTACACAAGGAATTAAATGATGATCCCGGGTGGCTCACGGAGGAGAGAGCGGGGCGTGGACAGTTTCAGCTCAAACCTTTCCAGGGAGACGGGATTCACTGAAACTAGGAGATGGAGGAAGCTCATTTTGATGAATGTGTTGAGAAACCGAGTGGCTCTGAGAAGAGCTGAGTTTAGCAAGAGCTTTGGAGGTAGACAGAGGATTTTCAGATTTTTTTTAAGCACATGTTGGGGAGTGCAGTT